CAAGATGCCCCAGGACACAGGGTTTTATGTCATATAAGATTTCAACAGATTTGAGAAGGAGTCAAGTAGTAAAGATACCTCTTTGCATATTCAACCATGGAACCTCCACTGCTTTATTTTCTTCTTCTTTATTTTTTAAATGCCTATTAAAATTCCATAGACTGTTTTGAGAAAGACAAGGATATGGGTAATGTGACGGGGAGAGGGAGATGTGAATGAAGCTAATGCAGATTTTATTGCTTGTGAATATTTTGAAAGGCTTGCTTATTGCCTCTTTCCCCTTAGCTCAAAAACACTCATCAAAAAGGTACTTTCCTAGAGAGCAGGGCCAGACTTAACAGGAGATACTAATCTACTTACGAAGGCAAAAGCTCTTTCTGTTTTAATCGCTCAGAATGTTTAATTCTTAGCACAATGTCTCAATACTTGCTTGCACAAGGAATAAACAAAAACTGGTTTATCAGAAACAAATTACTCATAAATGTTGTCTAGAAAAATATTATCTAAAATTTGTCAAAAAAATGTTGTCTACTGCCAAGAGCCTGTATCCCTCAAGGCATTTTATAGACAAAGGATACTATGGTGCTATAATCTAAGGGCAGTTATAGTGGTCTGCAAATTCCCTGTCATGGACATTGACCTAAGCCCAAGGTCATTGTATTTGAATCACACAAAAAAGTAACTTTCCTTGGTTAATTAACAAGATAACTGAATATATATATTTCTTGTAGCTTGACTGCCGCAAGGAGAAAATATGTTGACTAGAAGATGCTAAAGCATGTCACCTTCATAGTTCTTTATAAATTAAACACCATTTTCTTGCATCTGTCTCTGGGATCCTTGACAGCTCTGCAACACTCTCGTGTACCAAATTCCTTCTCTGGGCTTCAAGAAAATTCCTGCTGAGGCTGAAGGCCAAAACCAAGACAGCACTAAATTCAGCAAGGTGAAAGAGTCCTTGGAACCTTCTGGAGACTGCATATTGTCTTCCCTTCCTAGCAAGTCTTTCTCAGTTGTCTTTTCTTTTGAATTCTTACAACTTAGTTTTTTATTAGTGTAGTTTTATTTCACATCTCTGCTATGAAGTGAAATTTAGCATGGACTCTGCCAATCTCCTTTTTGGAAATGATAAAATACGTTTTCACAAATTGAGGACATTATTATTTGTTTAAATGCTTTCTTCTAACATCAATATGTCTTTCCTCTAGCTAATGTACAATAATCAAGAGAGCATAGTGTATTATTTTAATAAACTTTTCTGATGTTTTTGCACTTTTGTCATTTGTAGGGTGTTTCCATAATACACCCAGATTCAATAAAGCAAGGATTATTTTGTAATTCCTATACCATTTATCATATTGGTAACTGACATACTTTTTTACTTTTTTTTTGGTGAGGAAAATTGTCCCTGAGCTAACATCGTGCCAATCTTCTTCTATTTTATATATGCGATGCTGCCACAGCATGGCTTGATGAGTGGTGTGTACCCTGCGAACCCCACGCCGCCAAAGCACAGCATGCAAACTTACCCACACGCCACCAGGCTGGCCCCTGTCATACTTTGTTTTTAACCATATATGTTATGTATTGCCAGTGAATTATACTAATGCAACATTATTTATAATTATTATACTATTATTTTATTTTCATATTGTTAATCTAAATTAAATGAAATTCTGAAATGTATAGTCCATTTACCACGTGTTTTTAAAAATATTTTTTCAACAAATTGTTTCAGAGTTAAACAATTTTCTTCTTTTTCATTTTTACTGTTACTATGATTATTTTAAAGAGTACATAAACTTCTTTTTGTTTTTACAGAGAATCTGATCCTGTAATTGTACTTAGTGAGAAAGAATGAAATATCTATGAAGTACAATAAAATAGGGAATTTTTCTTTTCCACCCAGTCCCTAGGATAACTTTTCAACATCCATCATCTTAAAAAGAATTATCATTAGCTACTCTAAAGCAATTAAGAAATATCCACTTTCTTCCAATTCTTATACTCACATATCTTAAAAAATTATTTATTAAGTAATTTTGTAGACAAGAAGTTTATATTCTCTCTGTCTGAAGATCTTTATGGGGTGGGGAAGGTCAGATCTGGAAAGCAGTGCTGATAGAGTGGAATGTATCATTTCAAATGCTCTTTACATTCTTCATCAGTGTCTTTTAGTCACCCCTTTAAGTCAACCCCAATTTCTATTTATCACTGCCCAACCCGTAACTGAATGAGAAAATGAGATTATGCATTTGGTCACAAAATAAGAATGTAGAGTTCTAAAAGTGACAGGATGGTCTATCTTTGATTTGTCTACAAGAAAGTCTGTTTTACATAAATGGCTGTTTTACAAATTTGAAATGTGAATATATTTTATTTTTTCCCAGTGAGTACACAATACACAATTCTTTGACAATACTATTAATCAATTTTATGCCAATTTTTTTTTCTGATCTAACAACATCAAATGAAACACATTAAGATTTTGGACGCTGTTTGGTGACTTAAACTACAGTCCAAAAAAACCCATCTATAAAACAAAGTATAAAAAGTCTACCCACGGCCACAAAATCCCTTATCTTGCAATACTTTAAAGTCACAATAAATGCTTTTGAAAATTATGCGATAAGAAAAATTAGTAAATTGAACTTCATTTAAAAAAAGTAGGGTGTTTCATTTGAAGTACACATTTCAGAGAAGCAAAACAAAAGTAACTTCACCTCTAAGATAATGTGGAAAGACGTGTTGCTTTACACCAATTCTTGTCATGTTTAAGTCTATAAATACAATATACAGAAGCAGATGGACAAATCAGTGAATGTCATGGTTCTGCATATCTTTAATACTGACACACAATCACTTTCCAGAGGAGAAGATAAACCACAGTTCCGAGCTCATTGGTATTGTTATAATTACATTATCAATGGATAATTACATAAATTTGTTGAATAGAAATTTGGGGGTGTTCTATCAAAGCTTATACAAACTTTCAACTCAAATCCCACTGAAGATATATTTAAATACCCAGAGCATTAAACTATGACATCATAGAACACCATTTAATCTGTTTTGTTACCCCGAGCAAATAAACTTGCAATGTTTTTACATCCCTTTGGTTATATGACACCTTAAATGTTATTCTTGATTTTCCTATAGTCTCCTTTGAAACTGGATTCAAATCCTGTAAAGGAATCAATTATTTTTAGGCCCCCGTACTATCCCACCTTACTTTAAATATGGCATGGAAAAGATTTGGAGAAGGGGTAGGGCGACTCTGCCTGCATACACTGAAGCATACCTGAGTTGGGGCAATGATTTGGCTATTTCCCCCATGGAGACTTCGCATGTTAAGAATGGAGCTGTGCCTCTGTGGGGCACGGCTGCACAGCAGTGTTGCCTGTGAGTGAAGATAAGATTACATTCTCTCCCACCCAGACTTCCTTCTGACAGCTTAGTCAGGCCTCTGTTTAAGACCTGTAGAAGAGTGAGCTCAGTGAATTTCTAATCACATTCATTTCATTGGCTACAAAATGAAAAAATCACGGTACTCTCATACTGGTTTGTATTCTTCTAATGACATTCTGATTTACATTGATTAGAAGCTTTTACATATAGAAAGTTGACGAAGGCTTTTGATTTTTTGATAATGTTCCTGAATTCATTTGGAGGGCCACAGAATGTTATCTTGCTCTATCTCTATGTGAGGATGATATTTTTGGTGCAAGACTTGACCAACCAATTTATTTAATGCTAGATTTAACAGGGAATGTGGACTATTCTAAAAGAACATTCCAAGTAACCATAGGGTCTGTAGTGACATAATCAAACCAAACAGTTAATTTTTATGCACTGAAGACAATCAGGAAGGTATGATGCCATGCCCTGCATTATTCCAGAAGTCACCTGCATACACAGACTCTATTTTTGAAGTCTCGGGTAAGTAGTCACATACACCTGACAGTTGCCAGGGGTCAAAGGCTATGTGTAACATGTGTCATGAATTAAAGTTTTAGACTACATTGGGTTGTAGAGGAGCATAAAGAGGGAACACAAATGCACAAAACATTTTTTGCTTTTAAATAGAAAGAGGGGAAGAAAGGAACTGCATAAATAAAAATTTAAATTCCTCACATCCTACAGTGGTGAATAAGTATGTATTCATTCTTCACAGAAACTTCTCCTTTTCCCCAGTCTCTTTGTCCCAGAGAAATCAGACTGCAATGGCATTCAGGCACTGATGGTAGAAAGTTGATACAGGGATTAATAAGTGGGTCTCAAAATTCTTTTTCTCTTCAGTGAAGAAATGAACTACAGGGCTCCAAGATGTTGGGGCCCATGAAGAGCATTATGTTCCTCTACGCTTGCCTGTGTCGATGTAGTCTCAGGGAATCAAAAAGATGGAAACATTGAATTACATCATCCCCTTGCTATAACAATATGACATACAATTGGTGACTGAGCCGATAATGCACGGAGTACAAATTGTCATTCAAATGGGTCCCATATTTTAGAATTGATCTTAATCATTACATTGAATACTTTTCAAGGTATCAACTACTGAACACATCATAGAAAACATGAGAAAGTTTAACTAGAAATAGAATTTACAATTGTGTGGGCAGCACAGGGAAAAATGTCACAAGTGGGAATTGCAAGAAAGTTCTCTTCTGCTTGACTGATTGATTATACATGTACAGTAGTGAGCATATATTTCAAAGTCATACTCATTTTGACCATACATGACTGATGTTTAGGAACTTCTTGCTCTCAAAGTCGTGAAAACAAATGAGGCAGGACACTGTTATTAATGTCCACTTACGAGGTTTGGTTTTATTTAAAAAGTGTATAAACATGCATTTTTCTCCTTTTCAATTTACTCATTCAAAATGGGTGAAACATACTTTAGGTGGTAGCCAATTTCTGAGAGTGTCCCATAAAATATGTATTCCAGTAAATCTACTTACTGTGAACTGAACATACTCTGAGCACTGCTTTTCAAGCACTTACAATTTGGCTATACATTTGGTGGCATAAACTGCGCTTCTCAATCAAATAGAACACAGAATTGTATAGAGAAAATTGCATTATTTTCAAAAAGTCATGAATTTCAGTGATGCAGCTCTATCCTCTAGTGTGTACTGTACATGTCTTAGAAAGATGAAACAAGATATTGCAATAGAGTTTTCGTATTTGGAAGCAGCCCGAGTATGTCCTAATAATAAATTGCCTCTTTCACTATTTGCTAGATATGCTAGAGTTCATTTTGTTTGTTTCCTTGGGGAACTTCATATTATATTCTGACTTAATGAGTTGGAGAGATTAATTATGGTAATTCAGAAAATGCTTTTTTTAAAAAACTGTAATATAAATACAGCTCTTGTGAAACACCTTAATTTCTTTTTGCTTGTTTTAATTCTCAGAGGGGTCATTTACAATGACAGGTAAAGCTGATTCTAAACATAATTTTAGTTTCTTTTTTTTTTTTTTAGCAAGTGTAGTACATCTTTGCTACCTGTATTTTTTTAATGCCTATTCAGTCTTAAGACTTGAACTTCCTTCTTTTGACCCCTGCTTTTGTCGATACTAAAAGCCACCTTTCTGCTTTTTTTTTATTGACTCAGTCCCTGATGTTCAAAGAAGACTTCGCCAACGCCACTGTTCCTTTGCATCTCCCTATTTCAACACCCCAACTGAAAACCATCGGATGTGATCGGTTACAATCGGCATTATCCAACCTAGTTTACAGTACAGAAACTCCCTTCACATTCAGTCTTTTTCTTCATGTCACGAGGAGTAGAGATTTGTGCTTATCACCAAATAAAATTGCAGTGCAAAATTTAAACATAAAAGTTACACAATTAAAAGTTAATATATGGCACCACAGCCTATTAATTCACATATAGTACAACAGACCAATAAGAACAGACAATAATATGAACAGAGCTAAAAAGAGTGAGCTTGCATAGCAATGCACAAAAGAAGTTATATACAGAGGAAAATCCTTTTCTTCCTGGAGGGCAAGTTTTGTTTTCTTTCTTTTTTATATACTCCTGACAAGAAAGAGTTAAGGTGGGTGGTGTACTTAAGAGAAGAACACAAGTAAAACATCTGTGGGATATGTGTGGCTGTGTGTCTTTACATTGCATTTACAGTTCTTTTAATAGTACATAAATAAAGAAATTGTTCATTGCACTGTTTAGTGTCATCACTTCCATGAGTTCAGACCTGATGGTCCTTCAGAGCAGCTTTGCATGTCTCCTCTCAGTTACTCTACAAAGAGATTAAAAAAAATAAGAAATGTTTGCATTTAAATTAAGTATTCTTGTATCCTCACCAGCACGACAAAAAGCAAAGCAAATAGATACTAAACAAAGATAACATCATCAAATATATTTTGTGAGTTTGTGAATTTAAGAAATTTTACTTATGGGAAGGGAAAGAAAAAGAAACAATGTAGAATTTGAAGATTTAAAAATCCAAGTCGAACTATTTTTGGGCTTCTTGTGAGTCTATAATGACTCCAAAACAAAAGTTAAAGAAAAATTCAAGTAGTCATGAATCAACTAAAAATTATAAACATTACCTTAAGAATAATCAGATTAGTAACAGACAACAATAATGATAACTCCCATTAATAAAGAACTAGACTGTTTCGAAACCACTTTTACTTTTCATTATCTCATGGTATCGCCAAGACTGTGATGTGAGCATAATAGCAATGCAATTTTTTACATAAGGAAATAGATGAGGAAGGCAGTTTATTTTATTTTCTCACACAACCAGTAAGTGATTGAGAAGACTGGAACCTAGGGTTGTTCCTTAAGCAGTGCTTTCAAACTGAATTCAAAGAAGCAGTTGAAAATATTCAGCAAGTATAATTTTGACATTGGATAGCGAAATTGGTAACTTTCATGATGAAATTAACAAAAAGAGTTCAATGCTTTTTACTTGACATACTACAACATCCTATCTTTTTCCATTGCCTAGCATTTTATATTTAGAAAATAGATTAGTTATACTAACTACCAACGCCAGTTCTTTATTCAAAAAGAGAAATTTATTTATAATATACATTTTTATAATCAAAGCACTACAAATTAACTAAAATCAAAGATCAGCGTTTCAAAGTTGACTCCCTAAATTTAAAAAAAAAATAAATGAAGAGCAAGTAGAGAGTGAGGACCTTCTAAGGAGGTTCTTTGAAACTCCCAAAGGGTTGGTATGTTTCTCGTTCTTTTATTGTGCTCAGTTAAAAAGGCAAAGAAAACTAAAGTGGACTATATTTAATTAACTTGTAAGTACTAAGATTGGTTGCCTAAATTTATACAACTTTTGTATAGTATAAATCAGACTTGAAATAGAAGATATGTTTATTTAATTGACTGCTGTAAATAGCAATGGTATAAGTCATGACCAAACCTGCTCAAAATCGTAATTGACTTTTTCTCATAGTAAAGCTAGTTTTCTACTATTCTGAAATTTGTTTACTGTGGCAATGTTATTGATGGGGTTCAGGACATGCTACCCAAAATATGGCACCTTGATATATTGATACCTTAAGCTGAAGGATTTTGAGAAAATGGCAGAAGCGGGAAGGTCACTCTGACCCGCCCCTCTTCACCATTCTTCCCTGAAACAGGTCATAAAACTCCCAAGTGAAAGGTACACTCCCTGTACCAGGAGGCAGGAAGACATTCTCATTACCAGAGACAGGGAGTTTGAGTTGAGAAATCTGTACAAACAAACTTTGTTAAACTAACCCTTATCTTTCTAGTTACTTCTTCACTGTTTACTACCCTTACCCCCAACCCCTCTGTTTTGTCAATTTTTCACAAGTTTATTGTTTCTTTGTCTAAAAGGTAGAAAAGCTTCCTGCACTGGTCACCTCTTTGGGTCTTTATTCTCTTGTGAAAGCTCCCATGTACATATAAAAGTTCAATAAAATTTGTATGCTTTTTTCTTGTTAATCTGTCTTTACCAGTTTAATTCTCAAACCCAGCCAGGGACCCTAAGAGGGTCGGGAGGGTCCCTACATTATTAACCCAATATTCTTTCTGAATCACCATAGCCTTTCAAACGTCCTAAAGCACTTACATAAATCACCTGGAATCTGTCCTTGACTATTTGAGCCCATATATCCTATGTCAAGAAGGTCGCTGGCATTGCGCTGGTGGCTTCCCCTCAACGCCTCGGCTTTCCTAGGTCCAGTGGATCCTTTAGAAGAAGCTGTTCCTGATGAGCTGTGACCTCCTGGTGATGGGAAACTGGGCTTGCTATAGGGCACCAAGGTCTCCTCTGAAAAAAGAAACACAAAGGGCTAAGTTGAACGGCAACAAGGAGACAAAACTAACAACTTTAAATATTAAGCTCAAGATGGGCTATTTTACCATTTCAGTCCTTTGTAAAATTAAAAATAAGAGATTTAATAAGACTCAAATATTAAAGGAATTTCCATGTGAAAGCAACATTTCCTACAACAGGAACTGAAGCGGGATTAAATGAAAAGAGATTTTAAGATAAATATACAATGTTATACATCATTTGCAAAATTTAAAAATTCATTATAAAAGACAGCTGCATACAATGATCCATATTGTTTAACAAAAGCATTTCTGAGAATAATTCCTGGAGTTCAATGAGACTCCACTTTAATTCCTCCATTAAGACAGGAGGAACATGGTTTTTGTTTTAGTTTAAATTATGGCAACAATTTCTCAATCGATTTAGATAAAGAACTCTAGTACATTACTTAATAAAATAAGCTTTTTAAATTTGTTGTATCTTGGGATAGAAACACATTGTGTATTACCTTAAAAGAAAAAGACAAATTCACACATTTTAATAAATAATGTGTCAGTATTATTTTTTATGTACCATCTCTCTACAAATAACTCATGATGTATATTACTAAATACTTAATACTTTGAAACCATTTTTTCTTTCTTTCTTTCTTCCTGTCTCTCTCTCTGCACCCCCTCTGTTTTTTTCTTTCTTTTTAGGTATGGGCTATATTATTACTGCGATTAGATGACTATTTCTCTCCTAAGATAGTCACCATGAAATGACAAAAATCATTGATTTTTTCGCTTACAGCCTGAATGGTGTAATTTTCCTAAATGTTTCACTAAATCTAGATACTAAAATTGCTATATTTTGGCCTTGCATAAATTACATTTTCTAAAACCTTGAGCACCAAATTGTGACACCATATAATTATTGAAAATGCATGGGGAGAGGATATATCTAGAAAAGATGGAGTCCAAATTAACAAATGAATATGTAAGGAAACTCTTTCAAATGTTGTTGTATGTGTGTTTGTTTGTTTTTTGGTGAGGAAGATTGGCTCTGAGCCAACATCTGTTGCCAATCTTCCTCGTTTTTTTGCTTGAGGAAGCGTGGCCCTGAGCTAACATCTGTGCCAATCTTCCTCTCTTTTGTATGTGGGATGCCACCACAGCATGGCTTGACGAGCAGTGTGTAGGTCCACGCCCGAGATCTGAACCTGTGAATCCCAGGCCGCTAAAGCAGAGCATGCAAACTTAACCACTATGCCACCGGGCTGGCCCCTGTGCATATTTTAATACTCAATGAATCCTGACATGAGGAGAAATGTTGCGGAAAATGCATTTCTGTAACAGGCTCAACAATCTCCCCTTGTACTGCCCCCCACAAAAAATTCCAAACACAAACCATGAAATTTATTTTGTACATTTCCAGGAAACTTGATTTATAAACAAGAACATTTCCCATTGAAGTGTTAACCATCAACTAAATTTAATCAGTTGGAGAAAGTGCAGGCCCAGTTTAACTTTTTCTTAGGATTCTGTGATTGGGCATTTATTTGCAACTTTATTTGGTATTTCAATTAATTCAACTGTTTGACTGAAGTGACTTCTCCCTTCAAAATGACTAGTTACTTCAGTCAAAATGAATAAACTGGTGGAAGGCAGAGATTAAACTGACACTAGACAAGAAATTTAATGGTCCTAAAAATACTCAATATAAACATTAAAAGGAAAAAATCAAATTGTTTCCTGAGCGCTACAGAAGAAGCTTGGAGGTCTCTTGGGATCAAAGACCCTAAGCAGAGGTTAAGCTGAGGAACAGTCCCCACTGGAGTCAGCCTTAAGGCATGTGCCTGTGAGCTCTGCTGAGGAATTCCAACTTCAGTTAGTGATTCAAGGCAAATGTATTTCAGATGCCTTTAATGAACTGCTATTTCTAAAATACCTGGTAGAAAAAAAAATTGGTAAAAGTCCACACTTTCTTGGAACTGTGCAGAACACACCTGGTCCGACACCTTGTTTGTGTAGGGCTTTCCGTATATCTTCTTGGCGTTCTGTGGAGTTTATCCATTCCTGGGTTTGTCGCTGCCACTCTAGGGACGTTCTAGCTGGACAATCCAATGAGCTCTTTGTGTCTTCTAAGTTGGATGTTTGTTGTCTCTCCAGAGAGCTTCCTTTTCTCTCTGTTGAGTTTTCCACGTTACCAGCATGCTGGCTCAGGCCTATTTGCTGCCTTAAACCCTGACCTGGAGGGGGGTCTGGTGGTGGTGGAAGATCTAAAAATTTTGAATAATGTTTAGAATGGACTAAAATTTAATGAAAGATACAGGTTTTAATTCAAGATGAAGAAAAAACCCTTGCCCTCCTAAAGGTATCACCCATGCCAACGAAATTTGGGGGGAAAAGGGTCATTTATATCCAGAAATGCATATTATTGATCTCTTTGCTATCTTTTGATCACAGTGTTTTTGAAATAAAATCAACTGGTTTTATCCAACTATTGTATAGAAAGTGTTTCTCACTATTGGAGTTTTATCCAACTATTATTGGAAAGTGTTTCCAATTGCGCATTGAGGCTAATGTTCAAGGCGTAAAGGGCAGTTTATGGTTTCTCCACATTTAATCCATTTCCACCCCCACCTCTCCAAAATAGAAATACTATGACACAAAATGACTAGAAATTCTAGCAGCTGTGTTAATAAAAGGCCCTGGGAAGAATAAAAGTTGTCCTGCTAATCTCCATAGGAAATGTTGCCCTCGGGAAATTAAGAACTATGTGCCGTATCATATGCAACATATGACTGCCTTTATCCATGTACGAGGCATATTCAGCAATAGTCTAGGAGTTAAGCTAACATTTATTAAATGCAATTAACATTCTGCCTGACAACCAATTCCAGCTGTTGGTTTCATGAGTTAGCTAATGGGTTACAACTAATGTATTATAATCTTCGAACGTATTAATTTTAATAAGTAATAACCAATGTTCAGAGTACAGATAGAATATGCTTTGTGGTGCTAGAGTAGACAACACATCATGAAAATCTGAAATGTAGTGGAATAGATAACTTTTCAGAAAAGCTCTTTAAATTAAATATCATATCAAAGTTCAAATACTCAGCTAATAATTCATTTTTCTTTTATTAGGTCGTCAGATCATGACACATTTATATTTTGAATGTCTTCAATTGTGAATTCATAGTCCCTTCTTGCATATTTATGTAAGTATTCTACTAGCTCTATTATATGATTTATACTATTATACTAGTTCTCAAATTACTTTGTTGAAGATTTTGAAATCTTCTAAACATTCTAAACTTTGTTTTGTATTATTTTCTTATGATTTTTCTGGCATGCTATTGCAAACTTCTTTGTTCATCCTGAGTATCAATAATTATATTATTTGTCCATAAAGACCAAATACCATATATAATATACATAAATATCATTGATAGAGGATATTGTATATAATATAGGTAATTATTTCTCAAGCCACATTTTTGCAATAATGCTCATTTCTAATAATATTGTTAGTGAAATTAAAAGCAAAAAGTATAAATTTCTTGTGTACAAAAGATAGCTTCCTTAAGGGACGCTAAGTTGCTCCTTTTAAGGACTTTCTAAGACACTTTATACTCTTTTTAATGATCAAAATGATGTTGTCCTCCACTGAACTGACAATGATAATCCCCTCAGCATCTGCTTTGGGAGTTCCCATGTTGGAGCAGCATTCCCAGTTCTTATGCATGTCCTCTTGTTAGATTATGAATTACTAATTATTGATGGGAACAGGGTTTCCATCTGGGAGAATAAAGTTGCATTTGGAACATTTCTTCCAAAATGAAGAGGTAATCCAATACTGAGATATCTGTTTGTTGAATAATCCACCACTGATTTTGGTGTTTCCTTTGTATTCAATACTGACTTCCTTCAGTATGTATTATTATAAATGCAAATTAATTATTTCATTTCAGTTATTGGACTTAAGGCTGCCAGTAGGAAGGAAATTATTGTATTTGCTTCCAAAATAGCACATCTTGTCATTGATTTTTATTCTCCATCAGAGCAGCTTAATTTTTAAAATGGCCAAAATGGCATCTGCTTATGCTAGCTAGAATTCTGATTACTATTAAATTTAACCTGAAATTATATGGCTAGATAATTAAGTAATATCTTTGAAGTTTGTATATTCTGAGAAGAAAGAACATTGTATGTACATTGAAATAAACAAATTGGAAAAAAGATAGGATTAAGAATGCTGTGGAAAAAATCAAAGTATGTAATAAAATATATTTACTTAAATTAAATTTATTATTCATTTCTATGTGGATTCATTTCAGCTAAATCAATTCATTGAAGAGTCTCTTACCAGCCTACTGGGGATTTGCTATTGTCAGGCACACAACAGTCCAATGATATATGTGCCATTATTATCCTCTTTTTTTAGGTAAGAAAAAGGAGCCACAAAGAAATGAAATATCTGCAGCTTAGATTGCTCCTTCCAAGAACTCCAGACTCATATAACTAAATCCACACCAGAGAGTTCAAGTTAGATGTTTAGAGAGCATCTCAAATTTCACATATCAAAACTGAGCTCTAGACCTTCCTCTACAAAATATGCTTCCTCTGTAGTGCTCCTCATCTCAATTAGTAGCAATTCCATTCTACAAGTTGGCCTAAACTTTAGAGTACTCTTTACAGCCTGTATAATTTCATTAACAAATCCTGTGGGCTCTACCTCCAAACTATACCCAGAATTCCACCTTTCTCATCGCTTCCACTGATCCCACCTTGGTATGAACCTCTAGCATCTGTTCTTTATATTACTTCTACAATCTCCTCTGTGATTTCTGTGCTTCCACATAGAAGCACATTCAGTCTATCTTGACATAACAGATAGAGAGACTTTCTTTAATAAAAGCATAAGTAAGATCACATCTTAAACACACACACACACATGCACACACCTTCAGTGGTTTCCCATTCAAAGTAAGAGCCAATGTCCTTATAGAAGCTTAAAGATCTTAGATCACTGGTCCTCGCTTTCTTTTCTGACTTCATATTCTATTTTCTTGCTCTCTCTGCTTCGATCACACTATCCCTTTTTCTTTTCATCAAATAAATTCAGGCTTCCACTTGGTGTTCTCATTTCCTGGAATGACTTTCCCTAAGATATCAGCATTGCTCTTTCCCTTATAACCTTCCATTCTTTTCTCAAATGTCATATTCTTAGCAAGGCCTTCCCTGAGCACTCTACTTAAAAAATATCCCCCCACACCTTTATATTTCTCAACTTTCTTCTGATGTTTTTTTCTCCATGACACTTACCACCATCTTACATTCTTTTTGTTTTCACTTATGTATTTATGTTGGTCCTTATGTATCTTGCCCTACTAGAATGGAAGCTCCAGGAGGGCAGGGAATTTTGTCTGTTTGGTTCCCATTGCCTCCCATTTAGTATGTGCTTCATGAATGTTTGAATGAATAGATAAATGAATAAAGAAATTTGCTCAATGGTCAAAACTAGTCTGTAGCAGAGCTGGGAAAGAGCCCCTTCTCTGAATGGGCTATGAGGAATGAGGAGAGGATAGGCTGGAAGGAGATGATTTAGGGAAAAAAGGCTGATGGATAGAGATCTACCTGCTCTGCCTTCTTTGTTCAGCATTGGTCAATATACTGGCTTTAAAGGGTATTCTTTGGCTTATGCAAATGAAATAGATCTGGATTGAGCAATGCCTGCTTACGAGAGAATTTATCCACAGGAGAAGAGCACTCCTTAACATGTGGGTGGGTTTTTGCATAGCCTTTGGGACAGAGACTGATGTTTCCCACCATTCCCAATTCCTCTTACTGGACACAGGAAAGATTACTTTCCCACTCCAGAAGTTAGTTTGATGCCACGTGACAGAGTTCTCACCAAGGAAATAAGAGGAGTGATATTTGGCACTTGCAGGCCTGGCCATAGAACTTCCTAAGTGATCACCCATGTTCTGTCTTCCCATCACTCAGAAACCATAAAGGTCCTATCTTGAAAATAATGGTATCCCAATACTGAAGAAGCATACATCCTTATATTACTACCTAGGGGAGAGCCCCTTGACCTTTATAAATCAGCGTGTCCATGAAAAACAAACTCTTGCTGTGCTAAGCCACTGAGGGATAGAAGTTGTTTGGTTTAGCAGCTAGCAATAATTACCCTGACTAATATACTCATAAAACACTATTGTAAAATCTATAATGCAAAAGTTTTAGTGTAAAATGTGTATATACTAGGTGCTACTAAACAGCAAACTTCCCAAAAAGAACAGTTTGATTTTACATACAAATATTATAAAATTATTACTGACGCATGGATTCATACCATATAAATGCTATAATATATACATTTGCTGTAAAATAATATCCTTAAGGATAATCTGTAGAGTGCCATCCAAAATAAATGTCCTTGTATCATAACTAAAATGTCTTTGGATTAAATAATTGGGAAGACATGGGAGCCAAAATTTCCTTTGCAATATCACTACTTCCAAAATGTATCTACTAGCAACACACAATCCATAATCCTTTTTGGAAAGGTTGGCAAATTTGGAAAGTTAGGAAACTATTTGTTTTTCAGAAAGATAAGTAGTATATTGATCATGCTTTAAACTAGGAGGCGGCTTGCTTTAACCAGACATTCTGAAAAAGCTTGCAAAAAAAAGTGTTTTAGGAACAAAGAAAAGAGCTTTCTACTTTGTTGATTTATATTTTATATCTTCCACATATTCTAGATATGATCTTCAAACATTTCGGAAAAGCCACAGAAAAACATATACGAGGTTTTTTTTCTCTTTATATGACATTCACAGCAGGAAAATTATACAAAATTATTAAATCTGAGATTTGTAACTAGCATACCTGTGAGAATAGTCCTTTTTATTTAGAGGGAATAAGATCAACACTATAGACTGCTTTAAGTGCTCAACTAATCTTCAGAACATCTGAGGCAGGGAGGCAGTATGAGATTTTTGCTCCCCACAGGAGATCCATTTATGGAGAATCAAAATCTCGATTGTACCCTTGCCCTCATATTCCATAGAAACACTCCCAATGAAAACAAAGTAAGCAGGAAAGATAAGTCACCCTGAAAGCTTTTAGAACACATTATATTTGGCTTTTAAAGTCTTCTTAGTGTTATAAAATGACAAAGGAAAGCAGAAGGATGGCTACCAGATACAGACCCCCTCAAAAAAAAAAAAAAAACAATAAAGAACAAATACTTCTTTTCTAACTGAGCTTCATTGTGTCCTATAATGGTAAGTCTAAGAGACTGAGATGAGCGCTAAGGACTCAGTCACAGCTTCTCAAAGCTGACCACACATTAGATTGAGCTTTAAAAATACCCATAACTGGTTTTCACCCTAGAACAATTAAATCAGAATCTCCAGAGTATATTTAAGAGTTCCCTAGATGGTTCTAACGCACAGCTTGGCTAGGTTTATCCTTTTGGGGTTTAGTAGAGCTATCTCAGGACGAAGTTTGTGTGCTTGTAGGGATAGTGCTGAGAAGGGGGAAGAAATTTACGTTTGGGTCTGACACTACACTAGGCGCTTTAAATATATTATCTTACATATTTCTTAGAATAAAACTTCATGATAAATATTTTTATTCCTATTTTTAAATATATGAAAATTAAGTTGACTATATGGGAAATAGGTCCTCCAAGGACACCTTCCAATAATATTGTGTTTCCTGAAACTAGCAGTGTTTATGCAAATACTCAAAGACTGGACGCCACATATAAATAAAAGGATTGAAATAGATCAGCAAACTATGGCCCATGGGCCAAATTCACCTAGTCTATTTTGTCAATAAAGGTTTATTGGAAATCAGTCACACCATTCATTTATTTTCTCCTACAGCTGCACTGGCGCTACAAGGGCAGTGCTGAGTAGTCGTGACAGAGACTATATGGCTCGCTAAAGCCAAAATTATTTATTATCTGGACTTTTACAGAAAAAGTTTGTTGACCCACCAACTAGATGATATGTAGCATGCTTTCAGCCCTGAAATTCACAAAACTAAAAAATTACTAAATTACAATTCACTTCCTGGTCTTTTTCAAAAGTGAAATGTCATCTGAGATATCTTAATTTAATATCAGAAATGTTCTGACAACATCGCAAGTGCACATGCTCCTTATGTTTTCTTTCCTAAACTTAAAGGAGAATGTTCACTAAAAAGCATTAATGGAAAATGCCAGAATGGTAGAAAAGTCATCATTGAAAAGTGGTATGGCATATATTTCTTGGGGCTTGATAATATAGAAATAATTCCAGATTGTTAAAAAAACAAAGAGGGTGTTTCATTTAAATGAGACCATATCGCCAGGTTTTCTGCATTGTTATATAATGAGGCAATGCCTAATCTACCATAGCTACTTTAGTCTAAATAAAGGATGGCACAGAGCACATCTCTTCAGTGAGGAGACAAGGGAGGAGGAAGCAAACCTACCATCTGTCATTCCTTCCCTCCGGTGAGGCAATGCTGGCTGTTGCTCCATTCGCCTTCCATTTTGTTTTTTAGTGGGCCGAGGCCTCTGACTTTGATTCAGGGCTGCACTGGTGCTACTGTCAGTAGAAAATGGGCTGGTTGGTCGAGGTCTTTGAGAGGAGGTAAAGGCTTTGCCTAAAAAGAAAAGAAAGGGGAAGATATATAGAATATTATTATGATACACTGATTCTCTCTGTCTTGTATTTCTGCTTTTACTAAGACTAACCTGCAAACCTGCCTAGAGATGCCGCTTGAAGATATCAAATACTAGTGCATCTCAATAGCAAAAGTATGCCTCGCTGCCTTTATTTTGTCCAATTTTTAATAAGCAACACACTACCCACTGAAAAAACTCAAACAAATGTATATAAAATAAATCTACCAACCAAAAACTTGATATTACTTGATTATATTTTTATGTAACCTTGACAATCTTAGTGATATTTTCATAGATATATACAAACTCATGCAGCTTTTACTTCTTAAAACTAAAGAAGCTATTTTTGAAATGAATTATGTACTGTCTTATTTGTTTAATCAAGCTTCACCCTTGGAATCTTACAAACTCTCTTTGGGCACAGAAAAATGTCCTGTAGTAATTACATTTGAAATTTTACATGAAAGGTCTGCTCAGACACGTACATTAAATTAACCTTACCACCCATACACATACACCATGAATTCTACCTCTTTTAGCAGAAACTCAATAACATTAGTGTATAGAATAGGACAGATATCAGGTTAAAATCACCTTGTCTATCCAAAGTGCAATAGGTGTTTTCTAACGAATATTACTGTATTTGAGCAGACTCCAAATTCTCATTGAGAAAGGAAATGTGCTATGTCCTTTCCTTGTGGTTTAGTGTACACGTGCAGGGAACTTTCTTCTGGGAAAAGGTTAGCTAATAAATTTTCAACATCTTATGGTTTTAATATCATGTTTATTATGGTAAGAGAGGGTTGGTTTATGTGCACGTATTTATTCTCTTGTGTATGTTTTCATTTCGTACAAAATTGTTGTATGTCGTTACATTTTCTTAAGTCAATGTGACATGATATTGCTTAATGCTTTATTAGCTATTAGCATACATGCAAGAAGTGCACTTATGCCTTCTACTTTATTAGTCTCCTTGCACTTTCTCACTGCTCTGCTTACGGTTATGCCACAAAAAGCACTCAGGCAACATCAAGTTTCAAACTTGTGCTTTATAAAGCAAGAAAATTCAAATAACCGTTATATTATGACATATTTTAGTTTGGATGCTAGATGAAAAATAAACCTCTGCAATGCTTGGAAAATATTTTTTTATTTCTTTTGAAGGTACCTAATGCATGCACCACAGAGATACTGATGGTACAATTCAAAGAAAATTTCCAAGATTCATTTTTAGAATCTGAGAGTTTAGTGAAGGGTCAAATTGTTTTTATTTTACTATTTAAATACTATCAGATTTCAAAAACGTACTTAGAGTTTCATTAGTTTGTTTTGTAAGGTAGCTCAGTTTAATTCATATATTATAACCTTGTTATATGTGCATTTAAGGAGTACACATAGACCTAAGTTATTTTTTTTTCAGGAAAACAAATGATTACAAGTTACCAATATATTATTAGAGTGAATTCCATATTTATTTTGGGGGGAATGATCAGATACATGAAAAATTACATAATGGGTCTTTTATCTTATTACTTCTTACTCTCAGAAACCAAAATTAGATTACTCTAAGGAGCAGCACATATGTAGTCATTATTTTATTCAACTTGCAAATGCAGTGGGTGTATCTTTCATTAGCATCCTTTAAAACAAAGAAAATATTATTGGATTAAAATCTTAATAGCCAAACAATTAATAAGACCATCAGCCATTTGAACTGTTAGACTGACAGCCTTAGACCCATTCACCCCATGCTGAGAAAGCCTTCCCAGAAAATGCATTTGCAGAAGGAAATGGGGCAAAGGAAAGCAATGGAGATAAAAGCTGAATAATTTTAATCACTGGGTACATTATTGATTGTGTGAGAATTTTGCAAAGTGTGAGTTATCGAAAATTTAATGGCAATCTTAGTTGCTGCTTTGCTGTAATATAAAAAGGAAGCATATTCCAATTAATCAGCAGAGCCGTGAAGGGAAAGGGAAATAAAGGATAGAAGGCGGTGAGTAGGAGCCTATTCTTGGCTCTGCGAAACTAGCATCAGAAGAGAGTTCTGGTAATTGAGCATCCAAACTGTGTTCATGCATATTAAAGAAAGCCCGGCAGTCAGACTCACTGAGGAGAAAGAACAGGAGAGAAAGAGCTCAGTGTCCAAATGACAAGATTCTGTCATGCAAAGAGTGTTGACTCAGGGTCTACCAACCTGTTCTTGTAAGGCTGGTTCCATCCAGCCTAAAACCAGCTTTATCTGCTGCTGCCACCAGTGCTTGTGCAAAACTGCCGCTGGCAAAGATGGAGCCATCTGAGGAGCTACCTACACTAGATCTATGACTAGAAAAGTTACGATCCTCATCAGATGCAGAGCCCCATCCATTTACCATTGAACCTAAAAACAAATGTAGTTGTCTAGTGAGTTGTATATATTGGAGAGTTCATCTGCTTGTACACACTTTACTAATGAACAAGTAGGCTGCCTCAAGGTAAATCTGGTTTCATCATGACTTCTTTAGCCATATGCAAGCATCATCCATGTTTTACACATTCCTAGTGCAGAAGAATGAAGCTCATTTAAAACTTGTATCTATTTGCAGCATATGAACAGAACAGGTTCCATATGTTCCATTCTTACATTGTTTAAATTATTACATGATCATTTTCCAAAAGAGAATTGCTATGTATGTTTTAAGTTCTACAGTTCAGAGAAGAACACTTTTATTAAAATAAATTATAGTATATTTAAAGTAAACTTATCAAAGACTCAGTTGAAGAAATAGTGTGACTATATTTTGAATTTGATAAAGACTCCAATGATAATTTGCATGAAATCTACTCTTGTATACTGTAGAAGGGCTAGAATTATTTCAAGATTTTAAAATTAAAATTTAATTACTCAGAAAATAACAACAAACACTCATAAACAAAAAAATGTATAAACAATACCAAAGCAAAGAGACTTAAAACATAAGAAAAAATGTATCTTTCAAAAGTTTTATTTATTTCAGGGCTCAGTATGCTTTCTTTGCTTTAATAAGTTTAAGAACTCCTGTTTTCTATTTAAAACTAATCTTTATTTTAGAAAATTAACCATTATGAAGAACATTAATGGCATTAATATGAATTTTTCTGCAAAATGAAACATGGCAATAGAGGAAAAGAACTGCAGCTGTATGAGCAAAGAGCTACAAGATTTGAAGATACTGAGAGATAACTTGTATTCTTAATTATTCAGCAAATCATTAACAATTCCGTATTTTTTTCCTTAGACCAAAGCACAGCGAAACCTTAACCTATAACTTAATACAATTAACATTACAAAGTTTATGTTGACGTACCATTAATTTATGACACAATAAAGTACCAAGTGTTGCTTATCCTAATTTTTTTAAAGAGAGGCAAAAATGTACTTATAAGAAGTTAATTTAAGATTTCTAAATAAACCAAACACATATTCACTTAAAGAGATTAAAGTCAAGTGCCATAGATTTTTCCCCCTTTTCTCCAATATTTAAGAAACAACAGTATAGTTAGGACAGCTGCTGTGACGAACTATTTGTACTTTTAGTCAAGGTGCCAGAATACAATAACACGGGTTCATGCACTTTCAAGACAGAAAAAACAGAAACCCAAGGGGTTGGAAGGATCTGAGAAGTTAAAAGGGTGTTAAGTGTAGCAGAGAAAGATAGAGTTTTGATTCTATTTGCCAAAAGCACAGAGATACACTTTCTGCGTTCCAAACAAATTCCCTTGACACAGGCCACTGCAGGAAGCCAAGATAACACCAGCAACTGAGCCTCCTCCGAGGGAACCATTTCTGAGTTAATAATCACAAGTCAAGGACCAACAGCCCAAAATGAAAGGAGAAATGATGCGACAGGCTTTGCAATCTAACGCTACAGTAGATAAGAAAAAATCAAAGTGATTCAGTCAGTGATCACAAAAGAATATGAAACCCCAGAACTGAGGATAGTTTTGAAACATGTGAAAGAGTAGTCCAGTTCCTTCCATGTACTGTTTTCTATATTTCTAAATGGCTGTTAAACTGTGAATAAATCCATGTCAGCTATCTGAAAGTCACTCTCCAAGCATGTATCTCCTTTTCTACATCTCCAATTTCATTCCTCAGCTCCTCCTAACTGAAATCCTTCTAGTCCCTTCTATCTTCCTCAATGTCATCTGAATTATTTTTCTGAAACATGTATCACAGTATTTTGTTCCTCCATTCAAAGTCTTACCTCGCTTGCCAATGCCACATCCAAGCACCGAATTAGGTTTGAGATCCTTCTACATCTATCCCAGCCCATCTACCTTTCCAGCTCATTCCCTCTCAGCCTGTGCAGTCCTCTTACTTCACCTACATAGCATTACCTCTTGTTCCTTCCACACGCCTATGGGTTGTTACTAACTCTATCAACCACTGCCAAACTTTAAAGTCCAAATCAGTATCATCTCTTTTATCACCCTGATTCCACCTCAACTTCAACCCTCTCTTAGGGAGAATCAAGCTCTCTACCTCCTGTGTTTTTCAAACAGTGTGCATATAGTAGCATATCAGGTCTCTACAAACTACAGTTTGTTGCATGTAAATGTTTGCTCTTCTAGACGGTGGAACTCTGGAGATTAGGAACTATTTCTCGTTCATTTTCATCTCTCTTACACAGGGACACTGTACAGTAGAAATTCAATAAATATCAGGTATATTGAATTAAATGCCTTCAATATTTTCATTATTCACCATAAATTCTATATGTGATTCTAGTCTATGTGTAATTTCCTAGCAATGACCTTATTTTAGTTACAGAAAGAATGTACTCATAAGAATGCCTAGAAAATTTATTAAATAAGGAATATAATGTTAGTCTACACTTGATTACTTGGACAATGGGGAATCAGTGAGGTTTTTCATTTTGACAAATTTAGTCTTTGAACCTAAGAAACTTAGGAAAAATCCTACACCACAGCAGTGTCACTAAAGAAATGCCATCCTTGGAGATCTCTTAACAGAGAGTTAGCTTGACTTTTTCAAAAACATCCTATTCATCTCCCTATGATAGTCCTTCATAAGAGGATTTCCACATACAAATTTGCCAATCTTTAAGCAAATCAACTACTTTCCTGCCTTTGTGTCTTTGCTCTGACTTTATCTCAGTCATCAATGCTCCTTGCTATGCCCTCAGAAATTCCAGTTATTCATGAAGTCTTCCCTGATGCTTTTTCCCTTTCCCTGGGAAGAGAGAGTAGCATATAAGACATGGCTTCAAGTGGGTGTTGGTCAATATGGAAAGAACCCCATCCACTATGCAAAATAGTATGGAGATTCCTCAAAAAATTAAGAATAGAACTACCATATGATCCAGCTATTCCACTTCTGGGTATTTTTCCAAAGAACACAAAAACACTAATTCAAAAAGATATATGCACCCCTATGTTCCCTAAGCATTAATTACAATGGCCAAGACTTGGAAAGAACCTATGTGCCCATCAACAGATAAATGGATAAGGAAGATGTAGTGTATATACATACAATGGAATACTACTCAACCATAAAAAAGATGCAATCTTGCCATTTATGACAACATGGTGGACCTTGAGGGCATTATGCTAAGCAAAATAAGTCAGAGGGAGAAAGCCAAATACCATATGATTTCACTCATATGTGGAAGATAAAAACAACAACAAACACATAGACACAGAGAATAGATTGGTGGTTACCAGAAGGAAAGGAGGGGGCAAAAGGGATAGAAGGGCACACGTGTATAGTGATGGATGGCAATTAGACTTTTGGTGGTGAACGCAATGTAGTCTGCCCACAAATCTAAATACAATCATGTACACCTAAAATGTATATAATGTTATACAAACCAATGTTACCTCAATAAAAAATTTTTTCAAACAATTAAAGAAAAGAAAGAAAGAAAGAAACATCACCAGCTATTCATTCTGTACTATTCTCTGTAAGAGCAAAGAAACCAGATAGATGACTTCAGAGTTGAAGAGGTGTATGCCATAGAGATTTGGCCCTGGTGGGCAACAGAAAACCTCATCACTCCAAGCTAAAGAGAGATAAGCACCCTCGGGTTAGTGTAGTTGAGTTTGCCTTCAAAATGGAAGGCAAAAAGGAAACAAACAGAAGGAAATAAATTTTCTTTCCCTCTTTGTCCCTCTGTCTTTATCTTCAACAGCCCCTGCTTTTGATTTGAATACGATATATGGAATGGTTCCATTTGCGGGGAATATTTTAAAAAATAATTGGGCAACACTGCATGCATAAAAAAGTATGTTCATATATTAAATTTCATCCCTGTTGTAAAATTGTTAAAATTTATCACTGATTTCACCTCTCTGTGGCTACCATTCTTCCTCTTTAGATTTAAGCATCAACAATGATCTGAAGATTTATGTAAAACTATAACAAAAAAAAGAAGAGAATGTTTTGAAGGAAAAAAAAATTGATTCCTGAATTAAAAAGTAAGCAATTTTTGTAATAATTGACTTCTTTCATAAATGTAAATATAAACATGAAAATTAAGGCGAACACCAGTAAAAACAGTTCGGTTAGAGATTTTTTTACAAATTACAAGCAATCCATACTAATTTGACATGTTATAGTCCCAAACATAATCAATACATATTTAAACATTTAATGAAAAATGAATTTGTGTCACATAGCCAAATTTATTTGTGTTTACATTTTCAATCTTTAAAATTTCTCAGGTTTAAAATTGCTGAAAGGCCAAAAAAACCCTCAAATTTATTCAAGCTGTTAAAGAAGAACTGCATAGAGGACATTAAGTTGTTGCTCAAATGTTACAGAGCAGTAAAATATCATGATAAAGCGGCATCTTGCTGTGTCTCTATTACATCTTCAGCACTAAAATTAATTTATGATCAGTCATCAATTCATTTACATGTCATTTTATGCTAAATCCTTCCTTGCTGATAAATGCTTATCCTTAGATCCATTAAGCTAGAGTAAAGTCTGTGCTTTATAATATGACCCTGCTAATTGTTGCATTACCATTTTTATGAGATACAAAAACTGGCTGTCCCCCATTTTTTCAGCCAATATTTAATCCAGGAACTCTTCCTATTAAGTGCAATCTGTCTCTCTCTTAAATAAAATCTTCAACTATAAGTGTCTTTGAACAAATTAATCCATATATTGACCTCTGCCCAGATGTAGAAAAACATGTCTAATCTACAGAAGTCCTTCTTCGAGTCAAACATATTGACTCTTCAACAATTCCACCTACATTCCTCAAAGAGAAAGAAATGTGTAAGGAATATGGAGAGAAAAATAAGCAATTAAAAAAAAAATCTCTTCTTTGGGACATGTGACACCTGTTAACTTGTTCCACTCATAAAAATTAAACATATGATATTCCTCTTTCATTTGTTAAATTTTGGAGTGTATAGTTAATTTCTTTTTAAATACATCAAAGCTGTTGAGATAATCTAAGAAAATGATTTAATTATTTTTAGCATTACCTCTGGAATTTCCCTAATACTAAAATATTTTCCTTAGATTTTTGCAACAAAAGCAAGATGTCAGGTCACACTTTTAAGTGGCCAATTCTCAGTAAGCTGGTGAGGCTGCCAGGTTTTATTGTTTTCAAAATGATCTGGTTTGGGAGTTCCAGTAAAAACCTCTGAAGGCATAAAATATAGAAAACATAGAAGCGCAATTTCCTTTCAGCAGTGCTATTTATGTGAGGTCCAGCAGGCAAGGAAACTTTGATTCATTTTACTTCACAGCCTTTACTCTCAGTCTTAGTTTTTGTGATCACCGAGGCAGTTAGCATCTTGGCTCTAGGTTCAGGATATTTTCCTCCTGCCCTCTCTCCTATTGTCTTCTGTTTGTTTTTTCCTGTGGTGGAGTCATTAAATTCAGGAACTACTTATCCTTGACTCCCACCATGGAAGTTATAGAAAGAAGTATTGAAGCCTTCCCCTTCCTTTTACCCAAAGATGATGAGTTTGGCATCTAGGAAGAAATACTACAAGCATATTCCTGAAGACTGAAACAATCCTGTATGTTTACTTTCTAGCCAAAAACAGAGTGTGATGTGCTGTAATCAAAACATTTTTGTACTTTATTACAACCAAACAGGCTTAAATTTGTAATGGAGTATTATGGACTGAATGTTGGTATATCCCTAAAATTCTTAAGTTGAAGCCCTAACCACCGATGTGATGGTATTTGGAGGTGGGACCTTTGGGAGGTAATAAAGTTTAGATGAGGTCATGAAGATGAGGTCATCATGATGAGATTAGTGACCTCATAAAATGAGACCTGAGATCTTGCTCTCTCTCTCTCTCTGCCATGTGAGGACACAGTGAGAAGATGGCTGTCTGCAAGGTAGAAAGAGGGCTCTCACCAGAAATGGAATCTCCCAGCACCTTTGTCTTGGACTTCCCAGCCTCCAAAACTGTGAGAAACAAACATCTGTTGTTTAAGCTCCCCAATCTATGGTATTTTTTATAAGAGCCCAAGTAGACTAAGACACTGAGATCATGGAACACAGAACTACTGATATTCTCCTTTCCTCTTGGCCTTTTCCCTTCATGAACCATCATTTCAAAATTTAAGAAGTCCCTCACAAATTACTTTGTTGTTATAAAAATATTTGGAATTAATGTGCTTATTTCTTTACAAGATGGACTCTGTACCTTGTTAACTGCTGATACTATTTCTTAATGTGGCAGCCATTGGAATGCAATATATCCAAATAAAATCCTATATATCCTGCATATCCTTTATATACAGGCTTATTAGCCATCTTGTGCTATCATTGGACTGTCATTCTGGTTGTCTTTAGAGGTTCAGGGAATGGGACATAACGGTTAGTTCTATTTAGTAAAAATGGTCATTAGTTTCATGAAAATGAAAATCTGTATCACAGAATTTCAAGTGAAAGTAATGACTAATTTATTCACATCACATACAAATTTAGAACCGAAAGTAATTTATGGTTAGATCAGAATCCTCTCTATGGGCACTTACCATCGTAAAAAACATAAAGAGCCAATGGAAATAGTGTCTGTTTTATTGCCCATCTCATTTAGCACCATTAAACTAGCCTTAAGTGTCTGAAGAAAGTATAAACATTTTAGAACGATATTCATTAGCATGTTGGTTTCTACAACATTTTGGTACATACATTCATCTCAGGGCCATCCCCAAGTACACATACACGTGTGCATGTGCACACACATACCCATGCACACACTCTCTAATTCACTCACAACCCTATTTACATTCATACACACACACCTACATGCACACAGACACACACTCTACATACACTGACACACCCCATCTCTACTGACACACACACAATCTATATACACTCACTCACACGCCCTACATACACACATCTTTCTCGAGAAAATATATTTACTTTCATTTTTAACTTATATTGACTTTAAAATTACACTATACCCTAGAAAGCAAATTAAATCTTTGAACATACCTTCCCCTCAGTTATTGTAGAGCAAAAGAAAAGAAAAAGGGGTTTTTGTGCTGCTTTTGTGTAGAGTGCAACTTCTTTTACTAAGACGACGTATTATTCATAGGATAAATTCATCGTGGACTACCTACCTCAACACCTTGAGGTTTTTTTATATAGCAGTAATTAGGCAGTGAATTCAAGTAGGAAAACGGACTTTGTTTTCTTAGCAATAAAAACTTCATTTGGAGTGAACACTATACTAGCTACAGGAGAAATGTAGATTGTTTTTAACCGCAGCCACATTAGACAGCCTAACATGTTACTAACAGGTGAGCATATAAAAGTGCAAAATGGCATTCTCCTGATTTGTAGACATATTTATCATCTTTGATATTACAATATTTAATAAAAGAACTACACAGGCTATCATTGGCTTTTGCTTTGTATTGTTATTGCAATTCTTTACTGCATTCCTAAAGGAAAAGAGTTCAGTATCACTAGTGAGATATGCAAAAATATGCAGAATTTTACCCTGAAGGAGATTATGCTAGAAATTCAGGCAGAGGGGCTTAACATAACAGTGCACTAGTAAGTTAATTCTCTGCATTCAAAGATTTAAACTTTTGCTCTGCCACCTCCTGTTGGATCTGGATTTCAAATCACAGCAGTGTATCTTTAGTTCTTAAATCTTAATTAGCCTGGGAAGCAGACAGCCCCCAGGTAAGAAGAAAAACTGACAAGAGGGCTCATGCTTCACACATTGTGTAATTCAGGAAGGGATACAGAGGAAAATTATAGATACTAATGCTTCTCCATCACTATCATAAAGCAGTTCCCATCAGTGTCTGCTGAACTCTAACACATAGTGCAAAATCTGTGCAGGGTGGGAAACTCTTGGAGTAAAAATGAAATAAGACTGTGGTAAAATACCTCCTGGATGAAGGATATCATCAAGGTAAATACGGAAATGAGTGGTTTTCTGAGAAGACCCAATGACATGCAAAGGCAAGACTTACATTTATAGTAGTTACACCTTTATAGTCACGAAAGAGGAATTTTTTTGTGTGTCAAAGAACGGATACCTAATTGAATAGAAAGATCGAATTTTTACTTTTCTCCATATTCATTGTGTAAACATTAGGATTTAAGTTTTTCCAACAAAATTTGATAAATTTCAATCTTTGGAAGTAAGTTGTAGTCCTAGGATCATCCAAGGAGAGTACCAATTGCTGCCTTTCACTCAGTGAACAAGGCCAGAGGAACCTAAAGGCATCAACAGCAAAAATAACTGTATTTCTTGGGAAAGGAGTAATTATTGGATCCAGCAATATGAAATGCATAAATATATGGTTTATCTCACTATACATTTCTACGCTTTAAAAATAATACCTTGTGCAACCTTAGAGAGGCTTATTGTGAGGACTTGCTAATTTTCATCAGTGAATGATTTTACAGAGTGAACTATCAAGAAGTGTTTTAAGACTGCATTCACTTTGTACGTTGCTCCTGATATACAATATATATCCTTTCTAAAAGTCGAGGTTTTTTATGTAATAGACTTGGTTCCCCAGTGGAGTGAACTTTTCATGAAAGCCCTGGATATAATTGAGTTTTCTTTCATGTCTTTAAAGCTTTTTAAAATTCATGAATTTTCTTATCATTTTTGCAGCAAAGCAAAAGTATTTCCAAATCCTTTTTGAATTTTGTGTTTAATATTAACATATTTAAAATGTTACAGAAATAGATGGAGTGGAATAAATCTTACATAAGAAAGTATTCGATTTTTGATGCATTTTAACGTCACAAGTAGGTCAGTTAGTCCTATTAAATGAGTTCCGTTACCTGTCACAGAGCTGTTCAGATTGTCCATACTGGATCCGGGTGTCTGCTCTAGTGCTCTCAGGGGCCTGGGGATTTCTAAAGCTTCCTCCTCATCATCAGCATCATCATCTGGAACATCTGTTTCCAAATCAGAAATCAAGGTGCCGGCCATGTAACCTAATGGTGGGACCGGGGGCTGTGGAGGTTGATTATTGCTTTGAATGTGCCTAGAATTCACATGAAAAAAGACAAAAAAGGAGTTCATTAACATTCCACAAAATTGTAACTAGAATTAGAATTAAACAGCATGCTATGGTAACTAATTTTGTCTTCTTGTTTTCCATTAACTGATTTTGAAACTTACAGTGCATTCTTACATTTCCACAGAGACAATGGATTATGTATACATGACTCATCAAAACAACAGCAAAAATATAGACTATTACACTCTTCCAATGGTATTTATGGCATGATGCACAGAGAAAAAAATACAGACCCAGCATTTTTGTAGAAATAAATTGCAAGGAGAATAGGAATATTTGTCACAAATAACTATTTATATCTGACTTTTTCTTCTTGTCCAAAAAGAATATTATAATTTTGTTCCCAGTTTAGTGCCAAAGTTCTACTCAGCCTTTGTAAACCATGTGATCTGCTCGCTCTTATGAAGAAAAGATGTCACATGAAGACCTAATACCAATACCCCCTGCCCCAACCATGAGCACATTCCCTGCCCTACAAGGCTTTCCTCCTGCATGATCACCCACAAATCAGGCTGGGTGGTTGCTTCCACTTTAACTGGTTTAGGGTAGGAATGACTACTTTGTGTTCTAGCTAGTTATTTATGCATCTCTCTCACCCACCAAAGTCTTAAACACCTCAAAGGCAGAAAAGATTCATCTCAGCACACACCACATTTAGAACATTAGGTGTGCTAAATAAACCCTTTGCAATGAATGAATTACTCCAATCTCAACCTTGTGAAGTAGGTAGAACTTGTATTATCATCTCTCTTTTAGAATTTATTAAAGTGAAGTTCAAATTTAAGTGACTTGTTCCAAATATCGTGACTAACAAAATGTAGAGCTGGACACCGGGGTCCAGTCGGTTCACTTCGTGACTACTGAAGAGTTTCTTCTAAACCATAAAATGCTAAAGGAAAGCAAGTCATTGTTATTTGTTACCGTCATTAAAGAGTGATACCACATGTTGACACATTAAGTCGTTTTTTTGGCCTTGATATAAAGTATTTAAAAGACCTCTGCTATTTAAGGGAGATGTAAAACAAGTGGTATGCATTTTTAATGTTAGTTTTTGAATTAAAGATACAAGATTATTTTTCTTTAATATTTGCATTTGGGGGGAAAATATTCATTTTTTCTGGAACTTGTTTAATATTCCTCTCCCAACCACATTCTTGAACTTGTAACCAACTCTAATGCTAACAAGATTTAAGATTTTTCAATGTTAAAAAACCTAAGATGTTAGTTCTGGAAGCTACCTCAATATCATCAGGCCCACATCTTTAATTTAAAAGATCAGGAATTTGAGGACCCAAGTTATTATCTGGCACTCATCACAGCTCATTCACTGAAAAGTCAGGAACTTTCCTAACTACTATTACAGAAAATCTTGAGTGTTGATGACCACATCTTGTTGTAAGTGTTGCTTCAAATTGCGTTCGCGAATCGGGGATGGAGTGAGCCAACTCATGAGCAAGAGAATAAAGATGATATTTATATATGTGATTCATTCTCCTCTAATGGTGTGCACTTTGGTCCTAAGACGGACCAAATAGACTGATACTCTAGTCCTACATCACTGCTGACATCTCTTGATGGAACAAATGTACATTAAGACGTGAAAAATGTACTTCTTGAGTTCAGCAGAATTAGGAGACAAACTGAAATACAGGAAGAGGGTACATAACATTTATAAATATCTTCTAGTGACAGGGTCTGTGCTGTGCACTTCATAGGTCAATATGAACAGAATCTCTGGAAGTGGAGCCTGGGAATTATTACTATTATTATTATTTTTGTGCATGTGAGGAAGATTGGCCCTGAGCTAACATCTGTTGCCAATCTTCCTCTTTTTGCTTGAGGAAGAGTGGCCCTGAGCTAATATCTGTGCCCATCTTCCTCCATTTTGTATGTGGGTCACCACAATAGCATGGCTTGATGAGTGGCGTAGGTTTGCATCTGGGATCCGAACCTGCAAACACTGGGCTGCCGAGGCAGAGCATGCCAAACTTAACCACTGTGCCACCGGGCTGGCCCCTGGGAATCATTATTTTTTTAATGTTCCTTCTGTGATGTTGATACGAAGCCCAGATGGAGAGGCACTTCCATTCCAGATGGGCAAGGTCCCATGTGAGTACGTGGAGGCTCATAACTCCTACAAGGGGAGTCAGTAATGACATTCTGGAGGATAGTTGGACTGAATAGAAATGTACTCAGAGAAAGAGGCAGGGTCTGCTCTGTGGGTACTTGGAGTAGGTGGAGATGAACTAGGGAGCACTCACTAAGTGGGGTACTCTTCTAAGAGTGGAAAGACAGCAGGGAACAATTCAGGTGAAAACCCAAGCCCTTCTGATTAATAACAGCTATAGTATAGCTAGATACTTTATTAAGTATTGTACAGGTACAAACTCTCAAAAACTCTGATGTATAATAAAGAATATGACTTTCCCTGAAGAGAAGTTGGGCCTCTGCTCTGCGCTCCTGGGAAATAATCTCCAAGTTCTTGAATGTTCTGTCTTTGTTTACCTGGAAGCCTTAGGCTCCTCCAGAAAGTCTAACAATGTGATTTATGGTTGGAACTTTGAGTCGCATGGCATCAGCTTGCCTGCTGGAAGGGCTAGAGACTGAGGTCAGCCAGGCAGATAGTCACCATGTCTATGTGACAGAGCCCCAGGAAAGACGCTGAACCTCAAGGCTCATGGGAGTTTCCCCGGTTGGCAATACTCCATGCATATTGTCACACATCTTTGCTGGGAAAGTAACACTTTCCACATCTCTGCTGGGAGAGGACAACTGGAAACTCTGTCTTTGGAACTTTCCTAGACTCTATCTCATGCATCTCTTCTCTTCGCTGATTTTATTCTGTCTCTTTTCACTACAATAAACTGTAACTTTGAGTATAAGAACTTTCAGTGAGTTCTGTGGCTCTTTCTAGTGAATTCACAAACCTGAGTGTGGTCCTGAGGACTCCTGAAACTTGTCCATGGTGTCAGAAGTGAGAGTGGTCTTGGGGACTGCCCTCTCACTTCATATATGAGCTAATTACTATCATCATCACCATTTTACAAATGAGGAACCGAGCACAGAAATGTTAGGCAGCTTGCCCACTGTCATACAGCTAGTAAGTAGTGGCAGTGCCAATGGTCCAAACCTTGGCTGCACCAGTCAAATACCAGACCAAGCAATGAGGATATCTGGAGGTGGGGCCTAGGCATCAATAGATTTTAAGGTTATCCAGGTGATTCCAAAATGTAAACAGATTTGAGGGCCCCTCAGCTGGAATCTGTGCTTTAAATAACTAAACTGTAAGGCTTCATGAGTTAACTTGAAGGAAATCCTCTGACTCTTAAAGCAGCTGGCTTCAACTTAAACAGTGGTGTTTTATAAAGCAGCCTGATGCAAAATAATACTAGGTAACAGTAGATTGCCTTTGACCTTTGAAAAAACATCTGATAATTGAGAAAAATATTCAAGAACCTCTGGTTCTAAGAAAAGAACCTATGTTTGTAATAAGCTTTAAGTGATATTCCTGGTTTTAGTATTTCTTTGCATAGTTAACTGTATTTTTTTAAATAAATAGTTCATTAACACTGAGAATAAGACTGACTTACCACATTATCAACTTTTCACAGTAGCCGAACTATCAGAAAAGAAGCAAATACTATTTCATAAAAATTTACTCTAACTTCAAGCACAGGATGTAAATCAACAGAAGATAATCGGAAGTATGTCGCTGAGATTTCATTTTCAAGAGTCAGACTTATAGGTCATTATTTGGGGGAAGAGAGAGCAAATAAGAAAAAAATAACTGTACAAAATTGTGAGAGTTAGTTCTACTTATATTCCTGTTATATTTTCCACAGATACCTAAGTAGATTGCCATCTATATCTTATGAAAGTTTTTGGATTGATTAGAAAAAAAAATTGGGGATGTATTCTACTCTTTTTCTTTTTTGCATTTACTGTGACTAACATTATTGTTTTTTCTGTCTCATTTAATTCAGCCCAAAGAAGGTCTTTGAATAACTGACACTGATCATATGTGATTTGCAGAAGCTTATATTTACATCTTCACAACCACATACAGAATTAATCACAGGCTCTTTGAAGAATCTAAAAGGAGTCTTTTATTATGGCATTGGAAGTGAGTTCAAGGATAAGCTAACCTAAGCTAAACTGTAAATTAGAAAAGATTCTGGTGTAGCCAAAAGCACTTTAGCTTGAAATTCAGCAGATCTGAATTCTTGCTCAGGTTTACTCTTTAACTAGTTATGTGACTTTGGTCAAATTATTTAACATCTCTTTCATCAATTTCCTTATATAGATGATTAAGGAGTTGTATAAAAGTTGTACAGAAGTTGTACAAAAAAAAAATTTCTAACCCCAGCTATATAGTTTTGAGAGAATCTCTTGTGAATTTACTGTGAAAGAAAATTCCTTCTATCTACAAGTTGAAAGCACGGGTCCCCTGACCTCATGAGGACACTTACCATGTTTGCTTTGCTATATCGAACTGATAAGCCCTCGTCAACTCGTCCAGGTGAGCTTGCAACATAGGTTGCATCTCTTCCCGGGGGGATGGGGTAAGAGTTGCAGTGGACTGCTGTCCAAAGGAAATCGCAGGAGAAGAAGCCACGCCTCGGACAGGAGGCGTTGGGACGCGATCATCGTCTTCTTCCAATTCATCTTCCATACCCTGGTGTAAGTATGTTTGTACCGGTAATGGCGGACACCAGCTATCACTGTCATAGCTGTAATTAAATGAGAAAGAAGAAGCACATTGACACATACATGCACGCATGCACACACACACACACACACACACACACACGCACACATTTATACTGGCAATAAGTAGCAACCACAATAGTAACAATAGTATCTAAAATGTTCTCTCAGTTTATTTCCTCCTGATTTCAAGTGCTGGTGCTAACATAATAAATTACCTGGCTGTTATCTTAATTTCTGATCTTAATTACATCTGGTATCTCAAATTATTCTTAAAAGATCTTATTAGCTAATTGTTACCCCATAGTTACAAAAGGCAATAACTTCCTAACAAAGTTACTCACGTAGAAAAACCAAATTGCTAATTAAAGACAAAGAATTTAGCGCTTACAGACTTAACTACTTTCTTCTCCTGTTCATCCTTGTACACCAACAGAATATGCCAATATTGATCATGTAAGAAGTGTTTGAGAATAACTTTTACTCTTATTCTGGATCTATGCCAACCTTTCTTTCCATATGACATGTTAATCATTAAGACTTTGTGCTACAAAATATATTCAATAGCCCTTTGATTCTCTTAATTTTCTCAGTAGAAACTCCTGCCTCTCTGTATCTTGACATCTAAAATCTATAAAACAGAAATTCAAAACTTAGCCCTATAAAATATATATTAAAAAGAATAATAATTTTTTAAAACAGCATGTTTTTAGGGACGCTGGTTAGGGAATATAGAAAATTAATCCACGAACTTTTGATTGCAACACAAAATCAGTAGCATTTCTACTACTATTTCTCTACTATTTCTACCTTCTCTCCAGTACTATTATTTTCATAAATCAAATAGATCCTAATATACTTTAAAAAAGGAGACTTAAGGAAAAGATAAGCAATATTATTGGATATAATTGTCCTATAAATTCAACCTCTTAAATATCTCCTGAGTCTTTCTCCTACACTTCACCTCTACTTCCGTGATCACAGATCAGTCTCCTTCTGATGTGAACTAGCCTATTTCCTAGTCTCTTGGGATGTCATCCTCATCTCTTCTATCCTGTCTTCCATATGGGCAACAGGATTATATTTCTAAAATTTTCATTCACATCACACCTGTGCTTTAAATTATTCAGTGATTATCATTAATGTAAGAAAAAGTTCAAACTCATTAACAAGGCCTAAAAGACCCATCCCCATCTGATCAGCCTATTTTTCTAGCTTAATTTCCCCAACACAAGCCTACACTATATTTTTTCTAAACTCTGTGTCTGTATATAACTATTTTCAAATTATTGCCTGTGAGCTCCTGCTTTTCCTTCAAGGTTCAGTTCAAATGTTATCAGTTTTGTGAAGCGTTCTCTGCACCCACCATATGGAATCAATTACAACTCCATAATACTTACATTGTGGCATTCTTATATTATATTGGGATTATTTGTTTCATGTCTCTTTTTTCCCCACTATTCTGTGAGATCCTTAAACTCAAGACCTCTGTAATTCTCAACTTTGCATTTCCAGCACCTAGTACAGTATCTAGCATATGAAAGATTTTCATTAAAGAAACTGAAAATAGAAGGAATATTAGAAATGTATATATCTAGTCTTGGTCTCCCTTACAAATGCTAACTTGTAAATGTCCAGATGATTCTTGAGTATTTTTACTTGACTGTCTTTTCACTAATTCTGTTTAAAACTGAATTTATCAAAAGACCTGCACACAGATGTTTATAGCAGCTTTATTCATAATTGCCAAGACCTGGAAGCAACAAAGATATCTTTCAGTAGGTGGATGGATAAATAAATTGTGGCACATCCAGATAATGGAATATTATTCAGTGCTAAAGAGAAAGGAGCTATCAAACCATGAAAAGACATGGAAGAAAATTAAATGCACATTACTAAGTGAAAGAAGTCAATCTGAAAAGACTGCATACTGTATGATTCCAACAACATGACATTCTGAAAAAGACAAAACTATGGAGACAGTAAAAAGATCAGTGGTTGCCAGAGGTTAAGAAAAGGGAGGGGTGAATAGGCAGAGCACAGAAGACTTTTACAACAGTAGAACTAGTCTGTATGATACTATAATGGATACATGTCATTATACATTTGTCAAAACCCACAGAATGTACAACACCAAGAGTGAATCCTAACGTAAACCATGGACTTTGGGTGATAACGATGTGTCAAAGAAGGTTCATCAATTTAACAAATGTACTTCTTTGGTGGGAGATGTTGCTAGTGGAGGAGGCTATGCATGTGTGAGAGTAAGGAGTATACGGGAAATCTCTGTTATTTTGCTGAATTTTGCTGTTAACCTAAAATTGACATAAAAATAAAGTCTATTTAAAAAACCCTGAATTTATCACCCTTTTATTTGACAATCACGCATCAGGTAACTAGATCTATTTACAGAGCATGCAATCCAGTGGGGGAGATTGACATTAGGCAAATAAGCACGAGTACCGAGTACTACAGGAATAGAAAGGAGGGAAGCTGCAAGTAGTTGTGGGCTTGGGTGAGGCCGTACTGACCTCTGGAAAAGAAGATATTTTAAGCAACACATGTGGTGGGTCAGAGGAAGAGAAAAGATGAAGTATTTGAAGAACTCAATTAGTTCCCTAACTGGTAAGAGCTGGCAAATAAAGAAGGTTGGCCATAGATGAGGCAGGAGAGGTGAGGATATCCAGACCACAGGGGGCCTCATCAGCCCTGAGAAGGAGTTTGGAATTTTGCCTTTGGGGGATGGATAGTCACTGAGAGGTTTTATACAGAGAATGGTTATCATCTTTGGCTGTTCAATCTTCCTCTCTTGTTGAGGCTTCTTGAATAATCTTCTACCTCGTGAGTTGCAAATTGAACACCCTGGATCAGAAGCCTTGTACAGTCTGATAGGAATATCTCTTCTGAAATATCTTTTATATTTAAGATAAACAGGCACACTTTAATGTGTTATAAATAATTTTTATATACTAGAAAATACCATTGATTAAACTTGTATTCTCATTAATTGACTATATAAGTACCAATCTGAAATGATACTTATGAAAAAAAATATATTGCTCTAAAATGATGCCATTTTTATCTGTTTTATATGTTGAAATTCAAAGATTTCATTTGAAGAAAAGATTCTGTTGCATAAGAAGTTTGTAACGCACTGTCTCGCTGGGATTTATTGCCTTTAGTTTTTTCCATCCTCTAGTCAATCCTGCACATCACTTACAAATTGGTCAATGAAAACATCAGAATTGTTTGAATAAAACATTCACTTCTTTTCACTCTATTGTGTCTATTATATATGTCTAAGCCTCAACCTACCTTTACAGATGGCTTTTCCAGTTTCTCAAGAAGAATCTCCTGCTCAAAACAAATTGGTTTGTTTTCTTCTTTCTTTGTACTTTTCCCTCCTGGCACATCAGTTTAAAGAATTCAACTTATTTCAAATAAGCTACTCTCCTCCAATTTCTCCTATCTTAATCTTACAAATCTTTCAAGGTACAGGCTAAATCCCATATCTTTTACAAAGATTTCCCTGATGAGGCCAACTAGTGCTGATTTTCTACTCTTCTGAACTTGTACTGACAATATTTTTGCATATTTACTTGAAAATTGATTATATACTGTCTTATGTCATTTCCAATATTGGTTTCTTTAACTGTTGTGTAATTTATTTCAGTATGTAACTTTTCACATGTTAATAGTATCTTTTCCTCAAGTGGATTTAAGCTACATTAAACTTATGACTATGGAACTATTCCTATTTGGCCACATCTGACATAATATCTTAAAAATAGTCAGTGATAAGCATATTTATTGATTTGAAATGAAAACACAAAAATTGCTTCATAATTCCACCACTGGATATTTCTCCAAAGAACCTGAAAACACCAATGTGTAAAGATACATGCACCCCTGTGTTCACTGCAGCATTATTCACAATAGCCGAGACTTGGAAGCAACCTAAGTGCCCATCAAGGGATGAATGGATAAAGAAGATGTGGTATATATACACAACGGAATACTATTCAGCCATAAGAAACGACGAAATCCAGCCATTTGTGACAACATGGATGGACTTTGAGGGTATTATCCTAAGCGAAATAAGTCAGAGGGAAAGGGTCAAATACCATATAAAATAAAACAACAACAAAGAGATAAGATAAAAACAACAAACACATAGAGACAGAGATTGGATTGGTGGTTACCAGAGGAGGAGGGCGAAAGGGATAATTAGGCACATGTGTGTGGTGATGGATTGTAATTAGTATTTGGGTGGTGAACATGAGAACATGATGTAATCCACGCAGAAATAGAAGTATAATGATGTACACCTGAAATTTATATGTGTTATAAACCAATGTTACCGAGATAAAAAAAAAAATACTTAAATGTCTTTCCTTAAGTTATTTATTTGATTTTAAATGCTATATTAAGTCAAACAAAAATATTTATAAGAAGCCTAATCACAAAAGAACTGCCCATTTTCAGTACAGAATGTGTGTGCTGTTATACTTCATCAATAATTATAATTAAATTTACTCCATAAAACTTGTTACAAAATAGCACAGTTTTTGATCCATAAACTAGTACATGTACTTTCTTTGTTTACACTGGCTTATGATCAGGGATATCATATATTTCAACAAAGAAAGAACATGTTCATATATTCAATCTTTCAAATGGAAGTAGTCAATTTTCTCCTAAAATTTCTCTACTTCATAAATACTAAACTAGTTTTGCTTCCAATAATCTAAAGGGAACATACATATGGAATGAAAATACACAGAGAACATAAGAGATAGAAGAAACTATGCTATATGTATCATGTGTTAAGGTAACATAGAAAAGATTGTAATTAATTGTCCTCAACTCACTTTTTTATTATTCAAATACCACCAGTCAAAGGAGAGCCTAACCATATAAATATTATTTTTGACATTATACAAACACATTGCATAATGTATTAAAGGACTAAAAAATATTTCAATAGCTATTCCACTTAACTAGAATCGGTGTTCATCACCAATTGTTCCAAGTCATTTCTACAAAGCTAATCTAGAACAGGAACGAGCAAACTCTCTTCCCCTTTGGAAGATAAGCAAAGCTGAGAAAAGTCCATGGATTTATCTCAGTAGTTTGTCAAGAAGTGGAAAATAGAGATAGAGGGAACAAAAGAAAGACTAGGAGAAGGACATGTAAGAATAGATGAGAGAAATTTGAGATACGGTGCATATCACTTGATGGGGAGAACTGTTCATCATCTCTGAGGTATTCATGTCTTAATCCATTCCAGAACAACAAATACTTAGGTTCATGCAGTTTCTGAAGAAAGGCAAGAAAGTAACAGATGCGCCTATAAATGTTATGAAAAGCGTAGCTCTGTTTTTTAGTTTCCTTCACATTTACAGACATGTATGTTATTTGAGTGATGGAATTTCAACTTTTTCTTGTAGTAACATAAAAAAATACTGTGAAAATGCTTCTAATGCCAAACCAAAGGTCTTTGGGGCCAGCTTTCCTAGAAAAGCTTTTGTTCTTTGACTTGCTGTCAGTGAAATATGAGGCATCATATTATCTGTCTCGCCTGGTGAATAATGAGAAAGATGACAACAAATCAATGTCGCATGTGAACTAACTTGTTAGAGGCCAGATACAAATACCAAATTACTAATAAAAATACAATAAAGTTCAGCACCCGCAAAAGCTTGCCAATCTCTAATTGCAATAACAAAGCAAAGCCTCAGTTTTCTATTGAATTACTACTGAATTCTTCCTAGTATTATACGATTATGTTAAAAATACATTATATTTCTAGCTAGGAACGAATACATTTTGACACACTTTTGTCAAGCTGAGAGAGGCATATTGATGAGAGGGAACACTTACCATGGTTGCTACAGTATTGAATTAACAATTAAATACTGTTCTATTTGGACAATGATTTGATAACTTTTGATATTTAGTACTGTGTGGATAAAAATGGCCCGAGAGGCTTGGAAAGAAAATGGATGATATCTGGGCTCTTAGAAACAATATTAAACATTTTAATAAAATACAAGAGACAATCTTTTTAAGATTGTGATTATTCTTGGCTAGGTTTATCTCCCAAATCTATCTCTTTCCCTCCATCCTACTGCCATTGCCGTATTTTATTTCCTGATCATTTTCATGATATTGGCCATTCTGCTGCAATATCCCATACATTATCTACTTACCCCAGCCTCATGTGCTCCAATCCATCATCTAAACCCAAAGATCAGAATCCCTATATGACATACAAGGCCTCACAATCAGCCTCAAAACATCTTCTCAGATTATCTCCTACCCTCTGCATATTTCAAACTCAACAAACTTCATACAGCAGCTATCTATTGCTGAAGGATTGAAACAAGCAATTAGATGAGTAATTAGATATTGTGATATGATGAGTACTACAATTGAGGAGTAAACTTAAGGAATAATGAAAAATAAAGGAAAGGCAAGTAACCTTAACTAGAATAGAGTGGGGTTTCCAAGGAAGATTGAGAAGTACTAAGGGAAGACTAACGAAGTTATTCCTTTTTTTCTCATCTTTTATTTTATTTCTACTTTTTGCCTTTGGCTAGGGAAATTTCTCTCCATCTGCACAGCAAATGGCGACATTAGTTACATTTGGTTGTAGTCCTTGGTTAACAGTTTATTCTGGTGTGGAGGCTACTTTAGATTAGGGACTATCTCTCATTATCTTTGTCCTTTTTGCTTCTGGCTCAGAGCCTGGCACTCAATAGCCACCCAACTCTGGGTACTACTACTTGTGAGTAAATGATTCAAGATTCACCTCAAAACTCAACTTCCCTGGCATACATGACTATCTCCTTCTGTATGCAAATTATTATTTTGTACACACTGCTCATCTAGGGCTTGTCATACAAAATTGTGTCTGAGTGTGTGTGTGTGTGTGTGGTTTCTGGTCTCCACCCCCCACTCCTGGGAGCTCCCTAGATCAGGGATCAGATCTTCTTATTAATTGTATTTGTTTCTTTCACCTCTGTTGCTTTTCTTCCTAGCACTGGGCTTAGCACTTCTTACGGACTTAAAAAAAATGTATGTTGAATAATAGAGATTATGATATATTAAAAACAACAAAAACAGGGGGCAGCCCCATGGCTTGGCAGTTAAGTGTGTGTGCTCCACTACTGGTGGCCTGGGTTCAGATTCCGGGCACGCACCGACGCACTGTTTGCCCGGCCATGCTAAGGCAGCGTCCCACATACAGCAACTAGAAGGATGTGCAACTATGACATACAGCTATCTACTGGGGCTTTGCGGAAAAAAAAAAAAAAAAGGAGGAGGATTGGCAATAGATGTTAGCTCAGAGCCAGTCTTCCTCAGCAAAAAGAGGAGGATTGGCATGGATGTTAGCTCAGGGCTGATCTTCCTCACAAAAAAAAAAAAACAAAACAAAAACCATATATTACCATAAGAAGTACAACTGCAGAATCCTTTATTGTTAGAAATAAAAACTATTAAAAACAAAAAGGTAACTTCTAAAGTTTTTGTTGTTTGTATTTCAAGAAAACCTTAAACCTGCATGAGTTTCAACAAGGTATATAAACAATTCTATAGAAATCTTCTGCAAAATATTCAAGGTTAATATCATGAATAGCAGAGTATAAATAATCTAGGAAGTGTTCAAAAATCTTTCCTTTTCAGTATTATAAGGTTTTCACATTAGGAAACACAAAAGTATAAAGAATATATCAATAAATTAATAAAATCATCCCAAATTTCCTAGTTTTAATTTATTCTTGTCATATTGACTTTAAATATGAATTTTCATTATGAACAATTGAAACAAGAACTTTCAAGTATTGACCTTTAAAAAATTGAGTCCAAAGAATAAGAAAATTGAAATTTGTTGTCAGTTTACTGATAGGGTAAGACTTAACTACTATTTTTGTTAAGAGTGATGAAATTTTTTCCAGAAAATACTAGGTACTAAGGCAAATAACTTAAAGGTAAATAAGAACTAAATTACATACCACAAAGACTTTGAATATATATATTCAAAAAAATATATATTTCAAAATATATATTTCTTTACCTATCTAGAATATCCAATGGATTTTTAGAAATCTTTTAGAAAATTAAAATAATTTACATTCCCAAAATAGGTGGAAACAACTTTATATCTTAACGTTCTGAAAATAATTTGTATCAAAAAATAAAAATCTACACTAATGTATTATTTCATTTATCAAATGAATATTTCCAACTCTACTGCTGGGCAACAAAATCAAGTGAGAAGTTTAGCATTTATTTAGAATGAATTACAGTTTTATTTCATTGGGTAATAGACACTGTTATAGTCTACGTATTTTTTAAGTAGACTTAGTGGGAAAGGAAAAAAGAAAGATTCCAAATTACTTACAATTTTCATGTGATCTGAGTTCAAGATTTTATGCTTATAAATGTTTAATGGTACTACTTTCTCTTCCCAGTTTACAAGTTCCATTTCCCCATTTTCTGACTACAGCCCTTAAAATGCAGATTTCTAAGCCCTGTAATAATCTTGTCTTGTAGAATACAAATCTCTGGTTTTTCTTTGCCCAGGATCCATGTGACATGACACGTTTATGTTATTGATATGTATTACATAAGATGATGTGCAGAATTTGATTTTTTTAAAAAGTCATAGAAAGAGGGTGTGCTCTTCATTTCCTATTTCAAATATGAACTTTTTTTTAAAAAGTAAAATAATGATATACATACATACAACTAAAGTCCCACGGAAGCAAATGAAGCCCTTTGGAGGGAAAGATAGAGAGAAAAAATATAGAGGTATGCATATGTATATATATGCATATCTATTTATCTGTGTGTTTAATGCATTTACAAAGATATATGTATTATATAACCAGAAGAAAAAGCAAATGAGGTCATGTGAAGGAAGCAAACGTAGTGATGTAGAAAGTTCTAATTATGAAAATTAATCTGAAGACCCCAAGACAGTAGTTACATAAAAAGAAAAGAAGATAGAAAAATTTATAAGCATGTACATATGACCTTTATGTGAAACAAGACAGGAAACAAAACCATTATTCAAAGAAACTGAGGTATTTTGATATTTAAATACTTCTAAATAAAGAAAAACTTGGAAAAACTGCCTTTATTCTGTATTTTTCAGTTTCAGTCAAAAGCAATGGTGACCTGGGAACCGTGAGGGAGACAGAGCAGTTAGAATTATTCAAATAGAAAAAGATACTTGCGGATGTTTCTTCCGACTTGCTCTTTTTTTTGGATTAGAGAATAAAAAGTATCAATCTCTTTCTGTTTTAAAATCAATTAACACTTAAACCTAACAGAGGAAAGCAAACTAACCCTTGTGAGATGTTTGGGAAAGAATAAGGAACCTGGTCACATTTAAAGGCCCTCAAAGGAAATTTTAAAATGGTTTTGTTACAGAGTGTGCGTTGGCTTCAACATCTTTTATTGTTCTGGCCCCTAAATTCCCATCAAAGCTGATGATTAAAGCTCTACCCACTGGCCAGGTCCCTACAATTACCCCATTGTGATGGAGATCGACAGTGGGCGCCCTGCTATGGCCAGGCATCAAGTCATTAGAGAACGGTGAGGGATGATGAAGAAGGTTATTTTAATTCCCTTTTCAGCACTCTCAGGAGTGGCTCTTAAGTTCACAGAGCTGTGGGTACTTGCTTTCAAACTAACAAGCAATATTATAAATGGAGGCTGCATTATCGTGATTGCAGACAATCTAAGGCACTTGACGGCCAAGGATTCCAGGTCCTCAACATGGGCTGTGTTGTATTTATCAGCTAGAAATATATAGATGGTGCAAACAATAAAAGAGGGGGGAAGCAATGAACTGGCTAGGAAGGGGGCAGGACAAACAGTAAGAGAACACAGAATAAAGACAAAAATGCACAACACAGAGAGGAATATAACCCTGGGCACTTTGTTGGTATATAAAACATTTTTACCCATTTTCTTGCTGTTCCACTGCATAGTGTTCCAGCTCTGTGCCAGGAAGGGGCTGGACTGGGGGAGGAGGTAGTGGAACATTGGCCCAGGTCGATCCATTGTTTTTCTGTGGTTTAGAAGAGTTTTTATTTTTCTTCTTTTTTCCACCTTTCCCACCTGAAAGTAATAATGTGTTTATTCAGACAGACTGAATATCAGAAGAAACAGAGTACATCAGATGGGAAGATGTATTTATGTTTTCAAAACACCAGAATCAGTATGTTACAGTTGTTAAAAGCTACAAACAATGAAATGATATAATCACAAAAACATTTTTATAAATCACTCAAAATGATATTGTTTCTTTCCCAATGCATTAACTGTGGAGCTGAATAAACCAAAAACATGGCTGCTGTAGAAAAGCACATTTATTGATTTATTCACGTCTGCTGCCTCCACGTTTTCATTGTTAGATGAAATAATGGGCCATAACAAATTCTTTCAAATGTCAGATTTTAGTGCGTTTATAATGCTCTTTTGCATAATCTCTCTCAGTGGAAAATGCAGTGTCTAAGGATACAGGCTAAACTTTTCCATTAGAATTTACTCAATTTAATTAATCCAGGAGAGTAACAGTTTTCTCTCAAAAGTAACTGATAAAAATCAATCAACTACAATCTGGAGGATGCTTCTAACTCTTTCACAATGATATGTTTCATAGAATTTTTAACTAATGAATGGCACAATTATTTTTGCATATAGTGAGAGTAGTTCCCAGATGTTTTAAGCGTAACATTTTCTAAAATTCCAAAAAGGGGGGAAAATTAATGGAAATACAGTAATCGGTTTCAGTACTGTTGTAATACAAATGAATTCATGCACAAAACGAGCAGAAAGTAACTTGGTAGCATATGAGCCATATCTGGAATTACTGGAGCTTAACGAAATGTAAAAATAAAACATCTTTTGTGTAATGCAGTACTTTTCACTCTTCCTAAATGGACCACAGTTTGATGCAGGAATGAGTACTTCTTGAGCAGAATGACAAAGGATGCTTCAGGGGAACTTAACTTCTGTCACTCCTGCTACAGTATATACCTATATTTCCAAAAAATGTTATTGACCCTTTGGACTTCATCTTTATGAAACTAAAAATTATGAGCATCAAATATTTGTGTAGCAGGACTATCTAGCCATAGAGATATCACTAGAAGTCTGCCTCATCTCCTTTCTCCAATAACTAATCTGCATCAGCCAGTTCAGAAAATTATATAATTTAATAACTTATTGGAGTGCCAGAAAGCAATGAAACCATTAAACTGGACATATACACTATTGTTGATTATGGAATTATGTCCGTTTTCTAGGTCGTGTGCACATGCACACACATCTTTTGAAGAGCATCCTTGCCAAAAAAGCGCTTTCACCTTTCCTTTCACTTCTTATCTTTGGCAGAATGAGAGGTATTACGAGAAAGGAGAGCAGATATCTTCTGCTTTGAGAATAAGAATTTGATCTCCAGGTTTGAAGACTAGTTTCTCACTTGCTTGATAAGTTACTCAATAGATATCACCTCAATTTCCACACATGTAAAACAGATGTAAAGTTACTACTTCTTTGGGTCATTTGAGGATTACAAGAGATAATGCATGTAAAGGGCTCAGAATGTACAGAATGCTCAATAAATGCCAGTCATCATTATTCTTTCCCATCTCCTCAATCTCACAGCAAACCTGGTTCTACCTGTCTCTAAAGTCTTGGCGACGCCCAACTTCTCCAACCCCAGTGAGTATCCCAGAAATAGCCTGATTCTCAGAATAAGAATAATACACTTGCTTGAATTTGTCTGTAATTTTTGTGTTTAAGTTGGATAAGCCTTATCCTTTGTTTCCTAAGTCACCAAAATCACAAACAAGGATTGTATCTTTTTTTGTAGTATCAGAACTATATTTCCATAATTAAAAGAGGAATGGGTTGGGTCACATGTCCATCACAGCCTTTTCCCTAGTTGTGCCTCCTTTATTCCTTATATATTTATATATGTGCAGTGCTTTTTTCACTTTTCATGGCACTTTTAGAAATGTTATATGATCACCACCAAAACCGAGCAACGCAAATAGGGACGCTCTTACATCTCCATTTTATAGATGAGAAAATGGGGGTTCTTTCTGAGTGTTATGTGGTTCTTATTCACACAGAAAGAGAACAAAAAATTTAGAATGTGGTAGCTTTACTGGAGATTACTATTTCTGGAACTCTGAACCCAACTCTGCTTAAGTCCTAGCCCAAGATCAAGAAAGCCATTATCAACTTTTCCAAACAACAGACTTAAAAATGTATTGTGGGGGCCGGCTCCGTGGCTTAGCGGTTAAGTGCGTGCGCGCTGATGCCGGCGGCCCGGGTTCGGATCCCGGGAGCGCCCCGAGGCACCATGTATTGTGGAAATGGAGCTAATTCATACAGGAAATCTGCAAGGACTTTCCATCCAACATTCACTTTTCCCTCTCATTGTGGGCAGTCTTGGTAGGACTGTCAATCAACATGCTTTGTCTTCTCTTAGCAATGAGCTAAGAGGTGGGCTCTTAGAATGGTGGTGGGCATATGACATAAGCTAAGGGCATTAAATTCTCTGTCTGAGATCTAAATCTTGAGCTAAGTGAGCCACAGTCTGTTGGTGTTACTTTCAACCAAAGACCCTCAAACATTTTAAGGTAAGAACTGCCTCCATTATGTTTAGGAGAACATATTTTGATGACTTGCAAACATATTTGACCCATCTCTCTTCAACTCAAAACGTAAATATTTGGATTTATATTTTTTCTTATGCTGAACAAATGACTTCTATGTAAAGAAAATTATGAAAACACCATATTTTCAAATTAAACTTATAGTCTATTTTTTAAAAATACTAGTGTATAAAAAGATTTAGTTATTGCTACTGATATTGTGCTATATATATGTGTGTATATATATGTATATATAGCTAATTATGATTGCAGATACTATTTTGAAAGATCTGAGTTTTGTTTTATATTTTTTAATGGCTGGATTTAACATAAGTGCTCAGATTATGTATTGAATAAACTATAAAAGTGTTTCAAAGAGGACGGGAGATTCACTCAAATAATTCAGAAATGTCAAATTTTCTTTATTGCTGTGATTATTTTAAATTGGTTTCATCACTGTGCACAAATTAAGAAAATCTTATAATATGATATGATTAGATATCCATAGGGCAGTTTGATCTTAAATTTGAGCCTTGGAAACATACCTATGATTATTAAAAGAAAACAAACTCTGTCATATTGAACTCAATTGGACTAAACTAAAAAGGGAATAATCAATTCACTCTCACCTCCTAAAGAATGCTCTCTATCACAGATTTAAGTAATTTTCTATTCAAATGTAGATGAAGTAGTTAATATAATTCATAGATATATAGAAATGTCACTCAGGAGATTAATGGATTCAAAAAAGCAGAAAGCGCTATTGTGAATCATGTTCTGCTTACAATTACTCGAAAGATAACTTTTAAAACTTAGTGGCCATCAACATACACAGAATATTTAATGAAAGATTCACAGAAGGTCTTAGGTAACCCATGGCTTACAGTATATAGATTTTTTTATATATATATTGCTTGAGACTTTATATACCTTGAACAAAATTAGCCTAGAATGAATTACTTTTTAATTATTCAGTACAATTGTGGGACTCATTATAAATAAATGACAGATAAATGACATATAAGGTTATTCAAAAGATTTCCCTATATTATTAAGCCAGTTGAAATTCATAATAGATGTTTAAAATTTTCTGGATTCTATAATGTATCTAAGTCTACCAATAGATAAGAAGAGCAAATGGCTCATTTTGGAGGGAAGAGAGAGCATTAACATTTTCAGACTGAAAGGGTTCTATCTCCTGAGGAAAAGTCATTTAGCAAATGTTACCCTAACGATGTAAAAGAGTTAACTCTTAACGGCCTTGATGCCTGGTACCCTGTAACATATCATAATACACTATAATCCTTTACTAAGAACCTGTAGTTAAAAAAAATTCATATAAACAAATAGCATATCATGAATATAAAAAATTTTAGAAATGTGAAGATAAAGTCATCAGTCATACAATGTACATGTTATGGTTGGAAGTTAGAGTGTGTTGACTACGACCTCCTCATTTTAGAGGTGAGGATCCTCGGGCCTGGAGAATATCACTTATATTCATTATGATCGCTATATATTTCTGTCCAGTAAAATGTGTTTTTTCCCCACATGTGCTATACAATACCTACATTATAGATTGTTAGTTTGGCTGATATATCTCAAATATATATTAAAATTTACAGCATAAAATAATTTTCAATATGAAATATTGCATTTTTTTGGAAATTAAATGTGAAGAACAATGTCCCATATTAACATTCTTGTTTAGCATAGTTTATCAGCACCTTATTCTAAATAATCTCATTCAATAGATAATAAATCCCATTACAGTCATGTGCCACATAACAACATTTTAGTCAACTATGGATCGCATATACAATGGTGGTCCTGTAAGATTAGTACCATATAGCCTAGGTGTGTAGTAGCTATACCATCTAGGTTTGTGTAAGTGTTATGGGGAGGAAGAAATTTTTTTCTACTCTTCTAGGTTTTTCTGGCTTTTCTAAGAATTAAATTGACATGAGACAGATTAACAGGGGAAAAACAAAAAAAGTTTAATAACATATATACATGGGAGGAACCCAGGAAAACTGAGTAGCTTGGCAAAATGGCCACAGTCCTCACTTTAAATACCATCCTCAGCTAAAGACAAAAGATGTTGTGGGTGGGGAGAGTCAGGGACTTCAAAGGGAAGGAAGGCAATTCACAGGTAGGTGAAAAGGAGCAAATGTTTGGAAAACAATTGTTTGGCCACCTGGAAACAGGAGAACACTGAGGGGAGCCCAACAAACAGGCTTTTCTAGGCTCCTCCCTGTCTACCACCTAGTTCCTGGTATGCTAAGGTGATAGCTCCCTTCCTGAGACAGACTTTCTTATCTGAATTCTTTTAGGTAGTTAAGGGGGAGGTAACACAAAAAACTTTCTGAGTCTTTAGTTTCTTAAAAATAATCAGCCTAAAATAATCCTTACATTAAACAGACACATTTTGAGGTGGCAAATTTTGTTCCCCTTCAGTACACTCTGTGATATTCACACAACGATGAAATCACCTAACAACGCATTTCTTAGAACATACCCCTGTCATTAAGTGATGCATAACTATACATGACATCTTGGAAAGATTGTCCAAAAATAGGAAGTCAGATCACTGGAATCCTCATATTATGAAAAATCCCTAAAATCATTCGCATTTTAGTTGAATTCATCTTTTCATGTCCGTGCCGTGGAGTTGACTTTTCTGTATGATCTTTTTATTGTAAAGTTTTCTTGACTCTTAAGTAGGATTCAAGGCAGATAAAACTCATCTGCTCTTTAATGAATAATGTTCAGTAAAATGGCACTATTTTTCAATAAATACATCCTTATACACTTAGTACGTAAATAGTGACAGTAATTTTTATCCCCCCCCCAAAGCATGATTTTATTAGGATTAATTGTTATTGTCATTTGAAAGATAAATGTCTGACAGTGAGTTGTGATTCAGTATTTCTTCAAGGTTGTTAGGAACACAGGTCATATGCTGGTGACAAACAAATATTTCTCCTTACTGTGATGAGACCAACCTGAGAGACTGCCACTCCTCTCTGAGCTGTTGTGAGAGCTGGTGGTGCTGAAATCCTGTGACTGGTTGTGTGGCATTCTATTAGACAATCCCTCAGCCAATCGGTAGTCAGGGATGTAAAGTAAGGCTAAGGGTTAAAGGGCAGAGGTCATAGTGGCATCATGTGATTAGTTCACAGCACAAGCCCATGCAGAACATGCAGTTAGCAACTCAGAAGCAGATGTGTAGGACAGGGGAAGAATGTTTTGTCTATCCTGCCTAATGGAAGTCAAAATGGATTACTGATCACTCTACTGAAAAAGAGCTGAAAGGATGAAACCGATTGGTGTTGGTGTGTGGTGGTAGCAACGGTGGCGGTGGTGGTGGTAGGGATTGTGCAAGGTACTGAATACATGCCGATATATTTTTTTAGTTTAGGTAGTGAACCTGGTAATGAATCACTAAACTGAACAACAAATACTAATTTCTACCTCATGCACAAATGATATGAAAACAACTCCTCAGGAAATAAGAACCTGACTCACCATTGTTACCTTTGTTCTGATCAGGTAGAGAATAACCAAATCCCATCAGATCTGTTTTTTGCTGAATTGAGCTTTTCCATTGTGGATCAGGCAGATCGACAGCCAATTCATGTATGCTATTGGAATGCAAGATCTGTGTTGTGGCATATGGGGTAGCCTGTGTTATTTGGCTGGAACTGTTGTAAGTGGTTTTGGTCGTGAAGTCAATGCTGCTATAAATGGCTCCATCTGAGAGCATCGTTGCTGTTTTATCCCCTTGGCCTGGAACCGGTGGCAGGACATCTGCAGACATAGGGAAATGAAACAATTTAATGATGCACAGGAAGCCCCAAACTATCAGGATGGAAGAAGAAAAATACATGTGTCATGCTGCACGTTTGCATTTCAGCTGAGATGGGCTTCATGAGCCAGTGAAGGGTAGATGATGTACAACCATTGCCAAGCTATCAGCCTCGGTGACAGGCAGGCCTACCGCTCGTCCTTCACGTCTCACTGCTTAACACACTCCATCCCCAACTTTCTTCAACCATGAATAAGAAGTTTGGGACATTGCACTATTGAAAACTCTTTCAGTTGTTCATTCTGTTTTAGAACCAATGACATTGTTAGCTCTTTACAGAAGCAACGATAAGAGTGAATCTACAAATCACAGATGAAAACATCTTTTTCCACTTTATCCCAAAAGACATGGGATACATGCTGAATAGAAGCAAAAAGTTCCAAAATTTTACTATGCAAACTACGAGGTAAATTTTTGTGAAGTTTCAACTTGTCATTTATCTGATTTGATTTCACAGATCCAGAAATGGAGTGCAATTGATGGTAGCAAATGTGTTGGGGTTTTTTTCTTGGATAACAAAGGAAAATTTTCATGAATAAGTCATTTTCACAATGCAGCAAGATTTAACTATATAAAGAGCAGTCTGAGTGATCAGTGAGCTGAATTTATGCTACTAACTCTTGGAAGTGAAGAATTATAGTTTCAAGTTGTAATACGGCAAGAGTAAAATTAAATTTTAGGAACAACACTGAATCTCAATCAGTCCGTTTATCATTTTGGTGTGCTGAATTATCCTTAGATGACGCTTTATAATTCAGAACTGCCACATCTCTCCTGAGCTCTCATTTTCCCTTTTCAGAAGAAAGATACTAGAATGCGAAAAAAAAATCACTAAATAACTCTATTTTTAATCATGTGGAATTAAAGTGAACCCAATTATAGTTGTTCCTTAATAATCTATGTTCTAAAAGCCACACTTCATAGGACTCAAAGTCATCAGCTCACTTGATTTCCTCCTTGTAGAAAATTTTCCACTACTTATAGTACTGTAATATTAAGTAATAAACCAAATTATTTCTATCAAAACCAATTTATCATCACAAAGAGGAAGCTGAAGTAGGAACTTAGCCAAAATATCCTAAAACTTTTAGATTCGATGATATCCAACAGTACTTGAAATAAGGATTTTTATAAAAGTATTAATTTTGCTTTGGAATTTTACAAAAGTGAAAAATTGTCTTCTTTAGCAACAATAACAAGACACTTCTAATGTATTTTGTACACTGTATAATTTAGGTCTTTCTGAAGGTTTTGAAGTCTAGAACTCCAACTTGCTTTACAATTAAGTGAAGAAGTACTTTATTGAAGTAAATATTTTAAATGTACATCAGTGAGATTGTTAAATATATTCAAATTTGTAATATTTCACAAAGTTGTATAAGAAAGTAAAATTGATTTTTGATTTCAGAATTTCATAACTACTTTCTTGTCTTTCTTGCTTTTAGCTATAAACTAAGGAGAAAATTTGATGAAGAAGCATATTTCATTCTCAAGTGTCAGTATAATTTTTATTCTCAAAAACTTTTAATATTCAATAATATATCAAAATTGTGAAAATAGATCCTTCACTCTGGGGAAGTTTCAGAGTTGTGTTTCTGCCACCTCGACCACGTCTTTCACCAATGAATATCAACTGGATAGACATGTTTCTCCAACATGGGCCCCAACTTCCCAACGCTTTGAACTTGAGGCTCTCCAAAGCTTTAGATTGACATGGTGAGCCACTTCAACTGCAAGCTTTTGAAACGGTTGTGTGTTCAAATGTTTAAAAATGGAAAAAAGGAGTCCAGGAATCTAATCCTACATAATGTTACTCTGCAACAACTAGAGATATGGCTCTAGAAATGGAATCTCTCTCTCCCTGCTGGATGAAATCAGTGAGTGTTCAAGTCTAAGTGCTTCTATATTGATTTCTGGGCTGCATATTTCCTTCACATATTATTTGATCACTTCTACAATTTCAAAAAGAAATTGAATTATATCTCAACATTGAAATACTGGAAGATTATACATGAATATCTGGATGTGGGGGATCATCCTATCACATCATATGGTTTGGAAGGCTGGGCCAGCCTTCCTCCCAACAGCCTGGACCTGAAGAGGTGCTGCCGTCTTTCGGCAGGACCTTCCAGTTTCCATTTCTCACTGGCCACACCGGCCCATCCTTAGTGCTTTAGGTTGTCTGACCGGCACTTGTTAACATTTTAGAGTTTAGTGTAACCTACTAGAAACTGAAAAAAAAAACAAAACAAAACCAAAAGATTTTCTCCATCTTTAGGCATTTATTTCTTGATATAAAGATAGAACGGTGTGCTAGTCCAATACAAATACAACAAGTAAAAGGGGCAGCTATTCCTTGATTCATAAAAGCTTTGGAAACAGCATTTCTTTTGACAACATCAGTCTGGGTTGGGCAGGGAGCAGTGTTCTGCTTTCCTGGTGAGGAGATGCTCAGGTACGGAACCTACCCATGGTAAAGTGATAGCTGAGGAGTCATACAACTTATCTATTCTCTCTTTTACTCCAATGACGCCTTTTGGGCACTGATTGTGTATCAAGCTTTGTATAGTCATCTGCTTAATCCACTTTATACACCTATGAGGTAGGGATGGTTATTTTCTGTATTTTACTTGGAGAATGGGAGGGAGCTCCCCTTCTTATAGTTGGTATTGACAGAATGCAGACTTATGCAATAATTAGTAACTTTATTATTTGAAATATTATTTTAATTATATTCAAACATGCATTGGTACTTAATTTGTGAGGAGAAAATACTAGTATCCACGATTATTCTTCTAAGTCAATATGTTTATACACTCATACATGTGAAATCCACCACTGAGGCTTACAATGGACTCAAGAGCTAAACCCAGCTCTGGGTCTCCTGCATTAATTCCACCTAGAAGTATAGAAATCCTCCAGTGGATTCATCCAAACTTTCCTGTATTACAGCACTAGTCTCCTAATTAATCACCCCAATTTTCCACTCAAACTCCATTCTCCACCCAGCAGCAGGCTGGATGACTTAAAACAGGACTTGGATCCTAGTATTCACCTCTTATAAATCCATCAATGGTTTCTGATTACCCTTTGGACAAAGTTTAAAGTCTTTGTGTAGCTTTGAAGGCCCTCGGTTATCTGTCCCTCTGTATTTCCTTCCGCCTCTGCTGCCTTGCACTTTATACTCAAGTCATTAGGAAATTCTTACATTTCTCAAATAGGCCAATGTCTCTCTTTATTTATGGAACTTAAAATGTGGTAGTTTCTCCTCCATACATTTTTTTTTTTTTGGTGAGGGAGATCAGCCCTGAGCTAATATCCATGCTAATCCTCCTCTTTTTGCTGAGGAAGACCGGCTCTGAGCTAACATCTATTGCCAATCCTCCTCCTTTTTCTCCCCAAAGCCCCAGTAGATAGTTATATGTCATAGTTGCACATCCTTCTAGTTGCTGTATGTGGGACGCGGCCTCAGCATGGCCGGAGAAGCAGTGCGTCGGTGCGCGCCCAGGATCCGAACCCAGGCCGCCAGTAGCGGAGCGCGTGCACTTAACCACTAAGCTATGGGGCCGGCCCTCCTCCATACACTTTTGACTAATCCTTACCTCTCCTTCAGATATCTACTTAAATAACACTCCATTCATAGAACTTTCTTACTCCCAATGGGAACTCTTTCATGTGGGGTACTGTCAAGACAACTTCAGTTCATTTCCTGTCTGCACAACCTTCTGCCAGTGGAAAATATATATCTGACAAACCGAACACTGGGACCAGAGCCGTCTCTAGTCCCATCTTTCTCTAAGCTCATTGCCCTCCTATCGACTGGATGAAAAGGTGGAGGGAAGGAGATGGTAATTATTTATAGTAGGTCCAATTCTGTCTCCTTATGAAGAACTATGGAGAGGACCCTGGCACCAAATTCTGGAGACTTTGGCATGTCAGCTACTTAGCACCCTTTTGTCTTTCATTTGGGGTACCAGTTATCAATTGCAGAACTACAGGAAAGTTCTCTCAAAACATGTTCTTATATTTATTTGTGTCTACTCCTTATATGATATATTATATGAGGGTAAGGACCATCTCTCTTTATATCAATATTATATTTTTACTGTCTGCCACAGAACACAGGACATAATCAATAAATACATGTCGAATGAGATTTAGAGAAGTGAAATGACAGGGCCGGCCTGGCGGCATAGCGGTTAAGGTCACATGCTCTGCTTGGGTGGCCCAGGGTTCGCCGGTTTGGAGCCTGGGCGTGGACCTATGCATCACTCATCAGGTCATGCTGAGGTGGCATCCCACATGGAGCAACTAGAAGGATATACAACTATGACATACAACTACCTACTGGGGCTTTGGAGAGAAAAAGGGAAAAAGGAGGAAGATTGGCAACAGATGTTAGCACAGCGCCAGTCTTCCTCAAAAAAAAAAAGTTCAAAAACAGGTATTGCTTCAAAATTCATGCCTCTAAAAAAATAAAGAAGCGAAATGACTAGTCTAAAATCCTAAGGCCTAGTTTAGTAACAGTGTACTAATAGTCCTAAAAACTAAAGGTATTATGAATATTTATCTTCTTGGTTAGGAATGACTTCCTTAAAAGCTTAGTTTTACTTAAGGTAATATGGACTCAGTAGTTTTATAATAAAATATTTAGCAAATGTACAGCACACATGCTTCACTAATTTTAATTATGGAAGAAAATAGTCTTTAGTATGTTTTTTTAAAAAAATATCTAGGAAAGCTGGAAAATAAATAACAAATAACAAAATTTTGAAAAACACAACTTACCTCCACGCCCAAAATTCCCAATCTCATTTGGGCCGCTATTGCTATTGTTTACTGGCAAGCTCGTGGCTGGCCATGAATCAGCAAGCCATGGATAATTGGGATCACCAGCATTTAGAAGACCTGGACGGCTAAAACAGAAATTAAAAGGAAATCAACCCACAGGGCTCAATGAGAGATTTGGACACCTGTCTCATGCACTAAAATGGATTAAAGAATTTAAGGAGATTTTAACTCACTTCAAATCGAAATGTGTAGGCTCTCAAGAATTAAGGAAGTTCAGCAGTTCATTAAGGCTACATATGGATCAACTCTGTCAGTGGAAGCAAAAGCGCCCTGCCCGGGATTCTGCTGACATCCAAACGAATTCAGTTACCTGCACTGAAACTTGTGGGAATCGGTAACATAGCAGGATCCCAAAACAAGGTTTGATGATAAATTGGCACCTCGAGGGAACAATTGCTCAGAGTGACTGCTCAGTATCAGCCATTTCCAGGACTTTGGGCTATTGCTTCCTTGATTCCTGCAGCGCCCATATTTATCTGTCCCCTGTAGGCTGTAACCTGTATTATAAGCCCTCATACTTGATTTAGAGGCAAGCAACTTGAGGGAAATTAATGAACAGTATTTATACTGTTCCATCAATAGCACATTTCCAAGTTCTCCAAATTGCAAAATATTAGGGGTATATTAAATTTTTTTAAGATAATAAAAGATCCACTGTGATCTGATCCAGCACATGCATAGAGTCTACGAGGAAAACTTCCTTTACATCATATTTAATAGAGAATTCCCATCTTTAATATAAAAGATGGGATTCTGATTCCTTTCCAGATTATCAACATATTTACAAAGAAACAGCAACATCTATAATCATCGTACTTTTTTTTGATAGACCCTTTCTGGTATAATCCCTATGAGAAACGTGTTTCTATGGAAACTGCAATAAGAAGATCCAAATGCTTTCTTGCTACATCCACTAGCTCTCATTAGACCTAATCTCTTTTTGCTAAAATATTGATTAAATGGGAGATTGGAAGTTATTACCAGAGCCTAATTACAATCTCCATATTGGCAAAGGGAAAATAGATGAGGATATATGGGTTTGTTATCAGCTTTTATCAATTTCAGTTGAGTATCCAAAGTTGTGGAATCTAGTCTTATCAATCTACAGCCTATTCATCATCCATGAATCATTTACTTTGTGATCGATTATGTGTAATTGTTCACTCACGGCAATTTAGGGAGAGCCAATAAGGAATCTTAAACAACAGCAACTTCATTTGCTAATGTCTAATTAATGCAATAAACATCCTGCTAACAAATGAACACATTCCTTGTGATATTTACTACTAATTTCTTCAGGGGCATCTGGGAGATATGAAACATCTGGACTTGATTCCTCTAAAGTGTACAACAGATAGATCATTAAACATTGTGGTAAGTCATTTAATTCCTCCTAGAATTCTCAGACTTGTAAGTGATCGTTTATTACAATAATAGCCGCTTACTCTAGTTTCCCCAGTCCTGATTAAAAATAATAATAAAAAAAACTCCTTAGCATACCTTCCATTGCTCATTAGTCCTCCATCTCCTCTTTGAAATGTAACTGTGAAAAAAAGAAAGACATACACACACAAGTAGTCAATATTAATTACGATTAATAACAACTACATATTGGCCCTTAGTTTAGGACTGATGCCTCTGGGAATTTTAACAAAATATAATTAACATAATTGTACAGAGACTAAGAAGCATTGGTTTGACCCAGGGCAAAGGCATCATATGCTCCAACTTTAATAAGACATTTTAAAATTCTTCAGGCCAAATGTATGGTTAAGTCAAAGGGGCAATTTTTGTTTGGATGTCAAAAATGCTTATAATTGGTGTGTGTATATATATATAGAGAGAGAGAGAGAGAGCGAGAGAGAGAGAAAAAGAAGTATTAGAAGATCCACATGCATTACTGGGAAATTATCAAATCACGACATTGAATCTTAAATAATAGGTGTCCTAATTAGAAGTCATAATGCAAAATGCACATAAAGAAACTAAAACAGAATAGTTCAAACAGATAACACCATCCTTCCAGTAAAACAAGCAAAACAGGTCCTGATTGATGACATATTTCTGACACTCACAGGTATTTTTAGGGGCACTGATAAGCACACTGAGTTGAACAACTACAGTTACAACAGACATGAACTGTAATGAATAGAGAATAACGTATTGAGTACTTTGTTTCATCATCCAACCCTCATGAAAATGAAACCTTCAAATAATTGATACTTAATATGCTCCAATTGTATGTAATGATTACAAAACTCAAGTCCTTTATAAAACTGTGAAACTTATTAATAAGATCAACAACCATCCAGTAGAGCCACAGGCTGGAGAATCCACTCCCTTCAGGCGCTAGATTCCATTCCTCAAAACTAACAACATGAAAGTGAGTTTCAAGGACTGGCCGAAGAAAGTGAGTTTCAAGGACTGGCCGAAGAATGTAAATATCAGTTCATGTCCATCACCCCTTCTCAAAAACCTCTGCAGTAAAATAGATTTGGAATTCAAAATGTTTCAGATCTAAGAAAGGCAATATGGTGCATACTACACAGAGGGTCTGAGGTGGCAACTATGTTCAAAGTTACTTAATATTTTTGCAGTGAAATATGAACATTCATGGTTATTGGGATAAAGTCTATAAACAGTTTCACACTAGTTTGGGTCAAGTTTTGCCACTAAATGACCGAACTAGAAAATCATGGAAAAAAATTTTGTGTTTAGAAGATTATGAATTTCTCAACTGCAAGTATAACCAAAATTAACAGGGATCAGCTAAACCAATCACTGAGCCAACCAATCACTGAAGGAAAAAAATACCATTTCGGAGATGTGAACCCAACATATCCTATCTTTTGAATATATTGATTATATTTCCTATGGTTTCTTTACTTAGTGAGTAAAGGTAAAAATAACTAAAAATTTTATCAACAGATGCATATTTTAAATAAACTGAGGACATATTGCTACTTAAAGTATACATGTAGTAAATACTTTCTTTTTTGTGTGTGTGTGAGGAAGATTAGCCCTGAGCTAACATCCGTTGCCAATCCTCCTCTTTTTGCTGAGGAAGATTGGCCCTGGGCTAACATCTGTGTCCATCTTCCTCTACTTTATATGGGACGCTACCACAGCATAGCTTGACAAGCAGTGTGTTGGTCTGTGCCTGGGATCTGAACCTGCGAACCCCAGGCCACCAAAGTGGAGCACGCAAACTTAACCGCTATGCCACTGGGCCGGCCCTAGTAAATAATCTGATTTTTAATTTGAATAATCTCTCTATAATTCATCTGCCCCTCAAGTTTGCACTGTTAAATATGATCACTCTTTAAATTTTGTAAATTTCCAAATGCAGTTCCCCAGTCCCTTTCCTAAGGTCGTCTAATGATATATCATTCATGACATCACAATTAGGTGATATGATAATAATTCCAAGGGTCCATCAGGACTTCATGAGGCAATGCTTTTAGGATCATCTTGCTGGCACATGAAGTGTACCGCCTTATCAATTTTTCAGGTAACATCTCAAATGCATTATCAAACAATCCTGCCATAACCTTTGCGTCTGCCCAGGCCAGGGTGGGGACAGTTCCTCAGAGAAAATCAAACAATACTGGTCATTATTCTGCTTCCTGATGGCTCGCTTAAGTGCTGGGAATCAGGCATCAGCAGTGTGTCCACACCACATTGGGTCCCTTTAATAACTGCTTTCAACAACAACAACAAAAAGAATTAATCTGAAACAATTAATGAAAAAAATTGAGCACTGAAGGTATTAAATAAAGGCTTGATTAGGGGAAAAAATCCCCGCAAAATGTGAAAACAGTACGGTTAATTAGCTTTCCATCTGATGTGACTTTCGAGTTATGTGGTTTTGTTAATGGACTACCAAGTGATTGTCTTACTTCGCTAAAAGAGAGTTAAGATAATGTTGTGAATATCATTGTGAATATGCAAATAAGCAGGCGTTGGCAGACTACACCTCCAATTGTGCTGTTTAGGAGGTATGTGGGGAGAAGCTATGTATTTCTCCCTAATTTAGATGCTCTGTTTTCCCCACCTAAACTTTCTGTTACTGACAGAGCAATGCATAATATTAGAAAAAGAACAACTGAAACAGAGGCACAAAAATTGAGTTGTACTTAACTTCTACATCCTAAGCAAGGGTGAATTCCTTATAAAATGTATCTCTGCACACCAAATATACAAAGGCAAAAATACACAGTACATCTTGTAAATACATGACTAACCTAAAATGGCCTATAGACATCATTTGGTATACATGAGAATCTTCCATTTTGTATGTTTCTATCAGAAAAAAACAAAAAGAAAGAAAACACTCTTATCCTAATAAAGTTGCTTAGTTTTCTTTTCAAAGCAAGGAAAAAGGAGACTTTTTAAAATTTCCTTTATATCCCATGCTCTAAAACTTTTAGATTTGCTCCATTTTGAAAGGTAAACCAAAAGTAACTGAGTTCCATTAGCCCATGAGATTAAAAGCAGATGAGAAATAAGGATGAACCATTAGAACTGAAGTGGAAGTCACCTTTGGTGTTTTGATCAGCACTTTTTTTGTGCGGAGAAAAGAAACATAAAAACAAATGCCACAGCCAATTGAAAGCTGTTTTGAAAGAGCTTTTCAACATTTCAAAGAGATGTTGAACTACCTCGAAGCTGAAAGCAAGAGGGTGAGGTGGATAGGTGGTTGGACAATCTTGCTCTAGTCATGATTTTGATAATCCCAGTGTAGTAACTTGGTGTTTATCAGAGATAAATTTGAAATTTCTGTGAATCCTTACCAGGAGTTTCTGCTAGCATCAAAAATTAAGAACTTTCAGGGAGTCTTTTATTTTATTTTTTTTTGTGAGAAAGATCAGCCCTGAGCTAACATCCATGCCAATCCTCCTCTTTTTGCTGAGGAAGAGCGGCCCTGAGCTAACACTATTGCCAAGCCTCCTCCTTTTTTTCCCCTTTTCTCCCCAAAGCCCCAGTAGATAGTTGTATGTCTTAGCTGCACATCCTTCTAGTTGCTGTATGTGGGACGCGGCCTCAGCATGGCCGGACAAGCAGTGCATCAGTGCACGCCCGGGATCCGAACCCGGGCCACCAGTAACGGAGCGCGCGCACTTAACCACTAAGCCATGGGGCTGGCCCCTGTATAGAAGTTTTCAGCTAAAACTGACTGAATAGTGTTAAGGTTTCCAAAACCACAAACTTCAGTGTTTTCGAATTACATCGAATATTCTGAATTTATTGCAATATTTACAAAGGATGTAAGGTAAAGAGATTTTGCAAGTTTATATCATACACAAAGTACCTCTACTATTATCTGGCAGGATTAATCCTAATCTCATGCATGCTAGAACTGAGAAGGAAAGGAAACATAACTATGTGGTAAATTGACATTTTGAGGTAAGGAAGCTTTCAGAGAGCCTATCTCTATTGGACCACATTTTCCTCCTCCAAATGGAAACTTTAATGTTGCCAGCCAAACCTCATTCCCTTTCCTGATAAGCTATTTTTCAAATATGAATTTAGATTAATCCTCTTTGAATAAGCATTAACTCAGCCCACATAATCAGAGTATAAAAATTCCATCAAATCTTAAACTGTCTTTGGATAGTTTTGTCAAATAAATTATATTCACCAACAGTTTTAAAACCTACTTATGAAGTGTTTAGCATTTCATAATTTGCTCACTCATTAAATTGTTTATATTTACTGAGTTTCATAAAATCTATTATTTTCAGAGGTAATATTCATAAATTACAACTAACCACTTTGAAAGTGGAGATATATTTACTTCCATTAAAAAGTGGATGACAAAAATTGTGAAGTTTGAAAAGAGTCATGTAGCCTTCAGGAGAACTATAATATGGAGATATGTATACATAATACAGCTGTATAGAATCTTCATGAGAGCTACATGGTTTTTTTTCAAACGTGTTGTTCATTTTTCTATTCACAAATACTATGATCAAACATTTACTCTAGATTCAAAAATGATCTGATATTTTCCGTATTTTCTGCCCAAATCTCTTTACAATTCTATTTCACCCTATAACAACCCAGGTAGTGAATTCTAGCAGTCATGAACCTCACATGCAGTGACAAGTAGACTGTTAGTGCTCAATGAAGATTGAGATAAATAACAGCGCATGTTGCTCTAGAAAAGTATACAATGATTAATGATTTCACATGGAATATGAGGAATGAGGGTACATTTTTTGTTCCAGTGCCCTTCTTTGTGCCCTTCTTTGTGCCCTGTGCAAACCTGTGGTGCGTGTTCGTGTCTGAAGAATTTAAATAAAGGATAAATACGAAAAAATAACATATGAAGCTAGTGGTAACATTGGCCTGAGGAGATCTCCACTTTCTGCTATGTAAAGAAACAAAACATGTTCAGGACAAATTCTCCTCTCAGATCATCTAAATGCACAACTTTGCATTTGATTCCTGACAGTTGCTGTTACAATCTAAGGTGTTAATCCACTGGTGTTCCATGATAAATATGTTAAATCCTCTGACACATAAAAACAAGATCAACAAGGGTTTTTTCCCTTCCTTCTAAGCACTCAAATTGAATTTTCTACATGATGGAGAGTCAAAGACTAGCCACAATAAAAGTCAGTGGATTAGATCTTGCCTACATAGGGTGAGTGGAAGATATCTCCCTGAGATTTATATGAGTCCCCACTAGTTAAAATCTTCCTTGTTTTACTTCTAGTTGTTAAGGAGAAACCCTGAATGAAGTAGGAAAAAGGAAGTGTTGAAATCAGACTTCATCTGCTTTATAAATCTACTTGGGGTCAATCTAGCTTTATTAAATGCACGTCTCCTAATATATGTAAATTGCATCAGACGTTTAAGTATAATCCAAGATCACAATTGGCGTTTGAAACAAATGAAGTATCTTATGTTATAAATTAATTTAAATACTGATCTGAAAGTAGACTTTTTGTTCATTTGGAAAAAAAATTATTACTGCTATATGAATTAACAATAAAGTTTTGAGATTATACAGACATGACCATGTAGTGAAAAAGTGGAAATGTTAGGCTTTTCGTCTTCTGAGTAAAATTACATTGTTTTACTTTACTGGTTTAGTTTCCATAGTTGTATAATTCATAAGATTCCCAGAGAAATTTTTATGGAAACCAAAATATAAACAGAACTCGCACAAATAGAGTATATTTTCTAGAATTTTTATAACGCATTTCAGAGAAAAATAGCCCCATATGAAATCTCTGTGCTCTTAAAATGGATCATTAGCTCATGCATGAAATATCAGAAATTTAGACATATGAGAAATACACACTCCATTAATCATTCCTATTTGAAATCTCCATATTCTCTAAGTTGTATAGGGATAAGAATATGAAAACTTTAGAAGGTGGAGGACAGGATATTTATGGAGGGAAATGTGTAGAAATATCACCAAGTCAGATATGCAATGCTAGGAACCTGTGATTTGGGTTTTCATTTGCTTCTTGCCTAGAAGAAGAGAACAGCAGTTGTTGGAAGGCAAATTATTAGCTGAAGGTGAATCCACTCTGAGAGTCAGCCATCTATCAATTAAGTATAAAGGTTTTGAAAGGCTGTTCTCTGGCTTGGCCTTATTCCAAAATATTTGAAGGGCATAGCACCTTCAGAGTTAGCAGTTCTTCTACAAGCAGATGGATATCAATCACAATGAGAAATGATAATAGGAAATGTAGTATTCTTGTCAAGCTCAAAGACTGACAGACATTTTTAAATTAAATGCACAGGTTTTGCAAAGAACTGCTGTTAAAAAAAAAAAAAAGAAGAGGAAAAAAAAAGTCTGTCTGACATACTTTTATTAAAAGCACAAACCTACTAATTACGAGAGACCTGTTGTTTACAAGGAGTGAGCGAACGAAGTACGGAGAGTGACAATGCAACATTCCAAATGTGGGTGTCCATCTTAGAACTTTGCACTGAAGTGACTAGCAGAGTCAATCTTTTATTATTTTCACTAAAGTAAAGCAAAGGGATAAACACAAAATAGTCCCTGAATTAAATCAGTTCTTCCTTATGTTTTATATGATTTATATGAGTGTGTCACAGAGATGAAACGTAACGTGGTGATTGATTAAACAGATGGGTTGACAGACAATACTTTCAAGGCACATTAAAGTATCATTAATGTTCAGGACTCTGACACTCAGCAGTTATCTCCCAGCATCCCTTTCTGGGAAGAATCAATCCCTCACTGGTGTGATGACATAGCACTCAGATGGCAAAGCATAAGAAAGCAGGCATCAGCAACCAATGAGAAATGAGAATGGCGGAGCAATAGCAAGTCACAAAGCATGGAAACCCCTTTTCAACAGACACACTCGACCACTTTCTCTACACCTGGGAATTTATTGTAACTAGTACCTAATAAACTTTATTTTCATAAGATATGGACATGAGCCACAATGTTATAATCAAATAATCATATTTAAATGCTGTCAAACAACAAGCAACACAACCAAGTGGGTGCTACTCCTTTCATTTTGCACTATTTAGACATTCTTGGCAGCTTAGAAGCCTACAAGCTACAACAGCTTATAAGCTTAATAAGCAATGACGCCTCTGTCAAAATCAGTTATTAAGACATTTATGCTTCTTACCAAAGCTAAAATTAGAAACAGAAGGTTGAATAAAATGCCTCAAAAAATTCTTAAGTGTTTATAGGATGAGGTTAAATTAAAATTGTTCCCTTGTGAATTCTATAAAGTGTGAAATATTGTAAGACAATTTCTTTGTGTGATTGCTGTTGTTAGAGAAAATACTTAAAGTGAATTGTAATCAAAATTGTTATTGAACATAGCCTCAGTATTGAGTCCATTCTTTCAATTACTGACTTTATCATTTTCTTTCTTGCTTGCTCTTTCTCTCTTCGTTGAAAATATTTTGAAGGCCACAATTTCAGACATCTTTGAAATTCTGTTTTGGATTCTAAAAAGAAAACATTTTTGTAAACATCTAGGATCTTCTTTCTCTTCTGCTTCTTTTCCTTCTCCTTTTTCTTCCTTCTAAAATGTTGATTGGTCACCTTGAAATAGCCATCTTATTTAAGTGACTATTAAATCACCTTATTCATGCCTCATCAGTCTTATTAATCCTGGTGAAATTTTTTGCTTGTTTGTATTTTCCATCTGGGACATTTCCTATTGTAATCTGCATCTTGAAATACTAAAAACTGTATTTCAAATCTTTCTTTTTTTCCCGAGGATTTTAGTAACGCTCTTGACTAAATCCACTTCTCAAACAATGGCTTCATAGCATGCAAAGTCTGTGTGTATGTGTGTGTGTGTGTGTGTGTGTGTGTGTGTGTGTGCGTGTTTTGAAGAACTAGTTGGGAAAAATGGTTAAGCATTTATCAGTGTGCACTCCTGTTATGCTTTATTGGAGATGCAAACAAAAAGATTGCCTTATGGTCATAATGTGATATGGTGAAGAGAAATGCATTAAAGCCTGTTGTTTATAAGTGCATTTTATAGAGCAGGTGTTTAAAACAAGCCAAAAACATTCATTCATTCATTCACTCACTTGTTATTCCATTTCATTCCTTCTCTTTCATTTCAACACATTCCCAAAGATAAGAGGTTTTCTTAGCTGGAAACAGTCTCTTACCAGCATAATTACTGAGTCCCTTTCTCTTCTTTCTTCGCCAATACAACCAGATGCTAAAACCCATCAAAATTACCCAGCAGGCACCACCAATCCCCGCTATAAAGGCTGGTTGCTTCACAACATCAGTGATTTGCTCAGTTATGCTGTTATTGTTTTCAGTAATGACAACTTCATTACGTCCCCCTATGGAAGAAACAATAGTTTTAGTAAATATTAATACAAAAATAAACACAGGAATACTTACATAGTGCACCAAAGGCACAGAAAATTAGAAAACTCCTTTGAAAGTAGGTAATATTTGTTGTGTCCTGAGCCTGTCACAATTATTGATAAGGATATTTTATAAGTTTCAGAAGAAGAAGAAAATTATGAGTTTGAAATATGATTAAGAACACTGCTCCCTCATGTTTTGGTTGACTATGAATATATTCAGAACTGCTTCTTGATTTATTTCCTTATAAATAAGTACTAAAACAAGTGGTAAGGGTTGAAATAACAGTAACTTTTCTTTAATTAGGTAAAGAGTGTTTTAACATAGCCTCATTAAAAGAAAATCAAGCAACTACAACATTCAGCAAAGGGTATTTGCAAATTGTCTTTCCTCTACAGCAATGTCCAAATTAAAATGTTCATGATTCAAAATATGTAACTTAATACTGCCCTTAATATTCTACCAAGGAACTTATTTTGATCAAACATCCTTTAATTTTCTGGAATGTTTTCAAATTACTATATAAAACAATGACTATTATGTAAACATCCTTTCATAGATATTAGTATCTATAATTAAAATGTCATGAAAGGATAAAACTCATGTATTCACTTAAAGTATTTGAAACTAATTTGAAAATCGACTTTAAAGCTGAATTCAAAAGACAACTTTAAAATTAATTCTAAGGTTTATGTAGCTAAACAGTGCATTTAAATCTGGACTAAGATTATTCTAGAAGTAGTCATGTTTTGACAATTTAGATCTCTCAGAGATAATTAAACAAATCTTAATCCATATTTTTAAATAGGCTTAAAACTCATGGAATCATAATATCACTGAAGAGCAAAGATTTAGGTGTTTATTTAACAGATTAAGAAATTTGGATACTGGGAATTAAGTGATTTCTAATGTCAATATCATACCTTACTAACAACTAATCGAAGACTTTTTAAAAATAAATTGTACTCGTAATACAAATGGCAAATTTCAGCATATCACATCAAAGGAATGTGTGATTTTCAGTGTTTTAGTCATCATGGCACTGTAATATATTAGAAAGAGCATGCTCTTTGAAGTTACGAGTCTGAATACCATCACTGCCACTTACTAGCTAAGTAAGCAGTAAGCTTATGTGAGGCACTTAATCTTTTTGAGTACCTGTTTCTGTTAGTTGGCAACAGTTTTGTCTATGTCATATATTTGGGAGGATTATTTGAGATGATGTATGTAAAGAGGTTAATAGGAACACAGTAGTTTGTGACTCAAAAATTATGGCCTGCGTATGGCTAAGGGTTACTTTACGAGCCACTCAGGTAACTTTGGGGATGTAGGTTGTAAATTGTTTAGATGTGAGTCCTGCAAACCAAAGGTTACTTATTTAGCACAGTTTTCCTTTCTTCCAGGGCAGAAAATTAGATTACATTTCTCAGACTCCCTTGGAGTTGAGTGCAACAAAGTGACTTTGAGTATTGGCGGATAGTACATAGGCACAAGTGATATATATACTTGCGCCTATGTACTGCTGAGACAATACTTAACACTCTCTTTCCTAATGTGTTGGATAGAAACACGGGATCTGGTGGAGGATGCTGACCCCCTAAGAGATAATAGAGCCACTGATAAGAAGGCTCAAAGTTCCCTGAGTAACTGTGTGGTGTAGAAACCTCATCCTCCATTCTGCTAACACATATTAGACTGGACTACGAATAAGAAAGAAACTTATTTTGCTAAGCCAATCAGAATGCAGGCTTGTTTGTTATAACTGGTAGCATTTTCTTGTACATACTTACATTCCATTTCTGAAATATCTTTTGTGTTAAATTCTAGATTTAAAAACCAGATTCACTTCTGTAGTAAACTTGGTTCACCTTCCCAATCTATCTGCCCTTAATTATTACACATATAAACATAGTCAAAAGAAACGTATTTAAAATGAGCTCATATTTTCAATAGGAGACATACACATATCTGGTGATTTTCCTAACTACTAGTAGCTACTAAAAAGAAAACAAACACTTTATAGAACAAAGAGAAAAGCAAATTTGTCCCTCATTTATGTAAAAGGTCCGTAAAATATTATATTTAATGTAGTGTAATATTTATGTTACCCAAGGAGCATTACTAATTCTTACGCTGCTGGTATTTTTGAAACAATGGTGTCAGTTGGACTAATTAGAGCATAGACAAGAGATGTGTGTGACCTGTAACGCTCCACTGTTCTTGCAGACAAAAAATATAATGAAATATAATGTCTTTCTCCCATGGAGAGTAATGAAGAACAAAACTAATTTGTTGGACTAAAAATTAATTAGACACATCAGATTCAATTGTAACTATTACTGTGAAAGTTTGCAGCTATTCCACATATTACCAAGCTATGTAAGGTAAGCGTGAAATGGTCAAATGATTAAAAAAAAGATAGCTATATTATTAAGTAAGTTACTGAAAATTTTAAGTCACTGTAAATTTGTTATATGGCATACTGTTTGATGCTTATATATGTAAATGTATTTGGTTGCATTTTTGTATCCATAAGTGCAAAAATATAGAACTATGGATACTTTGATGTGAAAGTCATCTTACCAGTGGAAACTAAAGACAAAAGAACAATATTACTTTTAAGCCTGTAAAAGCCTGTATTATTATATTTATATATTATTTTAATTAAAGGTCTCTTAATGGAACTTTCTGGAATGAAAACTAAACTGGGAAGGAATTGATGAAACAGTACATGGTCTGGCACAAGACAAATCTAAAATTATCAGCCATAAATTACATCAAATGCCAATACATGATTTAATTAAAGCAAAGAGGAAATGAGGGAGAGCTTGAGGCACTTCAAGTGCTATTTCCAGGACTGAACAGACAATAGAGAGAGCACAAATTGAAACAGAAAAGGAGATTAGCCATCACTAAATCACCTTTCAACTCAGGAATAACAGTTGTGTAGATAAGGTTATCAGACAAGATGTTAAGGTAGATATTCAAGGGTAATTAAAGAAACAATTAAAGGCTTCTTCAGTACAACAGTAGATATTAAAAAGAAATAAATCTCTCAAGGACAGATAGCTTTTTCTAGGTTGAATTGTGTTTAGGCACACGCACACGAGCATGTATGTGTGTGTGTGTATTCCAAGTGGTACAATTCTATTTGATTACATCTTGAGTATTGCATATTTTAACTACTTGAATAAGAGATAAGAATATCATTTATTAGATTATTTTTTACTTCAGTGAGAAATTTGAAAACAGTTGTATAATACACTAAATAATAAATTAAAAGGCACTCATTATCCATTTGAAGACTCTTAGTCTTTTTAAAAGGATAGAAGAGTTAAGCAAAACTCTCTATGTGATTTAAAATAATCAATTATTATTTTGTTACTATATAATTGTTAATTCTTAATTGTCAGGACATGAACTTGGATAAATGATATTCTTGCAATTTTTTACCTGCTTCCAAGTGTAATAAATCCCCAAAATCTTGTAAGAAAAACCAGTTACTCCAAAAAAAAAAAAAAAAGGAAAAAACAAAATTTTCCCTTGCTTAAGAATTATATTTATTACTAAAGATACAGTAACAGAAAAAGAAACATGAAAGGAAAGCAGATACTTGGCAATCTTATCTTGCAGTTAGAAAAATTACATTCAGTCAATCCACTTCATATATATGCTAGAAAGACAGTAAAAAAAACACCTTTGTTTACTTATCTAGGAGCTCTCATAGAAAACTATACCTTTTAAACTTGTTTCATATTTAGTTTTTTTAAGTGAAAAATTAATGACATTTCTAAATACTATAAATGGAATATATATATATATATATGTGTGTGTGTCAGTTAAATCCTTTTGGGTGTACCTGTATTTCTTTCTTATTCCAATTTATTTTAGAAAGTCTCAGAAGGGCAAGATTGTAGGTTTCCCTCAGGTTAAGAAATTAATTCAGTCTGTATGACTAATTAAGAAAGGGAAGGCAATTTAAAGGAAAGTTAATACTACAACTTTTCCTCTTTAATGCTTTTAATATATAAAAGAAAGAAAACTTGGAGAGTCTAAAAAATTTTAACATTATGACTGAAGGTTAAACCTCTTCACATACAATAAATACTTTGTAATAATAAACAATTTCCCAGAAATTGGCAGTATGTTCTGTGTGCACCATTTTAGAAAATAAACATTAAAGAGTGGAACTGGCACATTCACTTGTATCAAACTCTGGACAAGTATTTTTAATTTTTTTTAATTTTTTATTTATTTTTCACCCCAAAGCCCCAGTAGATAGTTCTATGTCATAGCTGCACATCCTTCTAGTTGCTGTATGTGGGACGCGGCCTCAGCATGGCCAGAGAAGCGGTGCGTCGGTGCGTGGCTGGGATCCGAACCCGGGCCGCCAGCAGCGGAGCACGCGCACTTAACCGCTAAGCCATGGGGCCGGCCCATGGACAAGTATTTTTAAAATATATAAACACTGGGAAGAATATTTTTTAAAAAGTAAAAACACTGACAAGCAAATAAAAGCAGAAAGGACTAAAGGGATTTGCCTCTTGAAAGAAGGGAACTGCACAGGGGGAAATCCGCACTTATGAGGCTTTTTTCCTCTTAGAATCTTGATCTATACTGTGTTAGGCAGCTAGAACCCAAGCTGAAAACCCCAATCTTATTGGTATGAAGTGTCAGAGGACAGAGTTCAGAGCTGCCAGAGCGACTGAAAATTGAAGGGGAAACAATGTGAAAGAGTCACGGGAGAGTGATGTTCCCAAATCTGTGTATAAATTCCCCGTCAATCCTAGGATGAACCCTGAATTGTGCCTGCAGAAAGAAGATTGCAAGTATCTGGGAAAAACCAAAAGCTAGAAGGTTGAAAAGGCTGAGTGGACTTTTCAGTTGATGTCCACTGTAGAGAAGATTGTGTTTGAAGTTTGAATTTCATCAAGGTACAGGGAGCAGATAAACATATTAGGCCACCCAGGAGGGCCATGCCGCAGAAGTAATGATCAAACTGAAGTTTTGCCCTGAGAAGGTGGTCAAAACACAAACAGTCCCATACAAACAAAACATATAGAGCAACCCAGCACAAGATCAAGATGTAGCCAGTAATGTAACTACCTCTAGAACAAACACCAGCTCTTCAGAAGACTACAAAACTTTATATGCAATGTCCAGTACATAGTAAAAAATTACTAGGCATGCAAAAACAAGCAAAACAATACAAAGAAAAACTAGAAAAAGATGACCCAAGGTCAAGAGAAAAACTAATCAACAGAAGTAGACCTTGAGTGACACAGATGTTGAAATGAGGAGAAAAGGACTTTAAAGTAGGTATTACAATATGTTCATAGACTAAATTAACAGTCATAATGAATGAACATATAGGAATTTTCAGAGGGAAATGAAAAATGTAAATGATAACAAATGGAAATTGTAGAACAGAAAAGTGTATTATATGAAATAAATAATTCACTGGATACTTTCACTTCTGGCCATGAAGAAAGAACAGGTGTGGGATATGCAATCCCACCACAAACAAGTAAAAAATTAGATGAAATATGTGAAACAAAAGGGCAGGATTGTGAGGAAAGTGAAATAAACAAGGGGAATCTTACTATTTTCATAGCTTTCTATTTGGATACAATTTCTAAAATGTGATGCAGCAAAGGGGATCCCAAACACAGCTGAATAGCATTCCTGAGTTAAAGAGACAGAGAAAATCAGGGAGACTAAGGGATTGAATTTATGGAGCAGAATACCAGATAAAGATGAGTAACACAAAATATTTTTTTCCTAGTTTTAATTTATTTGAAGGATAATTTACTGTTTAAAGTAAAAATGATAATAATATTTTAGTTTGCATACTGGTGTTATTACATACATAGAAGTAAAAGGTATAACAATAGCAAAAAGATTGAAAGGAAGGAAAATGGAATTATATTTCCTAGAGTAACCATTGCAAAAAAAAAGGTATACCTAATAATCCGATAGTGGACATAAAATATAACATAGAAAGTTGTTCAAGTCACCCAAAAGAGAGCAAGACTATAAAAATAAGAACAAAGTCAGATAGAAAATAAATAGCAAGATGGTAATTCTAAGCCCAAACACAGCAATAATTACATTAAAGAGAATTATCTAAACACTCCAATTAAAACGCAAAGATGGTCATATTGGATAAAAGACAAGACTTAACAATATGTGCTTTAAATAATGGAAACATACATTAAACGTAGAGAAACAGGAGTTATAATAAAGGGATAGAAAAAACACAAATCATGCAAACACATAAGATTATGTAGCTATACTAATATCAGACAAAGTAAATTTCAGGACAAAGATTCTTACTAGGAAATAAAATAGGGCATTTCATAATAATAAAGGGTAATTCATTAAGAAGGTACAACAATCCTAAAATGTAGGCACTTAGAGTAGCAAAATACATGACTAAAAACGTATAGACAGAGGAGAAACACACAAATCTATATTATAATAGATTTCCTGACTCTCTTCTTATTAATCGAAAGGACAAATAGACAGAAAATTACTAAGGACCTGACAAATACTCCTAACTAATTCGACCTGGCACTTGTAGAACATTCTACCCCAAAACAGAAAAATGCATATACTTTTCAAGTGCACAAGGAACATTCACTAAAACCAAATGCCAGGCCATAAAAATAAGTCTCCATATTTAAAAGGCTAAATTCATACAAAGCACATTCTCTGACCTCAGGGAAATTAAATTAGAAATCAGTAACAGAAAGTTATCTGGAAAATCCCTAAACATTTGGAAATTTAACAATAAACTTTTAAATAATCTCTGCAAAAAACCCAGAAATCCTTAGGAGAAGTAGAAAGTAATTTTAACTTTATGATACAGAAGCCTAACACATAAAAATTTGTAAGATTCAGCTAAAGAAGAGCCTAGAGGAAAATTTATAGCTTTCAATACTTATATTAGAAAAGAAGAAAGGTCCAAATAATTTGTATAAGTTTCTCTCTTAAGAAGAAACATAAAGCAGGTAAAAGAAAAAACAGCAGAAATTGATTAATTAGAAAACAAGTAAACAAAATTAACAAAGGCAAAATTTGTACTTTGAAAAGATTAATAAAATTTGTAAATTCTTATTAAGACTGATTAAAATGGGAGAGAGAGAACATGAATTCCTAGTATTTAAGAATAAAAGAGGTAACATTACTATACATTCTGCAGATATTACAATGATAATAAGGGGATACTGCAAATAAGCACATGATAATAAACTCAACAACTTAGATGGATTAGAAAAATTCACTGGTAGGCAAAACTCCCAAATCCATTTACCACAACCGACACAGAAGAAATAAAAATTCTGAATAAACATAAATTCATAAAAATTTTTTAAAAAATCCACAAAGAAAACTCGAGGCACAGATATCATTACTGAATTCCAGAAAATGTTTAAGGAAGAAATATTACGAATCCCACAAAAACTCTTACAGAATCTAGAGGAGGAAGAAATACTTCCCAACCCATTTTATAAAGCTAGCCATCCTGACCCCAAAACCTGACAAAGTCATTAGAAGAACAAAAAATTACCATTAATACCCCTCATGAACATAGATGCAAAATTCTTTACCAAATGTTAGAAAATCAGATTCAGCAATATCTGAAAAGCATAGTATATCCTGACCAAGTGGAATTTTTCCCAGGAATGCAAGGTTTATTTACCTTTGAAATCATTCAGTAGAATTTACCATATTAACACCAATTAAGAGAAAGAAAACAGATGATTACTTGAGTACTCAGAAAAAAGTATTTCACAACGATTAAAATAAATAATTGAAGTTAGTAAGGTCATAAGATACAAGGGCAATATATAAAATTAAATGTATATATACTATAGAACAGTTGGAAAAGAAAATTTTATAAATCCACTTACAACAGTGTAAAAAAATCAACTATTTAGGCAAAAGTTTAACAAAATGTGCAAGATCATACAGTGAAATCTATAAAATATTGTCAAGAGAAAGAAGACTTAAGCAATGGAGAGGTATATCATGTTCCTGGAGAGAAAGACTCATTATTAAAATGTTTACCAGCCCCAATCTGATGTACGGATTCACTGTGTTTTCAATCACAATTCTAATACAATTTTGTAGAAACTGGCAAGCTGATTTGAAAAGTATATGGAAAAGGTGAAAGTCTGGAACAGCCAAAACAATTTTCTAGAAGAAAATAATGGAGTATTCACAGTACTTGATTTCAAGTCCTACTAGAAGCTACAGTAATCAAGGCAGTGTGGCTTGGCATATGGATAGACACACAAAAAAATGGAACAGCATGGAGAATCCAGGAATGGATCCACACATATATGGTTAGCTGGGGAAAGGAACGTCTTTTCAATAAATGATGCCTACACAATTTAATACATATATGGAAATAAATAAGCCTCAATCCTCAAACCACAAGCAATTACTTTAAGATGAATTATAGACCAAAGCATAAAAGCTAAAATTATAAAGCTTCTAGAAGAAAATATAAGAAAATATTTTTGCCATCTAGAGGTAGGCTACAATCTCCTAGAAAGCACCAAAAATGAAAGAAAAAATTGATAAATTGTAGTTCACTAAAATTTAAAACTTTTGCTCATCAAAAGACACTATTAAGAAAAGGAATATGGAAGACATAGGCTAGGAGAAAGTACTAGCAATACAAATATATGACAAACAACTTGTATTCAGAAGGTATAAATAAGGCCTCCTAATCAGTAAGAAAAGACAAACAACACAACTTGAAAAAGGTAAAGACTTAGAAAATTTATAAAAGAAAATATGTGAATGGCCACGTCACTAGTCATCAGAGAAAACTGAAATTAAAACCACAATGAGGTGCCATTTTATACTCACTAGAGTGGCTAAAATTACAGACTGGCAACATCAAATGCTGGTGACAATGTAGAACTGAAAGCCATTTTCTTTGCTAGTGAGAGTAGGAAATTATTCAATTTGAAAAAAAATGTTTAGTAGTTTCTTATCGAGTCAAATTATGTCAATCCTTCTCCAAAAGAAATAAAAATATATGTCCTCAAAAAGACTTACACAAGAACATTCATTCTCTCAAGAGAAAAGCAGAGAAACAAAATGTGGTGTATTCACACAATTGAATATTTCTCAGAAACAAAACAATGATTTGCATAATACATACATGGATGATCTCAAAAACATTATGTTTAGTGAAAAAAGCCAGATGCAAAACATTATATTCTGTATGATTCCATTTACATATATTTTAAGAACAAGCAAACATGATCCATAGGGAAAATTTTTCTATAACGATTATAATTGATTTAATAGGGATTTCTTCTTTGGGATAGTAATATTTGGATTACAAAGTTTCTTTTGGCCTGTTTCTGGCCACTTTTTGACATTTTTCTGGCTAAGAGGAAGCATACGGATGGGAAACTTAATACACTTTCTTCAGTAACTGTCTCATGTTCTACTATATGTTAATGGCACCAAAATTGCTAATAAACAACTGATTACAAAAATTTTTTAGACCAACTTTCAGCATTTAAACTCTTGGTGATTATAATTTTAAGAAGTTGGTGAGACTCTTGAGAGCATGAGCAATTGCTAATCATTTTTGTAAGAAACTCTAAGCAGTTAACCCATTTGCCTATATGATGTGTGCACCTTATCACCTATAAGTGCTTACCTTTCTGTTAGGATGTAGATTCAAAAAATAATCTACTTTTTATCAGCTGACTGATTCTAAAGCACAGACCACAGAGATTGGTACTCACCAATTATTATTGGCTGCGGCTCACTTTTTACTCCAACTCCTGCACTGGTACTAGCTGCAACCTCTACCCGGTACTGAATACCTGGGAACAACCCACCAATGATTACAGATCGAATGGCTGCATCCACAGTTTTGTTGATGTGGAACCGTGTTTCATTTCCCAGACACCAGATCTACAAAAATGTAAAGTGAATAACAAAAGAATATAGAATTATCCTTTCTGGTAATTAGACTATTATAATTGATTAAATATTTTTTTAAGAGTGACCAATCTATTTTCTAGGTTTATAGAAGCATTTATGAAAGATATTTTCTAAAGCCTAACTTCTACAGTTTATTTACATATATGTATATTTATATGTATATTTATATGTATATATATGTGCCTGTGTGTGTATTAAAGGAAGAATAATAAGGAAAGCTAATATTATGCTGTGTTCCTTTATATCTTGCAACGAACTTTGAATGATTCCCTTAACATCTCTGGAAAGTGGTCCTTGGTTGCAAACAGCATTTGGGTATGGATTAAATCACACAAATTCCTGTGGTTAATTTATTTATCAAGATTTATTATGCATATAATCTATTAAAAATATGGTGATTATGAGTTGTAATATCCAAGGTATATAGGTACACATCTAAGTAATTTATATTTCATTTAAGAAAATATTAACTTACACAGAAGTAGTTAACAAGATTAATTGACCTAAGTTATAGGTATTGACTGAGATGAAATTAAAGCCAATATTTACATTGACGGTAATAAATCTTAATATTGATCAAAACATATCTACGCACACATACACACGCATGAGAACAAAGTGGTGGAAAGTGTTTAAACACTGATGTGAGGGAAGCTGGGCTTTTACTTCAAGTAGGAATCAAATTTTAGGGCACACTTTCTTCTGGGATATGGAAATCTGTTACTATAAAACGTTCTTAAAAGAATTTCACCGTGTATACATATTTGCATTCATATTATATGGTATTTCATAATCTACATGTAGACACATAAATAGAAACACACATGGTTTGTTTTTGATGCAGGTGAGTTCCTGAATCTTTTTCTTTAAAATAATTCCCGTGAAGTGTATATTGCTTTTACTTATACAATGATACCTGTGTTACTAATGGAGGAATATTTAGCCCTCACAGATACATACACTTTGCTACCAAAATGTGACAATTTCATATGAATGAGAAAGTTTACAACTTATGAAAAAAAGTATCATGTTGTAAAAAATATCAATATTTAGGTAAATGGACATTTAGGATATTTAGTCCCAGATGATATAAAATAAAATCCTAACCTCATTAAAACACACACACACATCCGAGTAGATAATTCTTTGCTCTTAAAATAAGGTGTTCTAACACTTGTAAAACTGTAGAATCTATATAATTATGCTATTGCAAAAGCACTTATTCTTCTATTTCTTTGTTGTTTTTTTTTTTATAAACTAGGATGGTGGTTTTCTTTTTTAATTATTTTCTTTTTAATTTTATTTATTTATTTTTTCCCCGAAAGCTCCAGTAGATAGTTGTATGTCATAGCTCCACATCCTTCTAGTTGCTGTATGTGGGACACGGCTTCAGCATGGCCGGAGAAGCAGTGCCTCGGTTCGCGCCCGGGATCCGAACCAGGGCCGCCAGCAGCGGAGCACGTGCACCTAACCGCTAAGCCACGGGGTCGGCCCTATTCTTCTATTTCTTACACACCTTTCTTTATAATGTGATGGGAATACTTTTAATATAAATGCTTATGCACATTCTGTCCAGTTGCTTAAATTGGCCTTTAATTTAATAAAATTCTATTTAAAATGTATCATTTTTTTTCTTAGAAATAACAAAATTCAATCTGAAGTGTTTTGGGTGAAATTACTCAGCTTAATTTCACATACCAGCTATGAATTTCTGGGGTGAGGTGGGGTGTCTAGTTTTCTGTTCTCATAGATCTATCTAGTATGTTATTGTCAGAATTCTATAAAATTTATTAATAGCAAAAAAGTCAGTTTTGAATTTTTACAAGGCTTAGTGAGCCATTTTACTCTCACATGTGGTCTAATCACAGCATAACTAATCAGAATCTTATTTCTCAAGGTTAGACATCTTCTGTCTCTTAAACATCAAATGATCGTGAGGAAACAATGGATATATACTGTTTCTAAATAGCAACAAATTCATTAGTTGAAAAATGAGATAGTCAACTGTTTTTTTGTAAGTCAGTTTTTTTCTAATTTGTTTTTTCAGTGATTCCCTTTTCTCAACTGAAATATTTTACAAAATTTCAATAAGTTGATAAAAGAAGAACATAGAGTGGGAGCTGCTGCTGCCCACCCTCCTATCCACACCTCAACTCTCTAAACCCCGGAAGTATCTTTTCCCCAAGAAGACAGTTTAAAGATGGCTGCCCTAAGGACAGTTACACAGAACTCCAATAACAAGGATAACGGCAGTTTCACTACCTACTCTGTACCCCATCTCTATATCTCTGAGGTTCTGGAGTCACACTATACAGAAAACACCCCACTGTCACGGTTTACTTGTCCAGCTGAGTGTGTATTACCTGTGACCTTGGAGTTAGGTTCTAATCCCCTATGCATTTGTTTCTTTACATGTTGCACAAAGATAAGAAATCGCTTTACACTCAAACTCAAGGAGAAGACCGCTAGAGACGTGCTTCATCCATGTGACACTGACACTTCTCTGGGAAACTTTGTCTGCGAGCCTTCCTTCCTCACCCAGGTCCTACCTTGTATTCTTGGATAATTCCGTTCTGATCATCTGGAGGAGGAGGATCCCAGGAAACACTAATACTTGTGCTATTGTGACTTCCGACTGTCAGCACAGTGACAGATTGTGGAGGGGCACTTGGGGCTGCAGAGGAAGTAATTAGAATAAACACAAACTGTAAGTTTTGGTGTGCATTAATGCTGCTTACAGAATATGAACACGAAGACAAGACACATGAGGTTGTGGTTTCCAGCAGTTCCGAACTTGCATATGGTGTTCAACAGCAACAGTTTTTAAAAATGTCCTTTAAATATAATGGATAGATTTAAAACAAATATAATAGCTGTGGTAATATGTACTAAATAAATTTAAGAGCTAACATTCTAATGACTGTTTTCTACACACCCAGAACTAAGCTGTGTCAGATTTAATTCTCACAATAACCTCGGGGAGTAAAAACAACTCTTATCTCAGTTATACAGATAAGAAAACAGCTACTGTAAGAGACTTATCTAAATTAAACAACAAGGCAGAATTTGAACCCATGTATGTCTGCTTCTGGAACTCTGATTCTTTTAACTCTAATAAGCTCTCTTTCTGAAAAAATACTGCTATCAAAATATTCTGAGGATATATCCCAAAATTTTATCAAACACTAGCTCTGAGTGGTGGCATTATTGACAATTTTTTTGTTTTGTTTTAGTTTGTGTTTAATAAATAAAAACAGAAACATAGCTATAAATTTCTTTTTTTTTTTTTTTTTAAAGATTTTTTTTTTTTTATTTTCCCCCCAAAGCCCCAGTAGATAGTTGTATGTCATAGCTGCACATCCTTCTAGTTGCTGCATGTGGGACTCGGCCTCAGGATGGACAGAGAAGCGGTGCCTCGGTGCGCACCCGGGATCTGAACCCGGGCCACCAGCATCAGAGCGCGCGCACTTAACCACCAAGCCACGGGGCCGGCCCAGCTATAAATTTCACAAACAGAAAAACATACTTTTGTCTTCATATTGGGAAAAATAATTGACTGTTATAAATCGACTCATAATTTAAGATTTAAAACTTATTTTATATTGATGGGCAAGGAACTCTGAAGATATAAATGAAAACAGTTCGCATTGGGTCAAACGTGAAGTGGACAGATTTTAATTCTCTACAGTTCTCTTCCTTTATGGTTTCTCCTATAACTAATTATAATCACACTGAAAAAACACGAATGAGAAAAAATTTCTGATTTTAGTGTGCAGCATCTCCTATCCAGTGTAGCCAAGAGCTAAGAAACAATAATTTTTTAGGAAAACTTATCAATTCTCAGTGAATCTCTGACTTTAAATCAAAGAAAAAGCAAAATCAAAGTACCAATAATTAAAACAAAATTCAAAGAATTATGGGGTATTAAATTATTTTTATATAGAAGGATTAATGCTTTCATAACTCTACACAGTTTAGTCCTTCGCAAATATGTATAATTGACTCATAAAAGATATTTTAAAAGCCTGTGATAAAGTCTCCCATGTTTGGTAAATTTGTCATGACATATTTCACTGAGGTATGGCCATATTCATTGAGATATAGGATAAACACACAGACATGTGACCACAATTCTGCTCTTTATTTTTCCTCTATGTGATAACATTGCTCCAAAATACAGCACGATGACTTAAATCCAACCAGTTTTGTAGTTATTAAGTAGACTGCACTGAAAAATAACATTTTTGAAAACTGGTTTCTCATTTGCCTTGCTGCTGGCTTGAAGGGACCACCATGCCTGCTTCTTGACAGGTCAATTATTCCAGGGCTCAGCTTCTTTCTACAGATGTGAAAGAACCCAAGTCGTCACTCATCCTTCCCAGACACAGCCCAACTGAGTTCCATTTGTTACCTTCAGAAGGCCACAGAAATTGGAGATGAACGTGTACCGAATGGTGACAAATGTCTAATCCAGAGGAAAAGTCTGACTGCAGTGAAATTGATTTTTGGAAGTATGCTTCAAACATAGCATTCTGTGTTAAATTTACCCACCCCACTCCTTAGTACTACAAATTGTCAACATAAAGTAAAATTTAATGGTGGTTAAAGATACTATTATTAATTTTTAGTATTTTTTTCTTTACTTTCATAAAAGTAGATTAATGATGCCTTTAAAAACATGCACTTCTGCCCATGTCAGTGTATCACACTATAAATCAATGTGAAGATAACATTTTTACTGTGTTGCTTGTTATAAGATATGTATAACTGAAAAGCTCTTTGGTCAAACGTGAACATCTACATGCTAGCATGAGCAACCTATATACATTTTCTTAAGGCTGCTCATATCAATTTATATAAAATACGTTTAGAAAAAAGGCTCTTCATGGGAGCTGTGTATGTAAAATTAGTAGAAAATCAGAAAAGGAGGGAATTCTTATACTTGGCATCTGACTTTTTGTACTTTGATGATACTATTTATTATAAGCCTCTAGTTTAATGAAAGAGACATTAGTAAATGGACTGGTGGAGTCCTACATTAATTTCATGTCCATCACAGATTGACTATAAAGTACCTGTAGCCAAGAAAATTTCCAAAAGAGGGAGGAGGAGGGAATGTCACTAAGAAGAATGCTATTGCAAACACGCAAGTGGCCTTCCAAGTTAGAAATTATGAGTCAGACTGGCAGAGCCCACAGAGAAGGAGGCTTATAAAAGAAAATGTCATGCTTTACTACACCAAAACAAGAGGACTGACAATGAAGAGCCTGTGTGCTTGGGTTTCCAGTAGCCTGTCCTTTAATGAAGCCAAATGACAAACAAGATTTGGGGAAAATGTATACTTAGGAAATATTCAAATTACTTGAATGTCATTCTTTTTTTGAGTTGTCAGATTCTTTGGAATTCTCAGAATAAAAGGGGAAAATGACACTCCTGGATTCACTTTTAGATTCTCTCTTGCTACTCTTCTGTGGAAGATGATAAACTAGAACTTAAAACAGAAACTGGTCTCATTATGGTTTAGGTTTGGTTTACGTTAGAAATCTGAATACTGACCTTCTTCAGTAGTACGAATTGTTTTAGATTCACTGTCCATTCCTTGGAACTCGTTAAAATACGGGCGAACTTTAATTTCATAAGTCACCCCCTTTCTCAGACTGACTAAGACAGCACTTCGCTCAGTCGGGACTTTGGCATCTAAGTTCTGCCATGGTGCAGTAGCCTGCAAGCCTGAGGTCTGACGATACATCACTCGGTAGCCTTGAATAAACTGGGGCTGGCGATCAACCTGCAAAACACGGCAAAAAGCTTGTGAAACCTAATGGAAGTATTTAGACATCACAATGGATCCATCCTCATTTCTCTTGTCCCATTTTGGTCCTCATCAACTAGCATCTGAGTGTTGCCATGGCTTTCTAACTCATCTCCCTGCTTCTAATATCCTCTTCCAATTCTGAGCTCACGTTGCTCCTAAGTTATTATTTCCAAAATGAAGAGTTGGAACAACTCTCTCTCCTGCGTATAATACCTCATAGTACCCAGGATACCTACTTAATTAATTCATATTCCTCGGATTAGCACAAAGGCCCGTCAAGGCCTAGACTTGCCAATTTTTCTAGCTTTATTTCTCATCTGATTGTCCTTTTTCTGTATTCAACAATTTCCATTTTTGTGTTTTTATATACAATGTGCTATTTGTCAGGAATTTCCATTCTAAGCCCTTGTCCATTGACTAATACCTTCACTAGCTCAAAACATCTTTTGAGTTCCTACTAATAGGTGCCAGGAATTCTGCTAAACTCTAGGGACAAAAATGGAGAATGAAAGTAGAGTCAGTCCCTGCCCTCACGGTGCTTAGAGTCCAGGTAGAAGGTGGGCATTACCTAATCATCACTCAAACAACGGTCAAGTTACATTCATCACAAATAAACACAAGCAAATGTTATCAATGAGACGTACAAGGGGCTAAGAAAGCCTAGAGTGGAAGGCAGTTGACTGAATCAGCAAGGGGAGATGAAATTCTCTGAAGGACAAGTGCTGAGATCTACAAGAAAAGTAGAATTTATCCAGGGGAAGAAGAGTAGAAACAGCACGTATAAAATTTGTGTGGCTGGAGGAAGCATATGAAAGAGACTAAAAGTTGTGGAGCTAGAGCATCTGTTTTCAATGCATATGAAAAGCTTATACCCCTTAACAATATTAAGTGAAAGACTTTTATTAATTTACCAACTTCTGGCTCCTTCAACAGTTCCACTATTGGCACAATTTGACAGCTTTCTTGATCCTTTCATTCATGTAAGGGACAGAGGATAAGCAGCTGCTCTTTTTGTTTATTTTTTGGGTTTTTTTTGTAAGGAGGACTAGGCCTGAGCTAACATCTGATGCCAATCCTCCCCCTTTTACTTTTCTTCAGGAAGATTGGCCCTGGGCTAACATCCGTGCCCATCTTCCTCTACTTTATATGGGACGCCGCTACAGCCTGGATTCACAAGCGGTGCAGTGGTGCTCGCCCGGGACCTGAACCTGCGAAACCCGGGCCGCTGAAGCAGAGCGCACGCACTTAACCGCTTGCGCCACCAGGCAGGCCCCGGAAGCCGCTGTTTTTAATGAAACCTGAGATTTTGAATCTGAAAACTCATATCAAATAGAAATTTGAAAAAGCTTTTTTGTTCGCTCATAATAATTACATGAAAACTGAATGCGTAAAAATGCAAGCTAAAAATGAAATATGTTCCCTTTATATGTTTATTAAACAATCTTTATTGGAGTTTTACCATTGTTTCATTTTCTGAAAGAAAAGGACTTTTAGTTTTTTAAACATTTTTTAATGTCTTGCTGTGTTTCTAGGAATGCTTGATTTAAATATAACTATCACAGTACCTCCTCCAATTAATATTCCACACATTATAGTTTAATAGCCATATTCTAAGAAGCCTTTAACTTGACATATTTCACTGTCAAATAACGTGTAAAAATGAATGGAGAAGAGAAGGAAGAACCTCGCTTCAGAAAGGCGGAGTAGAGAGAGGAAATAGAGAAGGTAATGATGGAAATGGTTATTTCAGCTTTTTAAAAATTTCTTTATCCAACTGTTAACACGTTATAAACGAAAGGTATTCTTCCACGTATTAACTTCTAACACTTCTTCTTTACTTGCAGTATTTAAAAAAAATTTTTAAGTGAAGGCAGAAAATTAACAAATACAAAACCTCAATCAAAATACAGTGGAACAAAGGACATTTTTCTATATTTAGAATGTCCAACCTAGAAAAATAATCCATGAATTTGGTGGGCATGAGGATGAGTGTTTCTATGTATAGCTAATTCCAGTTTCACAGATGAGTCTCAACAAGTTAGAATTCCTTCTCAACAAGTAAGAATTGCTTTCTAACCCTCAAAGATTTTCTGGAACTAGTGCTATACTTGGGTAAGGTTATGTCAAGAGACAGTAAGCCCAGCTCTGCTGCCAAAGCTCAGGATGTTTGAATCCTCCTCCATGTTACCAGTTTGTGTTTGCACCAAGGGTCATATTTCTTGAAAAGCAGAAGTTGTTCTGACATTATAAAACAAGGAAACTAAAGAGCAAAAAGTTAAATTTATGAGAGCCAAAGCCTTTCATCAAAACTGTCAATGTTCAAAAAATTCCTTGCAGCATATGTTAAAACAACGTTAAGCTTACATTTTATAAACTTCTCTGCATTTGCTTTAAGTGAATTTATATACTGAAAGAAAGACATAACTCACAATAATAGCTTGTTAATACTGAAAGAAGCAAGCTGTGTTTTTAAGAAGAACATTACGCAGCTGTTTCCAGATGAAGGGAGTCTGTAAATCAGGGTAAATTGGTTTTATCCATGTTTGGTTTTCATTAATTAAGTGTTTTAGGGACTTTATGTAGCTAATGTTTACTACATGGCATTGCCTTGCTCTCTTCAGTGTATACTGCCTCCAACCAATACATTCTAACGGCCTACTTTAATAACTAAATAGGTTAACTTGCTTTTGTGCAGTTGCAATACATTTTTTCAGAAGGAAATTTGGTGTTACAGCTGGAAGCAAAAATGAAAATGCTGAATGTTAGCTTTAAAAAAAAGGTGGTATTTTTATTGGATATGCATTCTACACCACTGACTTTTGGAGCACATTATGACAGGTGGTCATTTTCAAGTTAAACCATATGCTTGTTACTAGCTTTATTAACATTCTGATTATAAGAAGGAGGATTTTCTTTTAGTGTTGATTATAATCAGAGTCTGGCCACAAATCCATGGGTTTATAGAATTTTAAAAAATTGGTATTTTCTGAAACATGAATAAAAAAGAGTTGTCTCAAGGAAAAAGTGAAACGATAAAGACAGCTTCAGTCTTACAGTCATAAGGTCTCAACTGAGTTACAGCTTAGCCTCAAACTTTCTGAGCCTCATTTTACTTAATTTGTTTAAATAATACCCATATTACAAGGGCACAGAAACAATTAATGACTAATATAAGTTAGAGATGCACAATGATAAAGCATCATTGTTAAGTAGAGGATATACTAAAAAAAGGGGTTTCATATGTGGCCCTCAAATCAGCACTTTCATTAATATGTTTAAGGGAGATGCTTAATAGCTATCATTTCAATTAAAAAAATTCCATCTGAACTGAAAATTCAAAGTGAATTTTCTTTGGTGTGTTTGGCCTGCTAGGTGACTGATCTGGATTTAGCTGAGTTCTGAAATTCTAGTTTGCCGAAGCACTCTTTCAACTCCAGTAGCTGTGATATTAAAGGGGCAAAAGGTCTGTGATTCTTTTGGTCTTTGAACAAAAACAACACAACAAAACCCCCACAAAAACTAGAATAATCACTTTTAAATAAGAGATTTATTGCTATTCTCTTTGTGAAACAGCCATTTTCTTAACATTTTTCCCTACCCACATTATGAGAGCAGTCATTTATAGGAAGTAGCCTTTGCTAACTATCATTGCTTCAAGATTATCCTTGTGGGGCAGGTGGATGGTCTCTCCAGTACAAATGTCATATGTGTTTGGTAATTGAATCCTGCCAACCATTGGTAAACCACCTCAGCTGTCCCCATATCTAAGCACATGGGCTGTGGAATATATTTCTCCCCTGGAACCACAGCACATCTGTAACTCAAATACTAACAGTGTGATAATTTATAGAACATATATATGTAGCAAGTTGAAAACATGACATGAAAATAAAATATTTGGTTATAATTTCTTTGGCAACGTACCCCGCCCCTAGTCTGACTTTATTTCACTAAATTTATCTCTCAAATGTACACTTATCTGATCTGTAACTACAAACTCATAGGGGAACAATACCTTGTGATATAATTGAACAATTTCTTTTTAAAAATTAAAATTAAAATGTATGAAAACAATTGATTTGATCATTGAACAGACAGTTATTGAAAGGGTATTTCATAAAAGGTGCTCTGCTTTGAAAAAACAGAAATAAAACATGAACTCCAGACTCTCAGAAGTCAAGCTTATGAGGGAGAGAGAGATGCAAACTAGGAATGATAAACTTCTTGGGATATAGAGATGAATATGACAAGGTCCTTCTCCTGGAAGAACTCCCAGACTACTGACCTGCAATCGTGATCTGATTTGATTTATTCTTTTAAACTCAGTGACTTTTAAAGTGATTAACTTCATAAACATAATGACTTTGATTTCTACCCAAATAATTCCCACATTTAGAAGCAGCTTAAAAGAAGCCCCTTCAAAACTCCCAACAGAACAGAGAAGACTTTTTCAATTGAGAATGAGGAAAAATCTATTAAAAATACAGCTGCTTCCTTGGCTTTGTTAGTTTTATATCTAGTCAAAGCTACAAAAAGATAGAAGAGGCATGGCGAATAATACCCCTACTGTGCCATTGGAAAAACGATGAGGTCATTATGTTCCCTTCATGAGAATTGAAGAAGAGAAGCCATTATGTGCGGAAGACAGAATAAGTCTATGTGAAATTATATCAAAAATGGAATTAGAAACAATGCAATGCTAAATAATTCTAATTACTCTGAAAATATTTCTTAAACTTAGTCTCATTTTTGTTAAAGTATTTCTCAATTTTGTACTCATAGGACAAAAATTTGATTGATTACGTGGTCTGGTTTAAGAAATAACAAAATATTTCTTAAACATGGCCCCACCCAGGATCCTATGTCAAACTTCCACTGTTAAAAGGTATTCCTTTTGACTAAATATTTGTCTACAGTAAAGTGAAAAACACAAAAAACAGATTTAAAGTAAGGAAATTCTAATCCTATCTTTATAAACAGATGTGGGATACTGGGAACATTGTTCAACCTGTCTGCATTGGTTTCCCTTTATAAAATTATAGACTTGGAATAAACAGCCATAAATGTTATTTTAGGTTCTCCTGTTCTAATTCAATAATGCCTCCATATTTCCCTATATAGATGTAGATTAATGGTGATGCCTTTTCTGGGGCCTGAGGATAGAGTTAATCACTTCCTCTTTGATTGAAACCTCTGTCTATAGGGTACATATATATCTGTTACGGCTCTTATCCCTGTGTATGTCATTGAGAATTTCCAAGTTTCTCTCAAGTAGATTAGTTTCTCATTATATAGTGCTCTCCCACATGTAGTACAAAACTGGCCCTCAAAAAATACTTGTTGAACTGGATTTGTTCAATGGATTTATTATTGAGAGGACACTGGAATAATTCTCTTCATTGTGTTTTTCACTTCAAACATAATTAAGAACTGATGAAAAACAACCAGTTTTCCTTTCTCAACTTCTTTCGTTGAGGGAGTTGATAGGAATGGGGGAAATAATTATTTCCCTAAAGAAGCCTGGACTCTAAGGGAGGGGGAAATCAAATTTTTTTGATTTACAGTCATTCTTCCATTACAACAACAACAATAGAGACATAATTATAAATACTTTCTAATCAATATTATAATTAAAGTGAAAATTTTTCTAGGTATCCCTAACTCAAATGTCCATTACTTATACAATATACAAGATCTACCACATACACAAAGGGCTTAAAGAAGATGTGCTCCTCTATCATCCTGATATATTTCCTCATGGATTGTTAGAGGACATAATAGATAGATCTTGAGCATAAATGAGAAGTTGGCACTAACTATATTAGACACAGGGAAGAACATTATCTGGCTCTTTGCAAAGCACAGACATACATATAGACACAAACATATACATGTGTTAGTATTCTCTAATATGACTAATATCAACATCTTTATGCTATTTGTTGTTTTCACTGCAGTGGCTAACACATGATCAAAATATTTAGCATTTTGAAATAACAGCGGGAAGGTTGACATTTAATAACACATGGAACTGAACATTCTTGGCATATATTAAAAAAATAAATTTATTTCTTAAAACCCATTGATTTTTTTACTACATACATCAAATTGTTAAAATTATATATATGTTTTAGTGCTGCGGGATGAGATTCAGCTAAAAGAATGTAAAGATGGTTGATATAAATTCAGAAGAAAACTTCATCAAAATTAAAATCTTTCCTGCTTCAAATGACACCATTAAAAAAGTGAAAAACAACCCACAGGCTGAGAGAAAATATTTACAAATCATATATCTGATACAGGATCTGTATCCAATATATAAAGAACTCTTACAAGACAATAAGAAGACAAACAACCCAATTTAAAAATTGGCAACGACTTTAACAGACATTATTCTAAAGAAGATATACAAGTGCTCAGAAGCACATGAAAGAAGCAAAACATCTTTAGTCATTAAAGAAATGCAAATCAAAACCACAATGATATATATCACTTCACACCCACTAGAATGGCTATCATAAACAAGACAGGACAACAAGTGTTGGTGAGGACGTGAGAGACTGGCAAGGATGTGGAAGAACTGGAAACTTCGAATATTGCTGATGAGAACATAAAATGGTATGATCACTTTGGAAAACATTTTGGCAGTTCATCCCAATGTTAAACAGAGAGTTATCATATTACTCAACAATTCCTACATATATACCAAGAGAAATGACAACATATGTCAACTTGTACACAAATGTTCATGGCACCATCATCCATAATAGTGAAAAGAGGAAGCAACTCAAAGGTGCATCAGCTGATGGATGGATAAACAGATGTATGTGAATGCTATTCAGTAATAAAAAGGAACAAAGTACTGACGAACCTCAAAAAAATTATGCTGAATGAAAAGAGCAAGATACAAAAGACCAGATATTGCATGATTTCATTCATAGGAAAGGAGCAGGCAGATCTATAGAGACAGAGAGTAGATCAGTGGTTGCAAAGGGCTAAAGCAGAGGGAATGGCGGAGTGCCTGCTAACAGGTTCAGGGTTTCATTTTGAGAAGATGATATGTTCCAAAATCAGATTTTGTTGATGATTGCATGACTCTGTAATTATTCTAAAAAACATTGAGTTGTACACTTTAACTCTGGTATGTTAATTATATCTCAATAAAGCTGTTAAAAAATTCAGAAGACAGAAAATGTCATGTTTATATTGCAATCTATTTTTACTCTATTTACTCTTTATCTCTTGACTATTTTTCTCTTTTGCCATTGATTATACCTTGATTTTAAATGGTGAGGGTTTTTATTGCTACTTTTAGGTTTCTTTATTTGCTTTTTTCATTTTTTGGCTTGTTCTCTTAAAGGAATAAAAGGGACTACCATTCCACAGCCTTTGAACACTTACAGTCCACGTAACTTGAACAGTGGTGGGGCTCATCACAACTGGGGTGTGAAGACGGACAATGACGTCACCTAGTTCTTTCTGTACTTGTCGATGGTCCACTCCTTGTGCTGGTGGGCTGATATCTACAGGTAGATAACCATTCCCAATTTTTAAAAATTCATAGAAAAATTCCAACATTTATTATATAAGCCAATATTATGCCATTAGAAATAATTACAGGGAAAAAGAGAAAAACCTTTTGTGACAAAAAAAAAATTAAAGCATATTTCTATACATAGAACATAATTTGAGAGATGATATTTATCTTCACTAAAATAATATTAATAAAAGAGTGTTGGCAATCCCTAACCCCCATTCAAACACGTTGTTGTGGAAGATCTATTTTCTTATTAAAGAATAAAGTATGTGCTGTAAGACTTCTCTAGAAACATCAATTTTATATAGATCTTAGCATATTGAACGATTGTCCCGCATAGTTAATGGGGCCATATCTGAAAAATGCTGTTTGGGAATTTGTTTAATCCTTTGTCCCAATTAGTAGATAGTGTGTTCTTACTCCTTGACCTGTTCCAGTCTGGCATCTGAGAGAGAAAGTAATCAGGGGGACTGGGGAAGTGAATTATGTCACTAAAGGTAAAGAAAGGGAGGGAAAGAAGGGGAAGAAACCCCCAAATTCACAAAAATAATTTGACTGAAAAAGTCAGAATACGTAAAATGTTCTACAGTAATCAATTTTGAGCAGTGCTCCAGGATCTGACAAAAGGTAACCCAGCTGCGTTTTGGCAATGACGGGAGGTGGGGAGAGGGAGAAAGAGTTGCAATCTGTACAATGACATACTCAGACATACACTGTTCTGTGCCTTTATTCACCATTCACCTAAATACTACTCTATTGTCTAATATACAATGGTTTATGTTCTATGTAACTATTAAGAAAAAAAATAAATTATAAGCATCCAAGTCCATCAAATTGATCTCAAACACGGAATTTCACACATACTCATATCAACTTCTTTAACTGGTAGACTGCCATGTTAAGTTGAATTTTTTTCCCTCCGACTACCTTATTTAAGGAAGGAAGTCCAATTTAAAATGATTTATTGTCTTAATCTTGTTTTCTCCTATTTTCTCAGGCCACAATGCCACACTCTTGCAAAAAATATTTTTAAGTGCATATCTCAGCCATAACTTAAATTGGGTGCACTAACTTAAATTAGGACATAAATAATCGGGAACTACACTTTGGTGATTTTTTCCCCAGTTCTACTTTTTTTTTATCCTTAACATAAACAGCACAGAGAGTTTTACTGGATTTAGAAAAAGAACTATTATTAATATTGTGTGATAACATTAAACTTTGCTGATATATCTATGGTCTACTATAATGCTGATGGTACAAGTACTTGCTGCCTTACTAAAGTAAAAGATTTCTAAATTCTATGCTATTCAATATCTTTGAAAAATAAGAGCTCACTCAGCAAAGTGTTCTTTGAAAAGAGATGCTTTGCAGAATGCAAAGCTGCTGAAAGTGTTGTGTCAAAAAATGATCCTGACATTCAGACACAAAACATGAGTTTTTCTATTAAATATCTGTTAACTGAAGATAAGTCTTCTGCTCTATATAGTCTCTCAACTGGAACAAGCCAGATCACAAACAACTTTTCATTAATCTTTTTTGACCTTTTCACTGAGAAGTTGTTTTACAAGTCAAGATTTAGTGACTGGCACAGTTATTGAATGATCAAGAAAGTCTGCCCGATTTAATCACACCAAAAGTCTTCCCCATTCTGTTATCTCCCCACCTTCCATTACAGCTACACACAAAACTGACCGTTTCTATCTACACAGGTAAAAATGACCTAGGTACTATACTTTCTGACTTAAAACCATACACCTCTTCCTTTTCAAGTTCAATAATTTAATTTACTCCTTAAATTCAGACACACTAAAAGTAACTGGATCCAGGCAAGGTAAAATATAACCAGTTTCAGGTCTTCAAATTCCTTGCTGTACTTTTTCTTTCTCTTGAGACAGGTTCTTTACCTATAGGCCCTTTATCATCGTTGAAAATTAATCACATTACTGCTTTGAGAACAATAGCAAAGTGGCATTCCCTCCTCCCTTGACTGTCATCATGTCAGTAACGTTACAAAATCACGTGGGGACTTTATTTCACTTGATTCCTTTAAGGCGCCTTTCTCTGTTATAATAGCATGCTAGTTACTATCACTGAACTACATTGTAATTATAATTATATTTTATGGCTGTATGGTGCTTTTCATAGCATAAAAATACTACTTTGAATTATATTTTGTTCAAAGCTTTTTACAAATAAGATATAATTAACCCTTTCTCAAGAACCCTGTGGGAAGTAGATTGTAACAAAAAATAAAGCCACCATTTCTATTTTTTTTAATTAGTTCCCTCCATCTACTAGGAGGAAAGGAAACTATAATGCAACATCCTAAATTAACCCCTAGACTCCGGTAGCCTTCTCAGTTTGAAGAGACAGGCTACAAAAGGTGAGATGAGAAATCTTCCATTTTGATCTTCCTGGTGGGTCTTTTTAATTAGTCAAAAGAATCACATACCTCAGGAACAAAACTTGATTTACTGCTTTCTGAAACAAACTGCTTCTTTAAACGTCTGGTTTAATAAAATACATGTAGCGATGCTTGTTAGACTTGAGCATCAGCATCCCCTGGAGGCCCCTTAACACAGACTGCTGGGCCCCACTCCCAGGGCTTCTGAGCTGGGGCCTGAGAATCTGTATTTCTAACATGGTCCCTGGTGATACAGGTGCTGCTTCTGTGGGAACCTCTCCTCGAGACCCACTGTACTATAAAAACAGAATGCCTGTACAATAGGAAATAATTTTGATAGCCCTATTTGGGCATCTTATCCATTAAATCACTTTTTGCTATTGTATAATTAATTTCAAAGAAGGAGAAACATTTTTCCTTGCGTTGAAATATAGCAAAGCCCTAACTTCATTGATTCACCCTTACTATGTAGAAGTACTCATTTATTTTGTTTGTTTTTTACTAAATAGACCTTCACACCTCCAGAAAGAGGACACACTCACCAAGATGAACAGCCAAGTTTCCTTCTCTTTCACTGGATCAGGTCTAGTAAATCATTGTAACAAGCCATGCAGACACATTTATCTTTCCCCGTGCAATCCTTTTGTTCTTAAAGATCTATTTAATGCCTCCTTCTAGAACCAGTCATGTTTACAGCTGTTGAAATTACCTTGTGTGCGCACAGGATCTGACATTGGACTTGGGTCACTGAGACCTTGGGGGTTGATTGTTCTGACCATGAATAAATAGATTGTATTGGGCCGCAGTCCTCTCACTGTGTAGAGGGTGGTCTTTACATGGTTTGCCACTGTCTGCCAGCTATTGCTCACCGATTGGCTGAAACACGAACAGAAATTTCATTTAAAGAACGGTCATAAAGGTATTGGAAATGGAGTTGGGTATCAATGACAAAGGTTAATGGCTGAAAATTAAACACACACACACACACAACGCTTGAAGTGTTCAGCCCAATAAATGAAACATTTGGATGATTTCAGTTTATTCAACAACAAAGCCGAGCCCACCTAACGGAAGTGCCATGCACAACAAAATTAAACTCAGCCCAGGAGATGTGACAGCCCTTTGCTAATGCACAGCAGCCCACTAAATGAATACCTGTAAAAGGAACAGAGGCCAAGATCACAACATCAAGTTTATACAATAAATATGGTCCTCGTAAATGTATATATATACCTTGAAAAGAATTAACCTGTAGAAAGAATAAATGGGCTACAGAGTAAGTTATGCCAATACATTTTCCTTTTACAAGGTGTGTTTTCTTTTGCATCAATTCCACATGCAATATTATAATAGAGCCTTCTAAAACTACATATCTGTAAAAGAAGAAAGGAAGCATGTAATGAATATTTTTCCCTTGGTCACATTTTTTATAAAGTTGTACATTACACAATATTGTGATTTCTTATCTTGGAATGGTGAAATATCTCTGAATCTGCATGTATGGACCCCTTAACAGCCAGCTACCGATGGGATGCTCATTTAGGGCACTTTGTCAAGGGTCAAATGCTGCTTTTGTTCCGAATGAGAAGAAAATGTGATTTTTCCTTTATTTTTCAGAAGTCCTTAGGCACCAGAGCATGAAAATTATAGAAAAATAGTATTTTGAAATTCAAAAACTATGTATTGACCATTACCTTAAATATAATAGGGAAGCTTAAAATGAAAGTAATGATGTGTCCTAATGCTTACAAGGGACAGTGGCTATCACTATTATAATGGTAAATAGAAGCACATTGAAACTGAATACGAAGCTACGTTTTCCCATTCGTATAAGTATTTTATTGAATTCTCATAAGAAAATTTTATAACGACATTTGCTAATTTATAGTCTATAGTATCCTTAAATTGATGACAATTATTTCAAATAACAATTGGACATATCTTTTCCTTTCAGCAACTGGAAGCGGATGGAACCAATTTCTTAATTGTAGTTTTTAATTTTCTCTTAGGCATACCTAATAGATGTATTCAAATATATAGCATAAAAACATTAGAATTATTTTAAGTTCTGCTGTGATTATTAGGAAACAAAGTTCCAGGGTTCCATGCCTCAGTAAACGCTGCATAACTTAAAAAGTGTCTGTGCCTAATTAAATTATTTTCTGTCCAGTTCTCATGCCAAAATTCTCATCTTAGATCCTTAAAATGCTCAGGGTAAAGAGAGGAGCTAAGTGATTATGTTATGAACTAGATCCTTATAGACTTAGGCATGGATAATGCGTATTTAATCTAATAATTAAGTTTTAAATGAAAAAAGAAACTCAAGTCTATCCTTGAATAAAGTCAGATATAAAAGATAAATTCTTAAAATGCCTTGATTGAACATGTCCTCAAAATAGCAGGATAGCTCACGTGAGATTTTAGGACATAGGAGCTAAAGCAAAAACCCAATGGAGAAAAAAGAAAGTGTGCCATACCTGAAAGCCTCAATGATATATGCACTTGCTGGAAGGGTTCCAGGGGTACCTGGTTGCCAGGACAAGGTGACACTGTTCTTAGTAACATCAGTGACCTGCGGTTTGGATGGTGGCCCTGGCAGGTCACTTAAATCATAATTTTTACTGATTGTTGCTCCAGATTCTATAGAGGACAAACAGAAAAAGCTTCATTCCTGATTGCATAGGCTAACAACAATGCTTAAAAGAAGGAAAATAGTCTATTAAAGAAGTTGACCTAGACAGTGAGCAATTCATCTTAATGAATCAGAAGTATTGTAAGTGAATCTTGATTTTTCCTACATGTTACTAAATGTTAACTTTACTTTCACATAGGATCATTAGGACTGCTTGCTCTTTAGAGAGAGAAAATAAAATAAGGTTATCAAGGACAAACATATCAAATAGCATCAATGCAACGCTATGTGCCAAGTGGTGCAGGAATTAAAAAGTGTCCTAAGACTTCGTTTTCACATTCAATGAATTTAAAATCTTGATCTCCCCTTAACTTATTATTTGATAATGAGCTAATCACTAAAATGCACTCAAGATTTCGTCTGTTGAGATAATTCACAACAAACCCACCTGTCACACCCAGCACAGCACTCCAGGAAGTCTCCCCACTTGAACTTGTAGCTACACAAGTATAAGTGCCAGTATCAGAAATCTAGTGTGTGAAGAAGGGAGAGAAGTAAATTGTTTTAATTAATTTGTAGAATAATTACGCAGTCTCAACAAGGCAATGTATAATTTCTTAAGATATAATGTATCATTTGGCTGTCCCAATTGTATGTCAGAGTCAATCATATGGATACATAAATAAACTCCTACAATGTTATTTGATTCATAATAGTGATTCAAAGGTTTTTTATTTTATTTCCACAACTAAATGTTGTTTTTCTGGTAAACTCTACCTGTCTGTCTTTCTTGCCTCCACAGCAATTCTCTTATTTTTTTCCTCCCCAAAGCCCCAGTACATGGTTGTATATGCTAGTTGTAAGTGGTTCTAGTTATTCTATATGAGACGCCATCACAGCATGGCTACTGACAGACAGGTGATGTGGCTCCGCAATTGGGAAGTGAACCCAGGCCACCGAAGCGGTGAGTGCCGAAATTTAACCACTAAGCCATCAGGGCTGGCTCAGTGCTCTTGTTTTTTAATTCTAGCTTTACGTTGGGGCTTCTTTGTGTCAGAATCAGATATGGACAACTCAGGACAGAATTTTTCAGAATCCTATAACCATTCAGAGATCAGTAAAGCAAAGCTGTCGTCTCTGTCTCAAACTATATTTCAACAAATAAAATGTACCCAGGATAAAATAAGCACTGAGATAATAGGGGGCCAACCCTTCCTTTTTTTTTTTTTAAAGACATGGAGAAAAGTGAAGAAAGAAAAATTTTTTTAAAAAAAAGGAAAACTAAATCTTTCCCTTTAAAGAGAACAGTACTCATATTTAAATTGTAGCAGTGTAACAGTGAATGAGATGAGGTTGTATCATTAAAAAACAAACAAACCATCCCTATGGAATCATTGCAATTTAGAGCTGAAGGGAACCATAGAAATAATCTAATACCTAACTCTTTTTTAAGCATACTTAAAAATTGCCATTTCATTGATCACTTCAAATGTTTTTGCTATTCATTGAGTGGCAAAAGACTTTTAGAAATACTTGATAATAGAATCAAAAGTTCTCTTTTAGGGGCGGGCCTGGTGGTGCAGCGGTTAAGTGCACCCACTCCGCTGCGGCGGCCCGGGATTCTTAGGTTCGGATCCTGGGCGCGCACCACCAGTGCACACCGATGCACTGCTTGTCAAGCCATGCTGTGGCGGCATCCCCTATAAAGTAGAGGAAGATGGGCACAGATGTTAGCCCAGGGCCAATCTTCCTCCGCAAAAAGAGGAGGATTGGTAGATGTTTGCTCAGGGCTGGTCTTTCACACACACAACAAAAGTTCTCTTTTACAAATGTAAAAGGCAGAAGACTCTGTGATTATACCTTGAGAAAAGCCCCAAATCAATAAAAGACATCACTCAAAAATCCTGCCTGTGGTTGAGCCCTGTGGGCTTACACTGCAAACAATATTCATTCACATTAGTTTAGAGGTGAAGGAAAAGTGAGATGGGAAGAGAAACTGATGACCAAAGAATAAGGCAAGTCAGAAGATGTGGAATTAAAATTCTGTGATGAACATGACTCTAATTGTTGATGAAATATGGGAGTTCATGGAATATAATATCTGCTGGGTTCAAACTGCAAGTGAAAAGATGACTCAACCTTCCACAATTGATTCTCAGGTAAATCATTACTGCGTGGATGTTACTGCCTTTCCACCATTTTAATTGATTTTAAACATCATTCTGTATTTTAACTTAAGTTTCAAATTGCTCCGGCATGTCATTCTTTGCCATATTATCTCGGTACAATTGTCTTCTATTATACAAAGGGATGACGGGGGATAGCCATTGCAGAAAAAGCCATTCTTTTAAATGTGGCTGTGCACGCATTATAGTCATTAGAAATCTTTGCATTTAAGAAGCATCACTCGCAAACTAAATATAATGAGCCCAGGTTGGATTTTAATGGGATGTTCATTTGAATACAGTCTGTGAAAGAGTAAAGAATTTGCATTTTATTATAGCTGTTGAACTAAAATGTAGCACTTGTTATTATGTGCAAATGCTAAAAGAAGAGTATGGAGGTAATGCTTCTTCACTGCATCTCCTTGTCATTGTGTGGAGATACCAGTCTGACGTTAGCTGTGGTAGGTATGTTTTAATGAGTATTGGAATATTCTACTTCTCAAAAGACACAGATTCAGTTACCAATTAGCTGGACTATGAGAACACAGTGTTCATCACACTATTTTTCCCCCTTGCATTAAGTACCAAAAAAGAAAGAGTGAGACACAGAGAAATATGACCTACAGAAACCCTCTCTTGACTGCACGAGTGAAGCACTGTAAAACATTTTTATATCCCTTTAAAGACAGTCATCTTACAGAAAAAGAACAATCTTTTCATTTTGGAGTTTATCACAAGTGACTTCAAAAGCCTAAACATCATTGCTAAAAGTTACTTTTTCACCATCACCATCACCATCACCACATTCATTTTTATGCCTTTAACTTGAAATAATGTCTTTTCTGATCATAAGTGCTTCCTATCTTTTTCCATCCTTCTTTTCTTCTTAACCAAGCGCTTAAAAAGAGATTAATGTGCTGGCACACTCCATCACCTACTTTTCTCCTTGTGTAGTTGGCTGCAGACAAGCCCCCAGGAGCTTGCCTCTCAGAGAGACTACTCAGAAGCCTGTCAGAGGGCTCCAAGTTTGTTTGACATCATCAAGCACCCACCTTTAATTGCTTCTTTCAAACCCTACTGGGGATCTTGACTATTCAAGCACACCCTTTAATTCAGCAGTACAGTGAAAATGCATTAACCTCCATGGCCCAAGTTTGCCTTTAGCCCAGGGAGGGAGTTTAAAGTGTTTACTCAAGGAGAATTGGCATTAATTTTTTAATAACTCTCATTTTGTTCAAAGAAAGTTAACAATTAATTTATAATCAACAAAAAGATAGGCTAAAAGTCTATATTACTTTATTTTTCTTTTAACTGAATTTGACAGCATTTTTTCTACATAGAGCAATAATTAATGCCTGTCCCAAAATTAAAACTAAAAAATTATATATATTAATTTTATTAATAAATTAAAGATTCGTGTGTGTGCACACAATGCAAAAATAGACCCATTCTTCCTTCTGGTATATGTATTTGTATGATACACCGATAAAAATCACAGATACGCATGTGATTGTAAACATATTTCCACTGTAAGAGAAGAACACACCATACTGTGATCATTTGCAAATACGTGTAATAGAAATATTTTTATATTCCTCCTCTGGCTTCTGAATGGCAAAATTCAACACCTTTTTTGTTTTCGGTTTTTTCTTCGTCTTGGTTCCCAAATTCTCCCTAGATACCAGATTCTACTAATTGTTCTTGCACTGAATCATTTTCAATAAATTTTTCTTCAAGCACAATTACATCAACCATCTCAGTTCTGGCTCTCACTCCCAATCTTGTGATTACTATAACATACTCTTGAGCTCCAGCATAGTGCCTGCTACATGGAGGGGAGGCTCTCTATATTTGGTTGAATGAACTGAATATACTCATGGAGGGCAAACATCCTTCTGGTATTCACACCTCGTGTAAGCCCTCACTTTGAGTGTGTCTGGGACCTGTTGACTTCCTTCTGGCCAATAGAATATGGCAAGGGTGACAGGATGTCATATTTGTGATTGTTACATAGGATTGTAATGCCTGTCTTGCCAGGAGACTCTCTTCCTTGTTGACTTTGAGGAAGCAAGCAATCATATTGGGAATATCCATACGGCAAGGAACTAACTAAAGGCACCCTTCAGTCAAGGGCAAGCAAGAAGTTGAGTTCATCAGTCTGATAGCCATAAAGAACTGAACTCTACTAACAATTGTGTTGCTTGGAAGCAAATTTATCCCCAGGCAATCTTCAGATGAGACCACAACCCTAAAACCTGATTGTAGCTTTGTGAGCCCCTGAAGCAGAACACCCAGCTAAGTCATGCCCAGGCTCCTAACTCACAGAACTGAGATAATAAATGTGTTACTTTAGGTCTCTAAGTGTTTGTTATTATTGTCACATAGCAGTAGATAGCTAATATGATTTTCAAAAGTAGACATTTAATTCAATTTGCTCCAGAAGCAAGTCTAACATGTTAAGTCAGCAGGAATTGTCATTCTCTACCACATTATCTTCTGTTAAAAGACCAGCAACGGCTTGTGCTTGTTCACAAGTTTACATCTAAACTCCACAGCAGCTTAACCTAAAATGCAAGATTTTCCACCAAATAGCCAAGCTTGTTTCCCATGTACTCAGTCTCATCTCTTTATGTTTTCCACATAACTGTTTGGCCAAGTCAATTTATCCACATTTCCTTACAAACTTCCTTTGTTCATGAAACTAAATCAGACACATTTGTCACTTCCAAATTATTTTAAATATTCCGCCACTATCATTAACTTTATGTGTTCAAGATTTTTAGTTTCATTGATTGCATACATATGGGTTTGGATACGGAGTAAAAATTTTCTAGGTCTGTTATGAATTTATGATTAACATAAGGACAATGACCTTCCCTCTAATCTCAATTCATCATTTGTAAAATAAGAAATAACATGGTCTATAATAAAATGTACAGCAATTATGTTGGGATGTAAGATTTAAGGTCACAACAGTTTTTCCCTAGGGCAGTACTTATGCTGAGATGAAGATTCAAATACAAGTCAAACATTACTCACCCGTAAATTCTTAATCTGCAATGTTCCTTGTTCTTGCATAGTTGCTCTTGGATCTCTACCCAGAAAAGTAAATCCCTCCTTTAACCAGCTAATTACAGGAAGAGGATCACCAGTAGCTTTACATTTCAGTAATGCTGTACCATCTACTGCCAGTGTTTGGTTCACTGGGCCTTGTAGGATTATGGGTGGAGGTCTATCTGTCAAAACTAAAGGATAAACATATTTTCAGGATATTTTAACATCTCTGAAATTCAGTAGTCTTAATGTCTTGATATTGAACATAAGGTTAAAGCCCCAAAGTCATATACATTACTTATATTCTGTGTATTCTATACCCATCATATATCTATTATCTATACATACTATAGTGAAGTCATACTATTGTTTATAATTTACTCTGATTTACCTATAATTAAGATGATGATGGGATAAATTCTGACATTAGAAAGGCTTAGTATTATTGAAAGGCTTAATCATATTAAAATTAAAATGAATATACAGAGAGCTTATGACATTCATAAAACGTCCATTTTATCTCATATGCATATGTAAGAAAGCCTGTGGAGTATCATATGGGTAGAATCAATTTTCACTTTTGCTTATATTGTAAATATATGTACAATACATAATTTCACCCTTCATAGCATGAGTCACATGCAGTATTTATATAGACTATAATATTTTTGTTGATGTCAAAATATTAGATTATAAATAATTTATTTCCAAAATTGTGACATTGGGCTTTAGATTATAGTAATATAATTTGGATGATTTAATTAGTCTTTATAATTAAGGAAAGAAAAACAATCTAGTTAGACTATATTTGTAGTATGACAAAACAGGGTTTTCATGCAATCAATATTTATATATTTATATCAACTCCTGTGTTCATTTGGGTAAATTTTCCATAATTTCATAGACTTTTAGTTCAGAGTGTTTTTTATCAAACATTTATTTGTAGCAGTATCTTCAGTGCCTTTAGAAGTATTTCATAATGATTTAGGAAATATATCAGAATGTACAGTATTATTTAAACGGTGATGGAAATATGAAGTCAATTGGAGGCAAGCTTTCATTTGCAGCTCATTAGAAGACCACCTTATAATGAAACTGACATGTCCAGGTCCAAGGAAGGCTTTCTTGAGAGAAAGTTTTATAAACAGCATAGATTTTGGTTAATTATCCAAAATATGCTCTTTATTTTATATATATATATAAAATTTCCACAGAAAGGAAAAAAATAATGGTGGATATGATTTATTGCTAAGTAACTGTGAAGATAAATGGTGTCTTTTCTCAAGAAGGTATCTTGTATTACAATGTACGTAATCAAATAAGTCATTTTGCTTATTAATGGTGTAATCTCCTTTGTCTATGAACTTCTATAAATACCAGTTTATATGATTATCTATTTCTCAATCTATATGCATTTTTATTACTAAAGTGCACAGTTTTGGGCAAAAAAAATCATTAAATTAAGCAGCCCTTTTAGAGCCTACCATGAGAAAAACAACCGATTTTAATTTAAAATAGAAGTTATGACATAGGTCCCCTACATATCAAGAAACAGTGGACTTCCAATCAACCTAAACCTACTAGATCAAAATGTGTATTAAAATGTGTGTGTGGGGTGCCAGCCTGGGAGCGCAGCAGTTAAGAGCACACACTCCACTTTGGTGGCTTGGAGTTTGCATGTTTGGATCCCGGGCGCGCACCGACACCCTGCTTGTCAAGCCATGCTGTGGCAGCGTCCCATATAAAGTAAAGGAAGCTGGGCACAGATGTTAGCCCAGGGCCAACCTTCCTCAGCAAAAAAGAGGAGGATAGGCATCAGATGTTAGCTCAGGGCTGATCTTCCTCGCAAAAAAAAAAAAAAAAAAAGTGTGTGTGCGTATATACGTATGTAGAAAACCTTATAGGGGGCCAGCCCCATGGCACAGTGCTCAGTGTTTGGCGCACTCCGCTTTGGTGGCCCAGGTTCATGGGTTCTGATCCCATGATCAGGTGTAGGCACAGACCTACACCACTCGTCAGCCATGCTATGGGGGTGACCCACATACAAAATAGAGGAAGATTGGCACAGATATTAGCTCAGGGCTAGTTTTCCTCAAGCAAAAAAGGAGGAAGATTGGCAACAGATGTTAGCTCAGGGCAAATTTTCCTCAGCAAAAAAAAAAAAAAAGAAAAGAAAACCTTATAAAAATGTAAGGAAAAAATATTGTTTGTGTATTCTTTACAAATAAAAATTAGAACCGTTTATTTCACCGATTTTCTTGATCAAATTCTTCATTTGAGAAGTAAATAAAATAATCTTCTAAGAATGTGAAAGTACAATATTATACTAATTCTCACATTTGGCAATAATTGTGCAAATAGATATTCAAATTGAAAGTGTCATGGCATTTATTTTCTTTATGGGTCAAAAATGGAAGGTCAAATCACAAAATAATATGAATAATTTTTGAAGTCAGTGAGAAAAATGGGTCTGTATTACCAGAGTACAAACTATTTGTTTAATGTTAAATAATGTTACTTCTTTGCTTCAAATTAAATATCTATATAGAATTCAGGTAACTTCTTATAACCTGCTTTTATTTTCATATCCTTGAAATTACAGATATAGCCAAAGGACATCTAATTAGTTTCTTTCTTTCTTTTTTACTGCCCAAGTGAGCAGCTAATGTTCTTTTAAATGAATTTGATCAATAAAGTAACAGAAAATCTCCTAGCCAGAGGAATTTTCAGTTTCAAGGATGTTATGGGTGAAAGATGACCACAGGTTTCCATGACACTAAGGTCAAAGGTTAAATGAACATTTAGGGTTTCTAGTGATCTGTGAACAATTCTATGGTTTTCTCTAACTATGCATTATAAATCCCCAATAAACCTTCATATAAGATCATGGTGTTACATTTATTGTCAACATAAGATATAAATACATTTCTTCTCTCTAGTCTTTTTAGATTCTATTGGCTCTATTCATAGAAATCTCATTACAATTTTCTAATTTTCTGAGAGAAAAGGAGCAGAAGAAAAGAAATGAACAGTGCCAATGAATTAATGAGAAGGTGTTTTAAAGGGATGTTTTGAAACTCAAGTATATTAGAGCATCTTAGTTCTATCTATAATCAGTAAATTATCACTCAACAGCAACTTTTGTCACCATTAGCAATCTCCCCTACATTAACTCTTGAGTTAAAAATATTTCCAAGAAAGGAGTCTAAGTGCAAAAATGTTAACAACACAAACATTGCCATACATGTTTTCCTTATTTCTCTGAACACGACATATGTTTTCATTCTACACTGGAGTTTCAACTGGCTCTCAATTGCCCTGGATCATGCCAAAAATATATGTTTAAAGTGAAAATGATGGCTCATATATTATTAAATTGGTTAACCAATCTGAAAAATTCAAAACTATGAATAGAAGTTGAAGTCATCAGCCAATGCAGCAAATTAATGTTTAGAGACAGAGAGTTATTTATAATAATAACGTGTGTGTGTATGTTTAGGTCTTGAAGTTAGATTTCTTTACTGTAAAAATCAATAGCTCTATAACCTCCATTCAATGTTCCTGCAAAAGAATCTTGACTTTGTGATGGCTTACTTAAGTAAAAATCAATGCAGGAATTAATATTCAAGCCAGTCGTAACAAATGTTCAGAGCCAAGTCAGTCATCAGATTTAAACTTACCACTCTTTTAATTTTGACCTCAGAAACAAAGCTAGAATTACTACTATTTTGTGAGATTATGTCATTAATTAACTAACACCTGTTCTCAAAATAAAAGAAGTTTTCCTTTTCATTACATCAGACATAATTCTGAATATTCACCTGTTTCATGAACTATATCAGTTATATCAACTAGCTCTTCTAATTCATCAATTTTGTTTTCTACAAATATGGTTTGCCTTTTCCATAACAATTTCTTCATTCAAAAACATTTTAGTGTCTGTCTTTTGTAAAATACTATAAGCAGCTAGATTATAGTAGAGCTCCTAAGCGTTATATTTGGAATGTTTCATAGTAGTATAGAATAAAATTTAGGCTTTGGCTAGAATATCTTGTTTTCCAAGTATACGTACCTGGAAATTTTTGCTAATAGTATAAAAAATAAGAACTTAAAAAAGATTAATAATTATCTTTTATTTCTCTTAAAGAAATATGGAGGTACGAAGGATCAAAGATCTTGCCCATCTACAGGAAGAATTTCTCAGCACTGTTACCCTTGAACCTGACTTTTTTTTTTTTTTTTTTTTTTTTTTTGTGAGGAGATCAGCCCTGAGCTAACATCCGCCAATCCTCCTCTTTTTTTGCTGAGGAAGACGGCCCTGGGCTAACATCTGTGCCCATCTTCCTCCACTTTATATGGGATGCCGCCACAGCATGGCCTGCCAAGCAGTGCGTCGGTGCGCGCCCGGGATCCGAACCAGCGAACCCCGGGCCGCCGCAGCGGAGCACGCGCACTTAACCGCTTGCGCCACCGGGCCAGCCCCTGAACCTGACTTCTCTCTGTTCCAGTGCGGTCAATCTCTGCAGCATCAGCAGGTGTGGCCATTACAGACTCAATGCCCTCGAAACCAATGTTTGTCTGTCCTATTTATTCTCATTCCTGACATGGCGCTGAATCAGGCAATACCGTGGACAGACATTAAAAAGTATTGTCTTTCTATTAATTGTAAACGACCTTTTAATCTACATGTAAATTTGAATTGTATGAAAGCACATCAAATTTCACCAGCAGAGAAAGAAGAGAATCAGAGAGGTCACAGACCAAAGCTCTTGTATCTCAGAAGCCAGCATCAGGGGAAAAAACCCTACAAACCTTACAAATATAGGAGAGCAAGAGAGAATATTTAATTTTAGGGCTTCAGAAAATATCTAAAACTCTCTACCTGTCAATTGTGACAAATAAGCTCTGGGAAAAAAAATCAGATTATGAAGAGCCCTACATCTTTTTCAATTTTCACTATGAATGCAGGTGCCTCAATTAAGATTCCCAGCACATGTGTGCCAATAAAAATAATAATTTTAGCATCCATCAGTAGTTTGGAAGATATTTAATGAATTTAACTTAGTAAATGTATAATCAAAAAGTCACAGGATGTGATAATGTGATTAGCTAACTGAAAACTCATCTCGATTTCCTCTGATAATATTAAAGATGATCTCTTTCTCTTTACTCTTAATAGTAAAATTATTAATACCCGTTAGAAGCAATCACGTCAGCATAAGACTAAATAAAAATATACAGATGACATCTCTATACACTGTGAGTGTGATGTAATTTCTTTAAAATAATGCATCATTTATTTTTAAGAATAAAATAGATTGTCTTGGATGTTCTTTGGGAAAACAAATATTAAATCAGAAATTATTTTAAAATGTTATTTTACCTAAATTTGAACTTAAAGATAAGCATTAATTTAAATGATTTAACTAACAAATCAGAAAATTTCACATGGTCAATGTGGCTCTTGAGATAAAAATCATTATTTTTGTAAGACAAATCTAATAATATCGCACCATCCGTAACTTCCAGTTGGGCTTTTGCTAAAATGCTTCCTGCCACAGTTAGGGCCTGACAGATGTAGTAACCCGCGTCTGAACGCTGAATGTTGGTAATCGTGAGGTCTCCAGTTGGTGATACAGAACATCTACTGTTGGGCTGCTGGGGTTGGTTTGGGAAAAGCAGGTTCTGTGGAAGCAAACACAATCTCATCAATATTCTTTTCTCACTCAGAAGGAAAATGACATTAACAACAGCTATTGCAATTATGGGAATAGAGTTGGAAAAAGAAAACACATAGACTTAAAAAAAAATATGGTGTTGAAATGATTACACGCCACACAATGAGTTTCAATGGGAAACTTTTTCCAAATCATGGGAAATAATATGCTCTAAGAAGTGAGCATGCCCTAGTTGAAGGAACAATCATCTAAAACATCTGGATCTTCATCTTAACCATTTACTCTCTCCCTGACTTTCTGCTAGTTACTTAGTATCTTTAAAACAAGTTTTCCTCATCTGTAAAACGGGCACAATAACTCTTCTCTGACTTAACTCATAAGACACTGTGAGAATCTGGAATGTAACATTATGTATGTGTTTTATAAACTGCACATTACTAAAGAATGTAAAATATACTTTCTACTGATCATTTTGAATACTAGATGTAATTAACTGAATTTCTTCTAAAGGTGTTCAAAAGTGTGTGACTGAGACTGACAATGAGACAGCCGAATCTAAGGTTTCTGCAGGTCGTAACAGCTTTGAAAAGAGCTATATATAAATACTGCTGTCTAAGCAAGATTAAGCAAATCAACGAAAATAAAAAGAAGATGCTGAATGTTTTGGAAGTGTACATGTGATCTTAAAGAATTTCATAATATTACTTTCTTTTTTTTAATAAAAATTACTCTAGTTTACTATGTATCTCGTATCAAATACAAGCAGCCTAATCACAAAATTTTGAAAATTCTTATATGAGAGCTGTAATACTAACTTGGATGACCTATGTTGCTTTACTGTTGTTCAATTAATGAAAACATTTGGGTATAATAAATCATACTGAGATATGTTTCCAAGTTGGATTATAAATAAGGACATATCAATTTTTATGTTGTATTTACTCACAAAAAAGAACATTATAACCCTCTGGGATCTGTTTCTCAATACAGTAATTAATTTTCCAGGTTTGTAATTAAACAGTTTCAATACGTTACAATCAGGAGGTAATAACATTCAATTAAAGGCATAAGACACATTTTCACCTTAAAATGGTTTTACCCTTGAAGTAATACCAATGGAAGAGGATAAAATAGGGTATTAACACTTTTCAATTACGCTAAATGACTTTAATCCTGCCAATGATGTCCCACTTTAATTAGAAGCTCTTCTCTTTATTGCAACATGATGGATGTCCACTTTATTAGATGCGAGTGTGACACTATAAGCCCACTTTACATAAACATTACCATGTTATTAAACTCTTTCTAAAAGAAGTGATGTTTGCTAGCACGTCAGGAATATAATTTCAAAATGCTATTGCCCTCCTGTAAATTCGTATTACTGTATAAGGCAAGACATTTTCAGACATTTGAAGCACAATTTGAGAACAAGCTAATTCTCCTGTGGAAGCTAAATATATTACTGAAATAAACTATCTAAAAGAGAAGGGTCTAAATTTTAAAGCCAGTTGAAAATGATACAATAACTCAAAGTGTGCACTTTCCTACAATTAGCCATTAGAATACTAATTTACATAGCACTAATACATCAGATGGGCTTAATTCTCTCTGGGATCTCTTCCCCTACAATATAATATCAGTCCACCTTCTAAATGATTCATTGACATGGAAAATGGCATATGATTGAGGTTAACCCATCATCTTTATTCCCTGCTTGTATGACATAGGCAAAAGAAAATGGATTACAAGCAAAAACCAGGAATTCTACACAGCTCTTTTTGCCTTGAATTGCCTGGGTATCCTATTAGTGCTAATTGGCATTATCACCACATATTGAGGAATATGGACCATTAAGTCCAGGCTCTTAACTCTCTCTACTGATGGATAGTCATAGATCACTGTAAAAATTGGATACTGGAGACAGTAAGACCAATTTATTTTTCCTAATATCCCAACTCATGATTTGAAAATTTACTATTTGCTTAAGCACTTCTCTTTTGTTCTCATTCACATTTTCTCTCTCCCTCCCTTTCTTTTTTTCTCTCTCTCTGAAGTGATGGAGACAGGTGAAGGAAAGAAAATCAGACCTAAGATTATAACCAAATCAAATTACCTAATGGGAAATTATTTTCCAGAGATGACTATCTCTGGAATTACATGCCACTTTGTCAATTAACAGAAAAAGAAATATTTTAATGCTATTTGATTATTACCTATTTAAGAACCATTAAAACACAATGTAGCATATTTAAATATCATGTTTATTAGGCCACAGGACCAATATACATTTTATGCTATATCTTATATCAACCCAAAGCTATTTTAGGGCATGTAATTTACACATGATAGAGCTGTATAATAACAAGACATGTTATAATGGGATTTGACTCAATACATGGATTTAAAGCATAAATTTGCAACAAATTGCTTTACATCATTATATTTATATCATTTATAAATAAATAATGTATTTACATCATTGTATTTACTATCAGTGGCTTGAGGGAGTAAGTTTGATGGACTCCATAGTCCCCAGGGTGGGTGGAGGGAAGGCACCTACAGGCAAGAGGAGGAATCTTGCAGAGCTACTGGGGCTCTCTGGGCTTTACCTGTCCCAGCCTTCTCAGGCACTGTGTGGGTCTGGGGCAGAGGTGACTAGAGTGGTGCTGAGCCTCTGCTCAGTGCTGGGCACTAGTGTCCAGGCAGAGGGAGACCTCAGGCCCTGGCAGCCCTGGCCTGAGCAGAACCATGAACTTGCCCCTTCAGCCAGAACACAAGGGGAGGCAGGTGCATTCTGCATTTTCGTCTTTCTAACATCTTGTTGACCTTCTAATGGGTAAAGCATTTTTATATAAACTAACTTAACCATGTAATCTTCATAACTTATGTGAAATAAAATATATTATCCTCGTCTCTAGCTTCAGTGAAGTTAAATAGTGCCACAAAGATTTTACAATTACAAGAGGGAAAAATGGCTTTAGAATTCTTTCTTTTTCCAGAATGTGTGTGTGTGTGTGTGTGCGCACATGTGCGTTATAACCATGTCATATTGCTTTACACTCACTTTAGAGTTTGGGGTGTTTTCACCCAAAAGCAATTTTTAAGTGAAGAATCAAGAAACTCTATGAGTATAAATTTATTTTATAGTTATTAACTGATAAAAATGATGGGAATTAAGCCTGGAACAATTCTGATGTGGGGTAAGGCAGTGACCATCACTTTACTTTATCTTCCCATCACTAATTTAATATTCCACAAATCACAGAGGAAATGAATCCAACCAGCAGCATTGAGGAAAGGAAGACGGACACTTTGGCCATCCATGTTGAGTTGTTAAAACTGCTAGCTTGTGGAGGTACAAGAATATATAAGAACCCACAACAAATACAGACAATGGCTGAGGGGAACTTTCTGATGCCTCTCTACCCAGAAAATCATACACAAGTTCTAGCAACAGGTTCTCTTAATATAGTCTAAAACACTTCCCATCTCTGGTAAAGTTTTTAGGTTTCCTGAGACTTCTAATCATGGTTTCCATTATTCTCCAGGAAATTCTTCCAGAATTTGGACTACCAACAGAGGGTGCTGAGGAGGAGCACCAGTAGGTCTTTTCCTGAGAACTATATGCCTCCTTGGGGATGGTTCTGGAGAGTCTATAACAAAAATATCTCTAGGTCCCTCAAGAATGCACAGATAAATTCTTAGACAAAGAACACAATTTCTGATCTGGTTTAAGCTGGAAATTCTAGTCACTGCCTCAGAACCTAGAGGCTAAGTGCTTGTCCAAGTTTGGACCAAGTCCTAAATGAGAAAAGTAGTGTATCCAATTGACATTTAGCAGAGTCTGAGAGGCCATGCTGCCCAGAGAGTGCTCTGAGAGGACAGACCAGGGCACAGCAAAGAACACACAAGTGTTGGTTCCTTCTGGTATATAACGTGTTATTTCCTGTCTAACTCCACTATGAAGAAATCCAGAAGGGATGATGGGAGAAAATATTTCTCCTACTCTTAAATGGAAGCATGCTTAAATTAATGACAAAGAAAAGGTATTTATACTATTTATCTATGAAAGGGTATTGAAACTGGTTTCTAGGCCAATTAATAATGGAAATATTTTTGACTGTTTGGCACGTGCCAGGATGTTCTAAGTGTTTTATATGTACTAACTCACTTAAACATTCCCATGTAGCTAAGTGCGAGAAAGTAAAATTACCTTTCTTTTCAGAGATTTTAAATCAGAGGTTCTGGTCAGACTTTTTAAGATAATTTAGTTACATTGTGTTGTATCTATTCTATGTAAGATACAGAACTTTAGAAAATTAACACTAGAAAACAAAGAATGTTGTATTAGAACATCTGACTCCCACTTATTTTAGAATTAAATGGTCTCTTTTTTAGAAATAAAATAAATTCAACATTGATAACAAGAAAGGCAAGGCAAATTTTGAGAAGCACCAGAGACAGGGATTTCAGAGATTTCAGAAAAGCAGTCAAGGCTCACACTCACCTGGCTGCCTTCTTTTTGCCAAAAAACAGCTGGCTGTGGGTTCCCTTTAGTTTCACAGGGAAATGTCACTGTTCGACCTTGAGCAACAATCTGATCTCTTGGCCTAACCACAAACTGTGGAGGAGCTATAATTTAAAAGGAAAGAAAGTGTGTAAATATATACCATTGACAAAGAAAAAGATATCAGAGGGAAAATCTGGTAGTAGGTGGATTGCTCAGTGCCAGACAGAGGCTACTGTTTTTATTTATTTTTAAGCATTTTTCAAAACACGACAGGGAAAGAAAAGAGCACTTTATCAAATGTGAAGAAAGAAGTAAACTTATTAGCAGACACATTTTAAATGTCATATATTGTAATACCTTAGCCCACATACTTGCATAGGAAAACAGATTTGTAATGATATTCTAATGTTTTCGAGGTAAAACATGGCTTCCCTATTTGGTTTCGTGATTTGAATAAAGATAGAAAAGAATCACTCCATTACTCAAACACCTCCTTCCTGTGAAATCAATCTATTGACAAACATTGATTGCTCTTGTAACACTTGCAAGATATTATACTAGGCGCAGGGGTACCGGAAGGCATTAAATATGATCCCTATTCTCAAATGCTTATATTCTGTAACAGAAGAGTTGACGTGTTGAAGACATCTAAGAATTGAAGAGACAGGAATTAGATACTATGATAATTAACAATATAAAGAAATGTCTGAAGTGGTTGATTCTATTTAATTCATTTCATTTAGATAAATAAGCATTAGTCAGACAATTAATATGTTCCCCTATAGGGCACTAAAGACACACAGATAAAAAGCATCTAGCATGCAGCCATCAAGGAACTCATAGTCTAAGGAAAAATACAAAACATGATGACGATGACAACAACAACCACAGAAAAACTAAAACAACAATTATCTGAGACTGTGGTTAAGTTCAATGATGGAGGTGCCCTCAGAGCACAGTGGAGGAGCACTTAAGTTATAGCACATAGAATAAATGTGATAGGACTTCAGGAGAGAGGGATCCCTTTGTGTTATGATAGCTGTGAAAGGCCTTATGCAGGAAGTGAACATTATGGGGGCTTTGAGGAAAGAGTGATATGTAGATAAGTGGAGAAACAAACACATTTGAAGGAAGGAGCTTACTGAGCAAAGTCAAGAAGCAAGAACACATCTAGTATACAGTGTGTAATCTGGCAGGAATGGAGGGTCCCAGTTGAGTAAACATACTTGGCTACAAAAGATAGATTTGGACCCAGTCTAAGAAAGTCTTAAGAAACCACACTGAGGATTTTATTCTGACTCTTTCTAAGCTGAGGAAGGACAGATACAAAACAAAATTTCTGGAAGCTTTAGCCCTTTAATGAATATGGTAAAGTTTGTGAAGGAGGCAGATTGGTCAATAAAATGTGGAGTCTGGGGGCCGGCCCCGTGGCTTGGCGGTAAAGTGCTCATGCTCCGCTACTGGCAGCCCAGGTTTGGATCCCGGGCACACACCAACACACCACTTCTCTAGCCATGCTGAGGCAGCATCTCACATACAGCAACTAGAAGGATGTGCAACTATGACATGCAACTATCTACTGGGGCTTTGGGGAAAAAAAGGAAGAGGATTGGCAATAGATGTTAGCTCAGAGCCGGTCTTCCTCAGCAAAAAGAGGAGGATTGGCGTGGATGTTAGCTCATGGCTGATATTCCTCACAAAAAAAAAAAAACCTTAAAAAAAAAATGTAGAGTCTGGTTGGAAGACTAGTAAAACGGTGTAGGCAAAGATAATGAGATCCAGACACAGTAATCCCAATAGAAAAGAAAATAAAGGGATGGGAGTAAAAATCCTAAGAAAGTTCAGATTTAAATTGCAGATTAATTGTAAAAAGAAAGAAGAAAATGAAAGACAGGAGATAGACAGTATAACTGGAAGTTTTCACAAGGACATCTTCCTCATACCAAAACCCATTCCTGTTGAGGAGAAAACACCATCTTTATCCCATGACTTTTCTAATCATCTGTTTCCACTTTAACTTGTTGCTTATGATAGAAAACTTAAGATCAAGAAAAAACTTTGAAATCAACTCTAATTTTTAGAACCTGGTGTACATGGCAACAATCCTAAAATCTGAACTCTAAAGAATTCTAACAAGAAGCAACATTCAGTAAAGCCCTTTACCCAGAATTCTTTCCGTCCTCCAAGAGTATATAAGTGCAGGTCCAAGAATGGAGTAAATGTAGGGTAGCCTCAAACATACAACCAATTACTCATTCTCACAGGAATGCTAGCCTAGAAACAACAGTAGCATTTTTTCAAAAAATTCACTGAGATTTGTAGTGACTGATTTTTTTGCTGTTCTATTATACTGTCTACTAATTCAATACATTCAACACAGATCCCAGAGACAGAAGGAATAAATCTACTAAGTGAAATTTTCTTCTATAACTATAGATAACAGAAGACTCAGTTTAACAGGATGTTGAACCAAGATTTATGGATCTATTTGAAGAGAATGTGGTTTATGTTGCCTTGCGTTTTCAGGAGATTACTTGTTTCTTACAATGTTGTTATTTCTACTCAATTCCACTGAATGAGTACATACACTGATGTTTGTTCCATGTTTTCTAATAAGAATGATAGTTTAAATCAATGTTACAAAATTACTTTAGAACAACTCTTAAAACATCACAGTGTCCATTTTTTAGTAAAGATGTGAAATCACCAGACAGTTATACCAAAAAGATTTAAGATGGTCTCTATCATCTGCAATATCCAAAAAAATTATATACATTAGGAAAAAAATTGAAATCAATGTATAGTTCTTTACTTCCTAGTAATCCTATAAAGGTTGAGTGCCAATATGGACACTGAGCGAGAAGTATTGAGTAACTTAGCTTGTATCTCATGATCAAAAGTAAAAAGTCAGTTTAGTCAAAATCAGTTAACAGTCTTTGATAAAACTCACATATTCAGCTTATAGTTCATTTGTACTCCTTTGGATCAGAAAAATTTAACTTGGCTCACATAACTGGTTAGTAAAAACCTAGAGCCCCATATGTATTATAAAGTCCTTGTTTACATAATTTTTAAAATGTAATAACTGAGAATACACATGATTGAAATAATCAAATAAAATATCAAATGAAAGCAATGAAGACAGGTTTTATATTTTTAAGCATATTATGCTCACTCTGCATCTATCTATTTATCTATTTCAGTAAAAATCATCTGTACTTTAAATATAACTACAGACTTCCTTGAATTTGATTTTTCAAGCTTTCAAAACTTTTTAGTAGATGAGCAGTTTTGCAAAATGCTTTTGGAATCCAGATCCTGCAATTTTAACACAGCTGCTAAAACACAGACCCCAAAATAAGGACTGGTAAATGACCACATCTATCCACCCACTTTTCTGAAAAGATATGATTCATCCATTTATTCATTCAAAATACATTGATTGACTACAAATTATGACACATTCTGTTTGGTACGGGGAATGGAAAGCCAGATAAAAAATGGTTCATGGCCTATGGCAGAGACTTCCAAGTAAGTAAATAAATAAAAACAAATATAGCAGAGTCTGATTTGTATAATAATAGAAAAACGCAGAGGGCACTGGGGGAGAAAGCATGGAAGAACAGCAAACTAGACCAGGCAATGAGGAAAGATGTCAGGAGACGACTACACTGGAGTCGTTTTGAAGAAGACAGTGTTCACTAGATGAAGAGGAATCAGGTCACTTGGGACGGAGAGAGAAGCAGACATAAAGCAGAGATCTGTGGAACTGAATGTGTTAAGTGTAAATGATTTTAAGAATAAAATCAAGGATGTAAAAGTGATATAGGTAGGGCCAAATAATTTTTGCTAAAGGAACTTAAATTTTGCCCTGAAAAATATGCAGATCTATTCAAAGACATTTATGCAAGAAAGATATAAGATTTATGTTTTACAAAGAATGCTCTTTTTGAAAGAGAAAGGGCAGATACAAGGCTGGAAAATCTTAGCAAGTTGGGACAGAAAATCCAGTTGAGAATTACTATACACAGTAGCACCTAAAGAGAACATTTCATCAGAACTTTTAAAGGACAAAAAAATTCTGCAATATCATAATGTAATATTGACCACTGATGATATAATCTAAAAAAGACCAAGAAATCAAGATTTCTTGAGTGTTTACCCAACAGTGAATTTTTAAAGACCACTAACAAAATGCTATCAGCATTTCTGTTACTCATGCAACGAAATATCCTTTCACGTGATGTTTTTTTACATTGTACTTTTATCCTAAGTTATTATAAATACACTGTATTTCTTTTTTTTTTTTTTTAATTTTTTGTTTATTGAAGTAACATTAGTTTATAACATTGTAAAAATTTCAGGTGTACATCATTGTACTTCTGTTTCTGCATGGACTACATCATGTTCACCACCAAAATACTAATTACAACCCATCACCACACACATGTACCGAATTATCCCTTTCACTCCCCTCCCTCCCCCCTTCCCCTCTGGTAACCACCAATCCAATCTCTGTCCCTATGTGTTTGTTTATTGTTGTTATTATCTACTACTTAATGAAGGAAATCATACGGTATTTGACCTTCTCCCTCTGACTTATTTCACTTTGCATTATACCCTCAATGTCCATCCATGTTGTCACAAATGGCTGGATTTCATCGTTTCTTATGGCTGAGTAGTATTCCATTGAAATACACTGTATTTCTAATATACTAAATATTTCCTTGTCACCAGGACTTGAGTCACACCAATCTCACTGGAACTGGAATCACCTTATCATTTTTAAAGTTGAAAAAAAAAAACTAAAGATTTTAAAGCAGTTAACAAAGCCAAACATCTGGAGTGTTCAAGTCTCTGAAAATATACATCCTTTTCCTATTATCACCTGAAGTTGGACCACCAAAACGATTGGCATCCACCACTTTGACTTTTGCAGACTCTCTTTCTCGGCCCAAGATCTATATTGCAATCTTCTGCGAAGGGATATCAGCAGAAGGAATTTATTTTTGAGGTTTTAAAATGAAAGATTGCATGAGTAATTCTTCTGATAATACTTCACAGTTTCAGTATTTCTGCCAAGTGGCAGTGAAAATGGTTTGAGAAGACAGTACTTGGCTGA